TTCTTCATGAGAAAAAGTACCGTTCAAGCGAAGCAATGGCTTGAAAAGCGTTATGGGGACTCCGCTCCATCAGAAACAACAATAAAACGTTGGTTTGCTGACTTCAAACGTGGTCGTAGAGACACCGATGATGCAGAACGCAGTGGACGTCCAAATGAGGCGGTAACACCAGAAAACATAAAAAAAATCCACAAAATCGTTTTGAATGATCGAAAAGTGAAGTTAGCTGACATCGTAAAGATATCAAAAGAACGTGTTGGCTTTATATTGTATGGGCATTTGACTATGAGAAAGCTCTGTTCAAAGTGGGTGCCGCGTTTACTCACTGTTGACCAAAAATGAGAACGTGTTGACGATTCTGAGCAGTGTTTGGCCATGTTTAAACGTAACAAACCGTAATATTTGCATCGATATGTGACAATGGATGAAACATGGATCCATCACTTCACTCCGGAATCAAAACGATCGTCATCTGAGTGGACAGCAACTGGTGAACCTCGTCCAAAGCGCCCGAAAGCACAACAATCAGCTGGAAAGGTTATGGCCTCGGTATTTTGGGATGTGCGTGGTGTAATATTCATCGACTATCTTGAGAAAGGAAATACCATTAACAGCGAATATTATATAGCGTTATTGGAGCGTTTGAAGGCCGAAATTGCAAAGAAACGACCGCATATGGCAAAGAAAAAAATTTTGTTTCATCAAGACAACGCACCGTGTCACAAGTCAATCAAAACAATGGCCAAACTACATGAATTGAACTTAGAATTGCACCCACATCGACCGTATTCGCCAGATGTGGCTCCCAGCAACTATTGGCTGTTCACAGACCTGAAAAAAATGCTCGCCGGTAAGAAATTTCGCACGAATGAAGAGGTTATCGCTGAAACTGAGGCCTATTTTGAGGCAAACGATAAATCGTTCTACAAAAGTGGTATTGAAATGTTAGAGCGGCGCTGGAATGATTGCGTTGCTCTTGATGGAGATTACGTTGATGATTAAAGCTAATTTTGAACCAAAAAAACTGTGTTTTCTATGTTAGGCCCGGGACTTTTCAGCCCATGTGTTAGATCAATTAAAATTTCAATTTACCTCCTCCTTTTGAATGAGATATTTTTAGTATCTATTTTACCTCTATTCGTTCTATTTTCTTCTATTTTATCTGCAATTGTAATCCATTTTTTGCAATGTCTCTGTTTACAGCTGGCACTGAAGAACCTTGGTGAATCTATTCACCAATAGAAGAACACTCTGCTAGTACTACTACATTACTGAAGTCTTTCAACAGAAAACAGCAAATCTAATGCAAAATATATGGTTATTATATCCATCATCATGTTCGAAATTTAAAACAACAGTTGGTTTATATTTCGAAAGTCGTTAATATATTCTAGACACACAAGAGGCAATTTCTTCGAATTTCGCAACAAGGGGTCTTAATATTAAAACATCAACGTTAAGTTGTGGATGGTCTTCACCACTTTATAAATATCATACGTTATTGCAGCTAATACTTCCGTCATGTTATCTCCTTTGAAAGGATTTTAACCTGTCAACACAATTTATTTCACTCAGAATTTACTTTACAAACGTATAACTAACAGGCAAATGAGAGACGAATATACAAATATTCGTCTCTCATTTGCCTGTTAGTTATATTTTTACGACAAGCCATCTCTCACCATATAAATATAATTAAAGAACAGTTAAAATTTTGTAGGAAATTTCGTGGAAAACAGTTTAAATTTTGTGTAAACATTTTAGAACTTTAAAGGGTAGGATGAATAGATCTAAAATATTTTTAAAATCTAAATTCCTTTGGTATTCGTTAAGGGTTTTATTTGTCTTTTAGCTTTGTGGATTTAATAATTGTATTGAATAAAACTATTTCATGTCTATTTTTAATAAAAACATTTCTTTTAATTACACTTTTAGACAGTCGAAGTAAAGTCGAAACATTATTAGACAAAGATAATAATAGATATGGTGAGGCAATAATAAGAAGCCAACAAAGGTTTAATCCCAGATCAAATATGTATTATATACAAACGAGGCAAGAACAATTTTGGCATAAAGTAAATCATATTCAACTCTATTACCGACTAAAAACTTAACCCTATTAAGAACTGACATCTCGGTTTTATTTGCCTTTTTGACCGAGAGGCTTAAGCCGATGCTTACGTTTGCATTAAATAGTGGCATCCTACGTTTGATTAACGGTTCGGGGAAATTCGCGTTGGGATTTCTGTTGGCAAATAAAATAGAATGAATGAATGAATGAATGAATTCTGACAGCTTGTTCTATGGTTGTTTTTGATATATTTCTGCTTGTAAATGAATTGCCAAAAGCTTGTTAATTTTTTGCAATAAGTTGTGAAAAACATTATCTGTACTTGCACCTTTAAAACCTGTTGGTAGTCATTTTGACGTAGCTCATAGTGAAACCTAACTAGACAGACATAACATTGAAATAAAATCGGTCATTGCAAAATTGCACCACAAGGCTTGTCTTAAGTTAAAAACCTCCACCTCAGTTTAATTCCTTTTGTCGTAGTATGTGTTAAACATAATTCTGTCACCCCACGCGGTATATGTAAATGAAACATTAATCACAACCTACACTAGCAATACACACATTGACTTATTGTAATTTTACACCAAAGATAATTATGCAAATCATAAACAATAAAACATCGCTTTACAATATATTGAGCATTTTAAATAAAAATGTAAGACTTATGCATTGGAAACAGGTTGGAGCGCCTACTGTATCAAGTCATCGATTAGCAATATAGTAAATGGATTTTTTAAACGTATCAAAAACTTTTCTACAGATTCAGCAAGGCGCTAGCATTACTCTGGTGATATCAGTGCGGCCTTTTTTGTCCACCGTTTTATAAGAACACCGGCGACGACATATGACACAGCTGAACAGAAGTCTATGCCAGACAATGTGCCCCGGTAATGGCCGGTAAGAATCCAATACCAATGACGAGTACACATTATCGTTATCCTGAACTGTACTTCTATAAGGGGAGGGATACGCAAAGGAAGGGAATGGTGAATGGGAGTCACTCTTACCTGTACAGAATCTCAACCAGAAATAGCAACGGCCCCAACAAAAAAGAAGAAAGATCAGAGAGTTGACGGTAAGTAATTTTACCCTCATTCCGTAAGCGTTTTTATTCCAATTTACGAAACGATGTCATAATGAGGGCATTTAGTATACCTATGTTTACCCATTCGAAGATACAGGCGTAGGATATAGGTCTATGTACTACGTTGCATCTGGAACATGTTAACATGGAACAACTCCTACAAGGGGCAATATGTTCATAAATGTCTCTACATGTGTGCGCAAAGCCTTAATCAAGTCAATCAAATGCATGGTTTAGGTTTGCATACACAAAGACCCATTTAACAACAGGATTCAAGTCTTAAGGCAAATATTTTATCTTTACTTTGCTGGTAAAATGACGTTGTTTTAATGGATCATCTCTTTGAGAGATTAGGCTTACTGTTGTCTACCGATAACAGTGTCAGCTCCAGCATTGCTTTTAAAAGTTTATGTAAAGAAGACACAAACAATATGTTTCACAAGACTTGAAGCAAATATAAACACCAACTTATGTATATTAACAATATTGTTTTCAATATTATATTTAACCAAAAACCAAACTCGGATTAATAACGGCAACTTGGCGTTTTATTGTCCACGAGATAATAAAGGCTCAACCAGTAATTGCCAACCGTTACGTTGGCAATTATTGCTTGATCGTCTGTTCCCTGAAAGCTATTAAACCTCTTAACCGACCTTACACACTTTATTCCCGTTGAACGCTCGTAACGACTAGTGTCCATAAAAGTTAGAATTTGAAATTGAAAACACATCCCGTTGGTGTGAACATACATATGTCGTTAAAGACTGTAAAATAACTCTTATTTGTTGTGTCTGAGGCATTAGTCTTGCGTAAATATTTGTGTAGGTATTAAATTAAAAATACCAATTCCTATCTATAACTGTAGGATAATATTCGTAACGTATTTATGCAGGTTGAAATGTTATATCTGGTCATCGTTTAATTATATATTCTATTTGGCAACGAAAGGTGTTCATTTGGATGATTTTTGTTCACTATTATGTAACACATGCATTTTTTTAATTTAATGTTTTATTTGTCGTCAACTCCCGCACTGGAAATTTATCCCGTGTCGCGGTGAACTTTACAAACATTCATGAAACGGTCACAAAGAACACCCAGATACAGAACAACAATTTGTGAATCACAAAGAGTTTTCCCAGGCAGGGGATCGAACTCACAACACTCAGCGCAGTAGAACTCTTGAGTCCGTTTCATGTATGTTTTATGTTCGTTTCATGTATAGTCCTATTGCGAGTGAGGGTTTTCTTTTAAAAAAAATACGCCATCTGTTCCGTCTACTTAGATACTCTAATATTTTGTTTAAATGTAGAAATATTTCAAACTTAAAACTTATCAAGTTTGAGGACTCGGACTTCCCGTAAACAGCCATCTCGAGATACAGATATGCAACAATAACCGGTATAGGGTTTGTTTCAAGTTTTCCTTCTCTTGGCAGTGTTGTTATCCTGCGTAGTGTGCTCCCTTGCGACACCCACGGGATGAATAGGGACACACCGTATTCTTAATCCGTCACCACACGGACTATCTGAACCGTATAAGGTACATCTTACTACCACTACCTTCCCACATTGAAATCTATCCATCTAACCCTAAGTTGGTGAGACAGCAATAGGGTTGTCCCCTATTGCTGAGTAAGTTAAGTGAATAACAAAAATCGTTCTGTGTCCATTATTTAATCTCAGAACGGCTTTTAATTAAATTTGGCACATGGCACATTTTGGCCTGCATTACGAAAATTCACGATATAAACAAAAGAAAATTAAAAAATATTTCAATATGAAAAATATTTATTGTAAAATATTATAATTATTTACAAGTGCACAAGGGATACTATAATTAGTCTAGTAGCAGTTCAATGTTGACATTAAACTGGCCTTTGCCAAGGTCGCAGGCCGCCTGATAGCTCCATTTAAGTGAGTCCACCTCGTACGACTTTTTCTGTAACAAATAATTAATTAATGTTGATATACAAAGGTAATAATATGCCAAAAGGCAACAAAAACAAATACCAACGTGTGTAATAGGACAAACAAGAATTCGGATTTGAATTTGTCCGAAACTAGAGACATTCGAAAATTAAAAATTATGATTTACTGTAATATTCGATATCACAGGAAAATAGCAGTTTCACACAGTTGGCTATAATTTGCATTGTGAACGTTTCGAATGTAGTTCTCTAATTTGTTACTAGATTAATAGAAGATGTGAAGAAAATAAATGAAATGTTTTCGATAAAAAAACCAATGATATCTTTAACAAAAAATTGCAAATCAGTTATAACAATGCTAGTATTTGTCATATTTGTGATCAGTTATTATTTTATGATAAGGTACGTGACCACGATCATATGACAGGAAAGTATATGGGACTGTACATGTTCAATGTAATTTGATGTTTAGAATATGTCCATTCATACCAGTATGTTTTTCTTAATTTATCGAATTACGACTCCTATCTCTTTATACAGAAATTAGTGAGACATGGAGGTTATATAAAAATTATACCTAAAACTAAAGAAAAGTATTTATCAAGTATAAGTATTTATTAGTATCAGATCACGACTTTATTCATTTATTAACAGAATTTAATGATGAAAACATATACTTGTAAAAAAAGAAAGGTATTTATCCTTATGATTATATTAATACATGGGACAAGTGCGAAGAAACAACACTCCCTCTAATAAAATATTTTTATAACTCATTTGAAAATGGAACACATTAGCGATAAATAATATGAACACGCAAAAACTGTATGAAATGCATTTAATATCAACACAATAAGTGAGTACACCGATGCAAATTTAAAATGTGATATCTAATTACTGTGTGATATACTTGAAAATTTTCGTAAAATAAGCTTAAAATATTTTAAGTTAGACCCTACGTACCTTATAGTACCGTATAGCGGCACCTTTAAGCTGAGACTCTATGTTGCTTTATACACGTGTTGAACTAGACTTGATTGATGACTTAGGAATATATCAAATGTTAGATAAGGGTATACGTGGTGGTCTAGCTCAGTGCTCTTTACGCCATGCAAAAGCAAATAATCCCTATCTAATAGAATACTTTCCGTGTGGTGACGGATTAAGAATACAAATTGTCACCACCCCAATTCATCCCATGGGTGTCGTAAGAACCGACTAAGGGAGCAAACTAAGCAGGACAACAGCACTGCAAAGAGAAGGAAAACTTGAAACAAACCCTATACCAACCCGTCTGGCCAGCGTGGTATAGTCGGCCAAAACCTCCTTTCTAAGGAGAGGCCTATGTCCAGCAGTGGACTAGTATAGGCTGTTGATGATTGATGATTGATGAATAGAATACAACGATGTTGAACTGACTAGTTATTTGATATATCTCGATGGCAACAATTTGTATGGACATGCAATGACAAGAAAAATCCCAATCTCAGGATTCAGACTTTTAAATCAGAGGAACATCAACTTTTTCGATGTACCTAATGAGTGTTCAGATGATAGCGAATATAGCTTCATTTTAGAGGTAGATCTCAAATATTCCGATAGCGATTTGCCTTTTGCTCCAGAGAAATTCATACCCCCTGGAGGAAAACAGCTATAATTAATTATATTCACTTAAAGAAGTGTTTAAAATACGGGTCAGGTCTAAGAAAAATTACCGAATTCTTAATTTCTACCCTGCGTCAAGTATCCACAACTACATTTGTGAAAGACTTTTTGAAGCTTTTAAATAATCCTTTTTTTGGTAAAAGGATAGAAAACAAACGTAAACAGGTAGATATTAAACTAGCTACAAAATGGATGGCTAAGAAAAAGTAACAAATAAGCAACTCTGTGTGTGAAAAGCTAATTTGTAAACCTAATTTAAAATGTGTTTCTACATTTTCAGAAAACTTTGTAGCTGTGCAACTAAAACCCAAGAGATTTTTTATTGACAGACCGATTTATATAGGTTTTACAGCTTTAGAATATGCTAAGTTATATCTTTATCAATTTCATTATAATATTTAAAACACAAATATAAATAATGTCTGGCTATGTTACACAGACACCGAAAGTCTTCCTTATTTTACATCGAAGATATTTACCATGATATACAAATAAATAAAATTGAAGTCTGTTTGTAATGTCAAAATAATAGGTTTTTTTATGCTCACACGGTTACTTAAACAATACATAACCTCCTCTCAGAAAAACCCTTTATAATTTTGCGCGGTCCGGGAGTCGAACCCACTAAGGCAGCGCTTTTCAAATTCCGAACGAAGTCGCGGGTACCAGCTAGTAAAAATATTTTAATAGAATTTGCCTTCGCTCAACTGGCAGAACAGAGAAATAATGTAAGGTTGTACCTGGCACCAGATTCCCTGAGCGTTTGTTATTTAAAATACATATTTTTACATTTATACCAATACGTGTAATTTTTACTTACTTACTTACTTAAGTAAGGAACTTACATAAAGTTATAACGCATAATAAAAAGAACAGCAGAAGTTATTTACCAGTATTTTGACGGCTTGTCTAGTATGAGGATCCCAGTCGACGCGCTCGCCAACCTTCGGTGTTTGTATTGGACCGGAACTCTGTCTACCCCCTATTCTCCACACCGCCCATAGTACGAAACCATTTACTAGTTGGTCATCTGATGTCTCAATTATGCTAAAAAATAGATATTTTTAGCAATTGGGTATTACAACCTTATTCAAAAAATGCTTTAACTTGATCCTAAGTATTCAACCAGAAAATTTAAATTTATTCTATCGATAAGTGCCATTCAATGTAGGTATTATGTACACTGTGTGTGTTATTTCTACAGGTGTAGTATTTGTACATTTGCAAATTTCTCTTCTTTCAAAACCATTTTGCGTTATTAGTTTCAATTTCTCTAGTAATAGTATTAAAATCACAGGTACTTCGTACTACTGAATAGGTATTTCGTTTGCAGTGTGTACATAAATACAGTGTACATAAATATTGTCAGACATAAAATGGTAGATGTTGCCATTACAAAATAATAGCTCAGGGCTCAAAGTTCATATAGGATATGTAATTTCATTTGCTTCGCGTCTTTTTTGGCCCTACGTATTCACATTGGTATATAACATGGTTTTATCTAAAAAGAATTATAAACTTATTTACACTATGTCATGTAGGCCATCAGTCGCGTATACGGGTTTCAGATCTGTGAAGTCAATAGTTAACAGTTTGACAGGTTCGCCGCGACTCTTACAAGGGTACTCCCAAAGAGGTTGTGACTCAATATCCGCGTCGCTAATCCCACGAGAATTCTGGAAATATGAATTTTTACAGAAACAAAAAGAAAGTAAAAAAAATTAAAAGAATTTTGATATAGTATAATAATTGTTGTCGTCGCTGACCTCAACTAAACGGTCGAATATTCCCATATCGATCCCTTCACATCGGTCTAAAGGTATTCTTATTTTATGTAGGTGTTGAAATTCCACCGGCATCGTCCAAATCTCACAGCCTTCGGGTAAAATCGACGAACAATTGGTCAATTTACTGCTATATTTATATAAAAGATGCGCCATTTTTAAATTCTCCCAAGGCAGAATCGCGTTCACGCAATTTGGATCACAAATTACATTAGTTACTTTATTTAATAACTCATCAGTAACATCTGATACAAAATGTATATTATTTATGTCATTTGTTACAATATATTCATTTAAAATTCCAAGATTAAGTTTCGAACTTTCTAAAATGTATACAGCTTTCGCGCCAATTTTTGCAGCTGACAAACCCATTAGACTACTTCCATTCAAATCTAGAACTACTGATTGTTTAGTGACAACATCTTTCAATTGTTCTAGAAATCTTTTGCTTCTTTTACCATCATTTAAATAAGAGATATGGGTTCTAGAAAGAGCCATATGAATACCACAATCGCAGTCAGGTCTTTTATAGTCAATGTATTTAGTTTTTTCGTCTTCTAAATAGAACCATAGTGAATATTCGTCTTGGCAGGATATAAGAGTTGCGGTTGACCCTTTCTGAATAGATATTTCTTTTGGTAAGTAGTAAACAGCTTGCATCCAATGATCGCGCCAAGGTATGGTGTCTTGTGGACGTTCGGCTACTAAATCAGCAGACGGGTGACACCACCATGGTGCACAACTTAGAAGAATTTTACCTGAAATAAAGAGTCGTTTTTCATTGCATTTCATTCAATCAACAATATCAAGTTAAGTGCAATGAATCTAAGACCAGGCAACGAAATGTAAAGTAAGTGAAAAATGTAGCTGTAACATATTTTTATATTGACTATACCCACCTTCAGGGTCCATATTTAGATCCCACCACATAAACACAACTTGTGCTTTGCCTGTTCTGTTCGCATTAAAATTGTGTGTCACTGTACGTTTAAATATGGTGGGCGTACGTCCTGACCAGTCATAAAAGAATACCGGTATAGGATCAGAGAGTTCGTTGAAAGTTTGGCGCGGAAGTTGTGATAGTTGAAGGTCATGAACAGCGGCAGAGCCCGGGCAATCTTTCATCTGGAATAACAAAAACTCTAAATTATAAACTAAATGTTAAAAACTTAAGAAAATAATATTTAATAATTATTTGACATTTTTCGGTGTAAGTGTTAAATGAACATACTTATTGAAGGCAGTACGTAGGTCCGTGTGGTGACGGATTAAGAATACAGAGTGTCACCACCCCTATTCATCCAGCGGGTGTCGTATGAGCCGACTAAGGGAAAAAACTAAGCAGAACAACAGCACTGCAGAGAGAAGGGAAACTTGACACAAACCCTATACTAACTACTAGGCCAAAACCTCCTTTCTAAGGAGAGGCTTATGTCCAGCAGTGGACTGTTCAAGGCTGTTGTTGTGTTGTGATTGAAGGCACCCTCAGATTTTTGGGATTAAGACAAGAGTGAGATAAATTAAGATAGATTAGTAAGTAACATACGGCTATGTAGGAATGGAGAGAAATTAAACTGTTTGGTCACTTTCACAGTTTGTTATTGATTTACAAAAAAAACTTGAACTTTTTATAATAATTATGGAGGTAGAATTTAGCTCAAGGTGGCGGCCATGGTAAGTGGAGAACACTTAACTGAGGTGCGGCCTGAAGCGAAGAGTGTCCACGCCGCGCTTATTCCGCGTTATATGCGTGCGTGGTGAGACGGTGAGAGTCTTGGCGGGAGAGTGGACGTAGTCGCGTCACACATTAACCATCCATCCAAGACACGAAAAATAGTATATACCTTCTGTGGGGTCTTCAAAATAATGTCTAAGTCGCTGTCAGCTAAGTCATTCAATTTGTTCCACTTCCACAATGTTGAGCATTCAACCACTTGTGCGTAGATCACTGCTGAATCTGGTACAACTATACAATCTTTTTCTAACAGGTACTCATGTGCATGAGAAAATGTAGACAGGGCTCCTGAAATGTATTACAAAATATATGTGTTAAAAAATGTGCCCATTTTGCAAATAATAAAGAAGGGACACATGGGAAAGGTTTTCTATTGTTTTTAGGGTTCCGTAACTCAAAAGGTAAAAAAGGAACCCTAATTAGATCACTTTCTTGTCCGTCTATCCGTCTGTTCGTCTGTCGTGTGTCACCACCGATTTTCTCAGGAACGGGTAGACCTAGCAAGTTGAAATTTTTACCAGATACTGAGGTCTATGGTCCCTATTAGGTGTATAAAAATCAAGGTCCTGGTCACCACAATAAAAACCAAGGTCAACACACTAAAAAGATATGGGCAAATTTCGATTTTCGCGACAACTTGTAAGTACCAAAATTTACCTTAATTTTCCACTTTTTTATTTTTCAGAATTTTCACTTTACTTGTGATTGAAATTGACAATTCTAGGTCAACCGGAAATACCCTATAGGTTTTGGGTCGAAAACCTATATGGTAGTTCCCGTTAACCTAGAATCACGAAATATGGCAAAAAGAAACGTCTTACAGCACAAATAAAGGAATAATTCCAAAAAATAAAAAAAGTTGAAAATTTAAGATAAATTTTGGTACTGCCAAATTTTCGCGAAAATTTACGTAAAATCTGGGTAGGTATGGAACCCTCGGCGCACGAGTTCGACTCGTACCTGACCAGTTGTTTGGAGTTTACCCCTTAAGAATCGATTTTCATGTCAGGCGACTGTATGAAAAAAATTTTAAGAGTAAAATTTAGTAATTGAATGACCTTGTTACGTTTTTTGTGTGACGTCAACCAATCGTGACGTATCTTTTTACTACTTACTACATACTTACGACTACCTTTCGAATGTGTGTATAACTTGTATACTTGTGTGCAGCTCTTAATCAGTTCTTAAGGAGTAAACTCCAGTCGCGCGTCAGAGCTGACATAACACTTTTTCTAAATAGTTTCTTCCTTTGAAGAGTTGTCTTTAAGAAATTTTAATATCATCTTAAGGCTTCATGGTATGAAAGAACAGACACATCTGTGATAGTAGTCAGTGTAACAGTTGAAAATTTAGCCCTAGTATACAGGGTGTCTAGGGTCTGGGTACTCACAAAAAACCAGTGTTAAGCAAATCTTTTCCTATTTTTTTCCGAGTCACTGAGGTTATTAGAATCAGCACAGAATCTGCCCATCCCCGAAATTCCAAGGCACTCAAAGGTCGGCAACGCAGTTGTATAGCAGGTGTTAAAATAAAAGCCAAAATATGTATATATATAGATTACCTTCACCAATCAACTCAGTGTCAAAAACCTCTGTAACCAAGATATTAGCTTTCTCCTTCAAATCTCCATCTTCACCCACAGTGAGTTCTGTAGATCTCTTAGGTATTACTGTAATCTTGTCTGCAACACCATTACACTCTAATATTTTTATACAACACTCTGCCATAGGCTTGAAGGCTTCACAGGCTACTATAGAGTCAGCTCCACAACGCGCAGCCATTATAGATAGTAAACCGGTTCCAGTGCCTGAAAAAGCAGAAAATCTCAAAGTGATTATAACTAAACCTCTATGAAGTTAGGATTTTTAATGATCCTATATTCAATCCTCTAATCTCCTATATTCAATGCTGTTTATAAAAAAAACAATTAAAAACAAAGTAGATCTGTATCCACTTTGTGTTTTTCAATTGTTTTTTGATGTGTGTATGAAGGTTCACTAGAAATGTATTACAAATGTTACAAATAATATTTTTTTAAAGATATTAAGTGTAATAATCAAATCACAGCAATTGATACCAACAACTTATTCAAGACCCAATGCACTTATTGATTTAGTCAATTATTATACAAAATTGTAGAAAATCTCCTGTGCATCTTCTTCCAAATCTAAAATATTAAACCTCTCTCTCTTTCTCTCTAGTAAATCTCTCTATTTAATGGTGAGTATATATATACATATATATGTATATTAACATGTAAATTGTTAGTTATTTACAAACTAGCTACTCTTATTAACCATGTTCTAAACACATCTTGGCTATGAATATTTACATTACAGACAGTACTATCTACAATAATTTGAACTGCTAATAAACATACATATATATTTTGAAATACAGACATAGTAAACATAAATTACACCCAGACATACAACAAATGATCATGCTCATCACACAATTATTTATTCAAAGTGGGAATCAAACCACTAACCTGTAGCTCAGGATTCAAGACCACTAACCAATAGACAATGGAAATTATTGCTACTTTGGACATTGAAATTATTGGTTAAAGTCACAGCAATTTCACATGTGATAGTGATTTCGTCATAGACAAAGATAAATGGCATTAAAAGTAATCAAAATTATTTTTATCAAAGACAGACCTTTCGCGAGATTTGCGCTAGCGTAATAATATTAGTGGTTTTGTAAATCAGTCACTGGTGTGATGATATGATTTATAAATTATCAAATGGGATTGTTATTTTATTCCATCCCTACTAACTAAGAGACGGACAGGCCAGTCAACAATAAGAACAAAACTGCATAACACTGTAAAAGCCTGGTTTATATTTTAATATGGTTACCTATATCCAACACATTTGCCTTTTTTCCTTCAGAATGCATTTTTTCAATAGCAAGTTGAAGAGCTCTGTAATATTTTTTATTTCGTTCTGTATCATGCAGCATGTCCGCAAACGCAGAACGAGCTATCTCTTGGTGATAGTCATAGTCCTCATCTTGAACGTCCCACTCCGTATTACCAGTTATAGGGTTCTTCATCTGAGTAAACACTTTCATTGTTGAATCAGAAGTTATATGTCTATAATAAAATATAATCTTATAAGCGAAAAAATCCGAGCAAAATATTTTACTCGTCACAACCAAACTACATATACCTTTTAATCAGAAAAATACTACGAACCCTTAATAAATTTCGTAATCTCATTTAATTTAAATGTGAAGCGAAACTTCGAAAATACTATTTTATATCATAGAAACATAACCTAAATAAGATAACTTGAATGAAACCGACATTTGACAAAACTAATAAACTAACTGGACAGATGACAAATAATTGTAATAAAAAAGTGACACCTATTTTTGTGTTCTGAAATAAGTTTAAATTGTCTGAATTTTACACAGGTTTTTAAAACTATAGAAGCTGGTGCCCGGTACTTGTGCATTGAAGTCATTTTAATGTAGGTACTAGACTACTAGTTTAACAGCTTTAAGTCGAATTTCGCCGTCGCACCTCGCTCATTGCCTGTCCGAATTAGAAGACTATCGTTCCACACGGTAAAATTTTCAACCTCATCACCTAGATAGTTGCCACTCCACTACTGTGCGATTTTTGAGACACAATCAACCTGTGAAACAGGTTATCGTCTGCGGTATTTCCGGACCGATACGACCTTCAAATCTTCAAGGAAAGAGCGTACTCCTTCCTAAAAGGCGACGCATTTGTGACTCCTGAGTTGCACACATTCATGGGCGGCGATAGGTTACTTTCCATCAGGTGACACGTCTGCTCGTCTGCCCCCTCTAACATAAAAAAAAGGCTCGTCATAAGTAGCGATACCGTCGGTAAAACAAGACAAAATGATGTAAATGGATTACGTGCCCTGCCAACACCAATTCCATTGAACAACGTATTTTTTTTGTATTTTAAGTCTTTCCTCTGTCACCTGCGTAAGAATTGCAGGTAACTTGAACGTAACTGCATTATACTAATCTGTGTCTTTAATGAAAACAGCTTAAAGTGTTAGTCGAAAACAACATAAATTATAATGACAAGCAAACGCCGAAAACAAGTCCTGTAACATATTTTTCGGTTTCACTCCCAGTAACTACTCAGAGCATGTAACGCGCGGTAAGGAGGTTCGTTCCAATTATGAATATAAATATTTTTGGGTTGTTAGTAACGAAGTTAAAGATTGCTTTCAACAGGATTTTGTCACTACAAGACAATAAGTATGAATTTAAGACGGTATGCTCACAAATAATTAAAACGATGCCTGCAGGCTTTTTGTCAGAACTGTCAGAAGAGTGTATTTAAATATGTTATGGGTTTCAAATCTTCGTTTGGATCGAAATCATTAATGATTAAAATTAACCAACAATCTAAACTTTAACGATAAATTATATGCTATACATACTATATTTTCATTTATGCAACAAAGATTTCTCAAAGTACAAAACCAAGTAATGATCACTGGTAACTATAAAAGTAGGTGCCAGCGCATTTAAAAAAAGTTTAAATTTATACCTAAAGAGTTTTCATTGCCGAGCAATGGCGTAAACAGTTATTCTCAATCCCCTTGTCAGTTTTAATGTCGTTTTGACAAACCTGTTTCAAGACAATAAAAAATTGTATTTATCCGTGTAAAATAGTAAATAGTTTATATCAATTGACTATTAAAAAAATATAATTGGATAGTACTTTTAGACGAATTAATATTATTTTTACAAATGGCAGTTATAATTACGTCGTAGATGTCAGTCGATTCATCTTTCCGACGTTTTGCTATCATGGCGGCCGCCGTGGGTAGGATTTGTGGGGCAAGACTTTTCAAAAAATATAGCCTACTTGCACCCCAGGTACTAATATTAACTTAAAACAATTATTCGTTTCGTATAACTTATTAGAAGATACCCTGTTAGTGCTCCCTATGTTAATAATGTCGAGGACGCTGACGTTCTAAGTGTCAGGAAAATTGCTGCATTTTACCAATTTGCGGTCTACTTAGTCTTTTATCATGTTAAAAGAGTAAAGGTGTGATTATACAGGACTACGTGAAGCAAAAATTCTTTGCAGTGCTTTGATATCGTTTTCATGGGCAAGTGATAACCTTTTCTGCATTATGTAACAAGTATATTAAAATCTAATGGAGGCTGTCCATTGCAGGTTAGTCAGCTGTCCACGAACACTCAAGGATGGTCGAAAAACAGAAAAGTGGTGAGTGTTAATATATTTAAAAAAAATATAAATACACATTGTAGCATTATGTTACATTTATTAAAACACAGTTCTTGTCATAAATCTTAAAGTTCCTTGTGTAATTCTAAATAAATGCTGTTCTTACTAGCGCCTCAATGTATCCATGCAATTATACTTTATAAAATAGTTGTATAATTCGCAATTATTTTTGTAGGAAATATCTCAGAATAAAATATATTCTTGTTAAATAATTAGTGCTAAGTGCTAACATTCAATTATTAATCATGTTTAGTTGCTGTCTACCTTGGGGATAGTTGGTGGAGGTGTTGGAGCGCTGCTGTTTGCTCTTGAACAGTCAGTGGATGCTTCATCTGGTGAGGCCCACCCTCCACATTTACCCTGGACTCATGAGGGCTGGTTCAAATCACTTGATCATGCTAGGTGAGTTTAAACATTATATTTAAACAAAATACATATTTTGACCTACCCAGATTTGACTGTTACCTGTTAAAGCTTAAAGGAAAACACTTTACATTTATATTCAAAGTTCTGTTGACTCTAATGATGCTTAAAAGAACTCCAGTAATTTTTTGCCATTAAATTTCCTTCATATACAGAGCCTGCAATATATCATTTGTTATTCTTTAGTTATGCACTTGCTAACTTTTAGGGAAGCAATCTATTAACCAAAAAGTACATACAAACATGATAAAAAATATGTCAGTTTTGTATCTTCTTAAAATGCCATCATGAATGGGGTAGCAGGTAAACTTTACAAACACTTTTATGTTAATGTTAATTTTACAACAGAAGAAAGTCTCAATGTCTTAATTTCTTGAAATATTCTGAATTATGTTGCTGCCCTATACCAACCTGTCTGGCCAGCGTGGTATAGTAGGCCAAAACCTCCTTTCTAAGGAGAGGCCTATGTCCAGCAGTGGACTATTAAAGGCTGTTGATGATGATGATGATTGATGATGTTGCTAACACAGATCACAGTTTTATATGAAAAGCAGAAATATATCTACAATATGCCTTTGTTTGGTTTTACCACATAATTAAATCAATTTAATCAGTGTACCATATTATATCCTAGACAGTAGAACTATATCTAGGACAAATCAGTCAAGTATTTTTTTATTGTTGTATAAGTTGTTAAAAGGCTATCAGAACACAAGCACATGAAATGTTTAAAAAAACAAAAAGTAAATAAATAATGAAATCATAGAAATCTTTAACACATCATGGTATCTCATGCAAATATTTACTTATTATATTACAATAAACCCAAGTATATACCAAAATTAATGTTAGGTTACAAATAATTTAAATTTCTGTTTTTTACGTTTTTTTTTTAAATGAATGTAGTTAATCCAAGATTATGTAAATAATTTGTATTGTTGGTTATTCAAACACAGCACTGGTGCAGGTGAAATTTACACTAAATTGTGAATTATTGAATTCGACTGTATAAGTACACCTGCATATTTTACCCCAGGATTATTTTAAAATTCTTTCTTTTGAAAAATTATTTTATATGGTTCAGCTAATGTTAATTCATGCTTTTATTTTCAATTTGATTAAATAATGGTGCTTATCATGCAATTATTTGTTGGCATTAATTTTATAAAATATAATTTTGTGATTTAGCTCTTAATTAAAATCTTTTCATAAAATAACAATAAATACTATAATTAAATAAAACTTGAGATTATATTATGTATTATAACAATCACAATGCATAGATAGTATAAATTGGACAGTAACTTATCAGTACCAGTACCAATATCACATTATCAGTACCAATTTAGTTATTGGTCAATATGTACAGCTAATCTTCTTTCTTTGCCCATTAACAACATAGTTACTTACATAACTTATATCACATCACATCAATAGCCTTTGATAGTCCACTGCTGGACATAGGCCTCTCCTTAGAAAGGAGGTTTTGGCCTACTATACCACGCTGGCCAGACGGGTTGGTATAGGGTTTGTTTAACTTGCACCCTGGAAACGCTGGCGATGGTACTGTTTCCTCCTTGTCCTCTTGGAGGAGAGGATTATCGCCAGCGGCCAATATTCTAGCAGAAGAGGCAGCCGTTCATCGGCTCTCGGGCAAGGCCTGGTCCAGCAGGGTGGGCGTGTCTGCCGGTTGCCCTGCTGGCTCTTCGCTCTTCGGAGCATGGAGGAGGAAACCTCGGTAAAAAACCTGATGGCGGGGCCCTGTAGGGGCCACAGTTTCTCCGCTGACAGCGGTGGAGAAAGGAGGACGGGCTCGGCGTGTACTCACACTACCACCGAGCAGGCAGGGGGACGTAGTCTCCCTGTCAACCGTCGGCATATCGTAATCCCGAGAAGAGCGCTGTGGTTAAGTCTCGCGGCTCTGATCGGGGGGCGAGGGTCTTGGCTTAACCGCCCGGACCGCGAGGAAGATAACCTCTCTAAAAAATTCCCCGAATCCCGTGTTCTGGTGCGTGGCCAGGGGATGCATGGCTGATGGGAAGTTCAGTCGCAAGCGCACTCCAAGCCGAGGTACCTGCGGACCCCTCGGTTGGGTTAAAAACTTACGCTTGCCCGGGTAATGGGGGATCTCTGCCCGGGTGGACCTTTTAGTTCTCCCCCACTCGTGGGATTATTTATGAATATGAATACTGAAAAAAATACAAAGAAACGGACACAAATGGAAAACAAACAAAAACAGGCGAGCAAAACGGACACTGAAACGAAGATTGCAAGGGAGAAGAGGAACAGTGGAGCGGATGGGTCGTCCACTGAGGGTGAGATGGTGTCAGGAACGCCTATCTCGATGGGGCTCCCAGAAGTCAGTCTGACGCTGGTCTCTGGGAGCCGAAGAGCATCGGATCGGCTGCGTTCCGGATCCGCCGCTTCATCGGATGGCGCGGAGGCCATGGAAGCGGAGCGGAGCGACAGCCGGAAACGCGGACGCTCAGGGGACGTGGAATCCGACACGTCCGGCGAAATGATGCCACCAAAGGTGGCAAGCAGCCGCCGAGGGAGGGCGCGCAAACCGGCCTCGGTCGCGATCCCGTCAGGCTCCGCGTTCTCCAACGCGGAGTCGTACAGGAACGTACGGGTGGACGGCGAGGCCGTAGCGGAGGAGGAGATCGCGGATCTCCTGCTCAAGGTTCGGGAGCCGGTGGGGGGAAATGCCCCCCAGGCTCCCGTGTCCGTGCAGGAGAGGGCGAAAGCGGCGGTGGCCGTCATCAACAAGGTGGCCACCAAATCCGTGAACCTTAAGGGCTCGTTTGTGAGGGCCCTTAAGGACTCCTCCTCCGCTTTGTCGGAGGTCGTGGAGGGCCTAGCGGGCGACGTCTCTCGCCTGCAGGTGGCCAACGAGAGGCTGACGGAGCGGGTGAACGAGCTGAGTGCTCAGTTCGCCCGCTTCCAGGCGAACCTCCCCGAGCGGGAAGCCCCGTCCGCGTCCCAGCCTGCCCCTACCACCAACTCAGGGGCATTTGACTCCCAACTGCGAGAAATCCTCATCGCAGTTGGGAATATGCTGGACGGACGCCTGGCTGGCCTGGAGGCGAGACTGCCCCCTGCGCCGAGTATGCGCCCCCCGCTCGCGTCGGCACAGCGGCCTAAGGCCGCCGCTCCGACCGCGCTGCCCGTAGTGGGAGGCCGCGTCTCCTACGCGGCGGCGGCGTCTGCCCCGACTCCATCGGCTCCCCAAAAGCCGAGGAGGGGGGCCAAGGCACCGGCCCAGGCGCCGGCCAAGGCACCGGCTAAGGCGCCGGCCAAGGCACATCCCCAGGCGCCGGCCAAGACGGGGCCTAAAAACGGCGCCGAGGAGCGGAGTGCATTCCCTCCGCTCCCCACTCCGACACCCCTGCCGGGCCCCTCCGCACCTGCCCCCTCCAACGAGGGTTGGCAGGAGGCGAGGGGCTCCAAGAAGTCCCGAAGGCGGGCCAAAAAGGCTGCCAAAAAAGCAGCCCAGGCCCAGCCTTCGCCACCGGTGGCAACGGCCTCCACAAAGAGGCCGCGGAAGCTGCAGCCGCCCAAAACCGCGGCTGTAGTGGTGACCGTGTCCCCGGAGGCGGCGGACGGCGGGCTGTCCTACGCGGCCGTCTTCAAAAAGGCCCGGGACAGCCTCGCCAACGACTTCGGAACGGTGGGGGTCAGGATGCGCCTCGCCCAGACGGGAGCTCGAGTTCTCGAGTTCCCTGGGGCTGAAGGCGCAAAGACGGCGGACTCCTTCGCTGAGAAGCTGCGGGGAATATTTGCAGCCACAGATGGTGTCAGGGTCGCCAGGCCTACCAAGTGCGCGGAACTGCGCATCTCGGGCCTGGACGACTCAGTGACGGCCGAAGATGTCCGCGCTGTAATCCGGGAGAAGACGGGGTGCAGCGCGGACAACGTCAGGGTCGGCTCCATCCGCCCCGGTCCAGGAGGGCTTGGCGCCGTGTGGGTCAGCTGTCCCGTAGCGTCGGCCAAAGTATTGGCCGACGCCGGCAGGCTGCTCATCGGTTTCGTGAGCGCCAGGATCACAGTCCTGGCGGCGAGACCGATGAGATGCTACAAATGCCTGGCATCGGGACACACGCGCGTCAAGTGCGACAGTTGTTTTGACTGCGGCGGACTGTGTTTCCGCTGCGGTCAACCGGGGCATAAGGCGGCAGAATGCTCTGCCGCCCCTCACTGCCCAGTGTGTGCGGCGGGCAATAAGCCCGCCAATCACCAGATGGGGCAGAGAGGCTGCAAGCCTCCCCGCAGTTCTCGGCAGACGTCGGGGGTTAGCCAGTCGACCCAGGCTGCCTCCGATGTAGTTCGTGCGTCGACGTCGTCGCCCATGGAGGAGGTTGTAGAGACGATCCAGTAATGGATCAAGTCTCCAACCTCCTGGTCCAGACGAACCTGAACCACTGTGCCGCGGCGCAGGATCTCTTCCTGCAAACCATGGCACAGTGGTCGATAGGTGTTGCCGTAGTCGCGGAGCCCTATTCTGTCCCTCCCCGTCCAAACTGGATGGGTGACTGGGACGGCTCCGTGGCAGTCGTCGGTTCCACGACGGCTCATTCCCCGCCCTTGTCGCTAAGAGACAAGGGCACTGGATATGTTGCCGTCGAGTGGGGGGGGATCACCATATATGGTGTCTATTTCTCCCCCAGCCGGAGTTTGAACGACTTCGAGGTTTTCCTAATCAGCTTGGAGACCTCGATACGGCGACTAGCGTCTGGGCACGTCCTTGTGCTGGGGGACTTCAACGCAAAGTCCATTGCGTGGGGTTCCCCCAGGACGGACGCCAGGGGCGAGGCCGTAGAGGAGTGGGCGGCCTCGGTGGGCCTCTGTCTTCTAAACAGAGGCTCCACCAACACGTGCGTGCGACAGCAGGGGGGGGTCGATAGTGGACCTCTCGTTCGCTACCCCTGCCCTCGCCGCACGAGTAAGGAACTGGCGTGTCCTGGAAGAGGTTGAGACGCTCTCGGATCACCTGTATATCCGATTTGAGCTCTCCCGGACCCAGGACTCCAGTAGGGGTCACGTGGCGCGGCGTTTATCCCGCTTTCCGCGGTGGGCTGTTGCCAGGCTGAACCGGGACCTACTAGAGGAGGCAGCCATAATTCACTCGTGGCTGTCTCCTCAGGCTCCGACCGAGGAGGTCGACGTGGGGGCTGGCCGCTTTCGCGATGCGATTACGCATGTATGCGATGCGGCCATGCCCCGCGTTCGAGGTCGTCGGCCTCCAAGGAAGGAGGTCTACTGGTGGTCCCAGGAGCTGGCGGACCTCCGTGCGGCCTGTACACGTGCCCGGAGGTCCTACACACGCAGTCGGCGGCGTCACCGTGGAGACGGTGAGGAGGACCGGCTTCATGAGGGGTACCGGCGGGCGCGGAAAACTCTGAAGCTGGCCATTAGCCGCGCCAAAGAGGAAAAGAGACAGGAGATGCTGGAGGGTCTTAATCGTGACCCCTGGGGTCGCCCTTACCGCGCGGTGCGACAAAAGCTCCGCGCGTCGGGCCCCCCCCTTACGGAGACTCTCCAGCCCAGCTTCCTGCGAGAAGTGGTTGAGGGCCTTTTCCCACAACGAGCGGAACACACTCCCCCGTCGATGGCCTCCCTGGCCGGAGACGACGGGGAGCACGGGGAGGACAATGTTCCGCCCGTCCGGGATTCGGAGGTAGGGGCGGCTGTTCTACGGATCCGTTCCAAGAACACCGCCCCTGGGCCAGACGGGGTACCGGCCCGAGTGCTGGCCCTGGCCCTCAACCACATGGCAGACCGCCTCGGGGAGGTGTTCGACGCTAGCTTGGCGTCGGGACGCTTCCCTGAGTGCTGGAAAAGCGGGAAGCTGGTCCTATTGAGGAAGCCGGGACGGCCAGCCGATTCGGTCGCGGCCTATAGGCCCATCGTGCTGCTGGACGAGGCGGGCAAATTGTTTGAGAGGGTTCTTTCTGCCCGCATCGTCCGGCACCTCTGCGAGGTGGGCCCCGATCTGTCGGACGCCCAGTTTGGTTTTCGGGCGGGGCGTTCGACAGTCGACGCCGTGTTGCGCCTGAGGGCCGTGACCGAAGAGGCCGTGAGCTGTGGCGGCGTGCTGTTGGCGGTGTCACTGGACATCGCCAACGCATTCAATAGTCTGCCATTCAGCTGCATCAGGGAAGCACTCCACTATCATGGGGTGCCAAAGTACCTGAGGCGGCTAGTGGCAGACTATTTAGAGGAGCGTACCGTCGTGTACGAGGACCGAGAAGGTAATCTGAGGTGTCGGCCCATGTCGTGCGGTGTTCCACAGGGGTCTGTTCTTGGACCCCTCTTGTGGAACATAGGGTACGACTGGGCCCTTCGCGCCGATTTCCCCCCCGGGCTGGGTGTAATCTGTTACGCAGACGATACCCTCGTGACAGCCCGGGGGGCAAACTTCCAAGAGGCGGCGCGCCTGGCCACAGGGGGAGTCTCCCTGGTGGTCGGGCGCATTGAGGCGCTGGGCTTACGGGTGGCCCTAGATAAGACGGAGGCCCTGTTATTCCATGGGCCCCGTCGTGGTCCACCCCCTGGCGCCTCAATCGTGGTCAACTCGGTCCTCGTACCGGTTCGGGCCCAGATGAAATATCTGGGCCTGATCCTCGACGGGAGGTGGCTCTTCGACGAGTACTTCCGACAGCTTGCTCCAAAGCTGGTCGGCGCTGCGTCTGCCCTAGGGCGACTTTTGCCCAATATGGGTGGACCCAGCGTCGCGACAAGACGGCTGTACACGGGGGTTGTCCGGTCAATGGCACTGTACGGTGCACCGGTGTGGGCGGCGGCTCTGACCGCCCAGAATAGGGTACGCCTCTGGCGCCCTCAGAGGGTAATGGCGGTCAGAGCCATACGCGGTTACCGCACCGTTTCGACGGATGTGGCGTGCGCGTTGGCCGGAACTCCCCCGTGGGATTTGGAGGCGGAAGTGCTCGCCGAAGTTTATCGGCGAGTGGCTGACTACCGGGCGGAGAGCGGATTTCGCCCTCCGCCCGAGGATGTGCGCGAGTGGCGCGAAGCCGCTCGCCGAGCCACGATGGCTCGTTGGTCGTTCCGGCTGGAGACTCCACGCGCTGGCTTCGCCGCCGTGGAGGCTCTCCAGCCGGTCATCGCCGAGTGGGCAGGGCGGCAGCACGGGACCCTTTCCTTCCGACTGACGCAGGTGCTTTCCGGGCACGGTTGCTTCGGAAAGTACCTGCACACGGTCGCTAGGAGGGAACTGAGTCCCGCCTGCCACCACTGCGACTGCAGTGAGGACTCGGCCCAGCACACGCTGGCGGTCTGCCCCGCATGGGCGGCGCAGCGCCGGGCCCTCACTGCAGTCATCGGAGTGGATCTCTCGCTACCGGCCGTAGTACGCTCCATGGCCGGTAGCGACAGTTGTTTTACCGCGGTCGCAACCTTCTGCGAGGTAGTAATCTCGCGGAAGGAGGCGGCGGAAAGGGCCCGGGAGGACGACCTCCACTCGGACCCGATCCGCCGCCGGCGAACCGGGCGGCGGAGGCCCGCCTACCACAGCCTCATGCCGCCCTGAGTGTGGCCGCGGGTGGACGGGGTGGGTTTCCCCTCCACCCGCATTAGTTGGTCAGCCGCGAGGGGGCGGCGTCCGCGTGTGCCGGACGTCGCCTAAAGAGAGGAACATCTATATTGAGACGGAGCCCGCACCAGGAGCGGGCTGGCGCTAGGAGGGGTCCGGATGTCTTAACAACAGCTGTTCCCGGATCCCTCCTGTTACAGGCGCAGAGTGGCACACCGTGTGGTTTTAGTCGGTCCGAGTCCGACACACCACCCCGCCGCAAACCCCGGAGGGGTGACGGTCCGAGGGGATTTCCACACGTTAAAAAAAAAAAAAAAAGGGTTTGTTTAACTTCCACTCGGACCCGATCCGCCGCCGGCGAACCGGGCGGCGGAGGCGCGCCTATCACCGCCTCATGCCGCCCTGAGTGTGGCCGCGGGTGGACGGGGTGGGTTTCCCCTCCACCCGCGTTAGTTTGGCCAGCCGCGAGGGGGCGGCGTCCGCGTGTGCCGGACGTCGCCTAAAGAGAGGAACAATTTTGAGACGGGGCCCGCAACTGGAGCGGGCTGGCGCTAGGAGGGGTCCGGATGTCTTAATAACAGCTGTTCCCGGATCCCTTCTATTACAGGCGCAGAGTGGCACACCGTGTGGTTTTAGTCGGTCCGAGTCCGACACACCACCCCGCCGCAAACCCCGGTGAGGTGACGGTCCGAGGGGATTTCCACACGTTAAAAAAAAAAAAAAAAAAAAAAGGGTTTGTTTAACTTACATAGTTACTACATAAATTCGATGTGTATAGAAGAGTGTCAGCTAGTGTCAAGAGCTACAATAATTTTAACATGAATACAGAGAAAGTTAATGCGAGTGAGATACGTAAAAAAACCTCCCTAGAAATATAGTACAAAAGATTCTACAGAATCTATTACAATATTTTACTATATCATATTTCGTCACAAATTAGCCCATAGAGTTGATAATCATTCTGTTAAATAAAAACCACAAATTCCACTTTTCCCAAAACAAAATTTTTTGAAGAAAAATTTCTAGCCAAATAAAATATTTTTAGGAAAAATTCTATTGAGTTTGTCAAACATTTCCACCCTAAGCCATACGGTCTGTATTTGTATTTTTCACAGGCCTATACACTAAAACTTAATTAAGACAAGCAATGCTTTTATCACTAAATCTATAGAAGTACTTATCAGTAATTTTTTTTTTATTAAAAGACAACTCCCGCATTAGGAATATATCCTGTGTCGCGGGGGACTTTACAAACATACATGAAACGGACACAAAGAACATCCAGACTTAGAACAACAATTTGTGAATCACACAAAGTGTCGTCCCATGTGGGGTTTGAACCCACAACACTCGGCGCAGTAGGAAGCACCGCTTAAACCACTGCGCCATCCGTGCAATATGTGAATTGATTGAATTTACTTGTATTTGACAGTGTTCGTCGTGGCTACGAAGTGTACAAACAAGTGTGCAAAGCGTGCCATTCCCTTCAGTACATGGCCTTCAGACACCTTGTTGGGTACACCCATACGGAGGAAGACGCAAAAGCAGAAGCTGCCGACGTTAGTAACTAATTAATTATAAAAATAAGAGCTACATAAGATCACTGTGAATCTTTAGTGCTTTAAGTACAATTTATTATAATTTATAATATTATTTTGGAATTGGTAAAGGTCCATGGATATTTTATCTCTGATAGAAATACGTAATCTAATTTTAGGTCTATGGTTCTTTAATTTTTTTACTAACACACACAAGAACCCAATATTCTTTTCTAGATTTTTTTCTATTGCATCGCAGTATTGTTCATGCGTAATCCATAAGAAATTGTACTTCAATTACTCTGTGTTTTGAAGTAGAGGTAATAGAGATGTTATAACCTGACCAACCTTAACAAATGTTATTATTATCACACTTATAATGGAAAACAATACACTGACGCAAGGATATTAAAAAAATCTATGAGCTATAACCTACCCTAAGAATCTATTTAAACCTAGTTAGATTGGCATACACTGGCATAAAGCCAAATAGAAATATACTTATGTAAACCTACTTTTATTGCAGACAAATACTAATACTATTTGTTGCTATTCTATGATTTTAGAAAATTAGTTTTTACACAATTAGTTCTACAAAATAATATCAAACACATGTGAAACAAACTGAAAACTATTGATTCTACTACAGATAGTTTATTAAAATAAAAAAATTCTTACCCTAATTTAATAATAATTTATTATATTTATATACCTATATACATTTTGTATAAAGTAAAGAATGGTTATTTAAAAACATTCTGTTGAAAACTGAAGCTCTGAATCAGCTTCTGAATATTTTACATGAGTTTGTTTTCTGTGTTAAAGTACACATAGAATAAAAGAATATTAAACTATAGCCAATTCATGATGTGTATACTCAGAGCTACATATACAAGCTATGTTTGATACTGATACAGTAAATCCAAAAAGGCTTTTCAAAAGCATGTCAAATGTTAGTGCCTGTCCTGCAAAATAACATGGCATTAGTAGATTAATGATTACCAAAAAATTAGATATTAATTTTAATCACAGTTCATTTATCTTTTAAATTCTGTGTTATTTTGAATTTTGTCATTGCTATTTGAACACCCGTGTGATAAATAAATAATCTGTTTTTTATTGTAACAGGTTATGATTAAAGATGGTCCAGATGAAGAAGGCAATTACTTCGAGAGGCCGGGCAAGTTGTCTGACTACTTCCCATCGCCTTATCCCAACGAAAATGCGGCAAGAGCTGCTAATAACGGTATATATTTTTTTTTTGCCAGTAATAAAATATAATTAAAAAGTTTATTGAGTCAGATATTTTAAAAATAATATTTATCATAAAATAACAAAGACACACAATGATAGATAATGTTTTTATTAATATTTTTATTTAAAAAACAGAACTGCACTAGGAATATATCTTATGTTGTGGAGACCCACATCACGAAGTGGTGAGGTGACACTTTAACCACTACACCATTAGTGCAGTTAATAACACTTACATTGTCACTTTCATAAAGTAAAAAAGGTTCTGTATTGCTAAGGTCAGCAAGGTAACACTGGCGATCATTAAATTGATAAAATTCTGAAGAAATAAAAAATAAAAAAATACATTTTTTTTTTAATTTAAAGTATTAAAAATTGCAACATAAAACAAATTAATTGTACTGATGAGTACTTCTTATACTAGGCAATGAAATCACTCAGTATGAAGTAGAACGAAGTAATAATTCACACACAAATGTAGATATGTAATGCAACTCTGTCTCTATTGGGTTTATTTTGCCTGTGCATTAGTAATAATAAGAAATATGACAATATGAATTGTAATTTGTCAGGTGCGTATCCTCCGGATCTGTCTCTAATTTGTTCGGGCCGCAAGGGCGGCGAGAACTACCTGTTCGCGCTGCTGACCGGCTACATGGAGCCACCCGCAGGGGTTGTGCTCCGCGAGGGACAAGGGTACAATCCTTACTTCCCTGGTGGCGCTATTTCTATGGCTCAAGTTCTATTTGACGAGGTATGTACTTCTTATTTCTATTTAACACTGATGTCCAATAACAAAAGGAAATTCAAATTATAGTATCCTTGTGATATTGATGCTGGATTCTTTCGAATTTGATAAATAATAAATTAAATATTTATTTACATATTACCAGACGTTATATACTGTTTACACTAGTGATTTAAAAAATATCCACAAAACAACACGTTACATTATTGTGTTCTAATATTCAAGAAAAATAAATAAATATTTGTGATAGGTAGTACTCCAGTAGTACACTCTGCTAATCAATGCTACTGGGGTCGTTCCCGATTTAGATAATTATTCTCGATTTCTTATCATATCTGGAAATCATTCCTGGAATGGTTTTAATGGTGGTTACAAAATCACACTTATGAATGATGACAACAACACTTCTTTTTATTACAGGCTGCAGAATACAGCGATGGCACGCCAGCCACGGCGTCTCAAATGGCCAAAGACGTGGCCACGTTCCTCCGGTGGTGCTCAGAGCCCGAGCTGGACGATCGCCGACTTATGACCATCAAAGCAATCGGTATCTTCTCATTGCTAGCAGCAGTCGGAGCATACTTTAAACGCCACAAGTGGAGTACAATGAAGTCCAGAAAAATAGCCTACAAACCAATCTCTAAGAAATAAAATCAACCATTATACAGTAGTATAAACAAACGTTTAGACAATTTTTTTCTATAGGCACAGTAACATGTTATTTCTTTATAATATTAAATTAATTTATTATATATTTCATCGCCTTTATTTCTTACCTCGGTTTTATGTGGCTTTTATTGTGCCTGCTGCTGTTGTTGCCACAATGTATGTCATCATTCGTGCGGGGGTAGAGGGCACGATATATACTAATGCGTATTAATTATATGATAGAGATTGTCGACGACTCTGCACAGTCAAATTACTTAATAATGTTAGGTGATTCAATGTGATTTAAAACTGTGCTTGTGACTTTCCATGAGAGTTGTAACTGCCAGTCAGTTGTACAGTTGAATAAATGAGTTACTGAAAATCGGAATAATGGCTCTTTTAATATCTTCCACTATAACTCCCGTTTTACCCTTTTCCCGTAACTGCTAATCTCAGGCAAACAATGTATCGCTGTCCATTCGCTTTTCTTTTCCAGACTTAAATTAATTATTATTACGTTTCCAAGTAATTGATTGCCAGTTTGTAAATTAAAATTTTCTAGCGCGACTTTAAAAACATATTTTAATGTAATACCATTAATGTACCCGTGTCTTTAACACTGGCATGGCTACCATCAAGGATTTTAATTTTGATAACAAAAAAATATGTCGCCAAATATCAGAATTTGTCGGTCACTGGTTCAAAAGTTTAATTGTTTATAGGTGGCCCATCTGTAGGGCATCTGTTCGCATTTTTTTATTACTTTTATTATAATAACATCTGTACACTTGAAATCCGTTCCCTAATAATAAAACGGTAAAGGAACACTTCAAATTCCCCTATGTAATCGAACCGTACAAAAATAGAAAAAAAAACATACCGACGTTTTAGTTTATATTATAGCGTTATCGTCAAAAAAATGATAAATATTATAATTTGAAACATGTATGAGCCTCATAGACCTCTTAGACAGGAGGTTTTCACCTACTATACCACTCTGGCCAGACGGGTCTCTTTGCAGTGCTGTTGTTAGTCTGCTACACAGAACTAATATTACTATATTACTAGAAAGTTTGCTCTTACGACACCCTACGGGTGAATAAGATGGTGACATTATATTCTTAATCCGTCACCACACGAGCAGTTTCTAAAACATGAAATTAAAAAGGCTATTATCAAGCATTTCGATAAATCAATAATTTTAGGATCGCAAGTGCTTTATTCAGTGTTGCCCTTTTGATGGTATCCCCTGGTTCTTAGGCGGTTGAGAAGGTTAGGATTTCTTAGTTCATAATGTATTATTATTACCTATATAAAATTATGGACATATTACAAGTAATATATAAGTGTATACTAACTTAAAGCATGACATTCTTTCAATAGAATAAATTTCCAGAATTGATATCTTCATGTTAAGATCATTACAAGTGACAACAACTTTTGAATGCTGTGAATATCAAATATTGTATCATCTATCACAGAGTATATTGAATAATAATCATCTGTAGCTGTGAATGTCAATGTCATTTAAAATGAAATTTATTATAAAAATAAATATTTATTACATAAATTGATAAATTAAAGATAACATAAATGCGATGAACGCTATAGTTGGTTTATGCCATTTTTGTGAGGCTCACGGTCCACGTCCATTATTTTGTACTTTCACTACAGACGACAAAGAACATACCACGGAGTCTTCTAAGTCCAGTGTGCAATGTAGTGGTTGTACTTCTCTGGGCCCAGAAACTGTGTATGTATCAAAAGACGACGATGGCACTGTATTTTGTAGTAGGGAATCAGTTCCTAATACTGATGTCACAGCTTTTTTGCGACAGGCTGCAATAAGAAGCATCACTTGTGAGGTATGGATAATTGCAATTGCATTTCGGTAAATATATTCTGGTATATTTTTCTAACATTTATTGTGTTTATTGATAGGTCTGTTGAACTTCTTGTAAAAATGTATTTTTTTTTATCATGTTATTAGCATGTAGGTAGTAAGTTGCCACTTATCAATGTAGCCGAATTATTCAATATTCTAGGTAAACTGGAGTAAAGAAGGTGGGATAGTATACTTTAGTGATACACACGGTCATGTGCTGAGTTTGACATTTCAAGTAAAAGACACCTGGGCTAGAGGCCTGAAGCGGTGGTTCTCAATTGTTGTGCTAATGAAGGATAAAATGCTACTTTTAAATATTACTCCACTACTTTCTGATCATATGCAGGTATTTATAAATATATAAGTATTAAATTAAAAATATCTACAATATAGGGTGTTACACTCTACCACAAAGCCATTAACCAAAAGTTGAAGTTGAATATAGGGTGTTGACTTTTGTTTATAACAATCTCACTGTAATCTTTTAAGGGTACTCTTGTTGCAAAAAATAAGTTAATAATTATGTAATAATAGGAAATAGACTCCAACTAATTTCACTTGATGTCGGATATGTGAACTAATTAATCTTTACCACAGAAAATATCAAAGGAGCTGCAAGCTATGGCCAATGTTGTTTATGATGCAGAACAGAAGGTATGCTCACAAAGGGCATTGAGATTAAGAACCGGAAGAAATGATTTTGGGCAGTCCAGATCTCTAATACACTTAACTGGTAAGCAATTTTTTGCACACATGACTGCTTTTGATTCTTGGTTATTGATAGTAATACAGTATTCTACTGTTCTTATCTTCTACTTCTTACTTATGTAAAAGATATATCTGTCACGTAATCCTTACATGATTGGAGAAGCCTCCTTTACTTGCACTGCATGTACCTACACTAGGGTGTCCCTCATATGGGATAAAAAAAAATTTTTGAAATCAAAATGCATACTATTTATTTTACCCCTATTTATTTTAAACTACCCAGACTTACTTAAATACAAAACTTTATCTTCCTACTACTTTCAACATTAACCCGTGCCGACAGAACTCTGAAGATTTATGTAGCTAAATCAATTGAAATATTTAAATTTTATAAAATGTTTATTCAAAGAAGCTAAAATTACAGATCAGGCAGGATATTTTCTTTTGAGGGTCTCTTTTTTAAAGTCTTTATATAGATTTCTATGCTCCTGAACACAAAATAGCAAAAATTGCTTTTGCTCTTCCTCTGCAGTAATCAAACCATGAGAATCTTGCATAAGCTTGACGACCGGATGGCGTAGTGGTTTGTGTAACGGACTGCTATTCCACAGGTCGCGGGTTCGATTCCCGCTGAAGTCAAACATTTGTGTGCTCATGCTCATTTAATGTTTGACTTGGTCTGGGTGTTTCTATGTATAATAAGTAAGTATTTACAAAAAAAAGTATATATCTATTTATATCAGCTGTCTAGTAGCCATAGTACAAGCTCTGCTTAGTTGGAGACAAGATGGTGTTGTGTAAATGTGCTAGAATATTATTATATTGTATTGTTGTATATACAAAAATGTCGTGTGACAATATCGGTGTATGTGTCAATGGCAGCAGGATTAATAGTTTTCCAGTTTTCTCTTAACTTTTTAAGCAGTGGGATATCAGGGCTACTTGTGACTTGGTGGGTTTTTGTTTCGAACACACATTTCAAAACCAGTTCGTAAACGTGATGGCGGCAAGCAAAGAGTAGTAATTCCCTGTCTAGTTTTTGTTCTAAAAGTACACGAATTTCTTTCAATCGACCTGTATTAGACGCAGGTGAGTCACAAGACATTATTTGTACTTTGTCATCGAGGTTCCAATCATAAAGTGCGTTCAACACAGCTTTAGCTTGATCCTGGCCGGAAGAGTTTGGGTATAGCCAGAAGTCGTTCCTTCTCTCCAAATGAAATTAGAATTGTCAGGTGTTCTTCTTTAGAACTTGTCACGTCAAGTCCAGGTAATAATTTCTCCCATCTCAGTGAACGGTCACCATTTCAGGCATATTATTCTGAAAATCTGATTTTATAGATTCCGCTCTATCTTTTCGACTCTGTGTGCGAGTGCGTTGAACGGACTATTTGTTTATCGGAAAATCATCACCGCTAAATCTAGTGCTTCTCCTCACGGAGCAAACACAAAGAAGAGGTGTTCTAATTAGAATTCGTATGAAACAACGCAAATTATCACAATTTGCGGTTTTTTTTTGCAATAAGAATGTCGCTTATAATTTAAATTTTTCCTAAAAATCAAACTAAGTACAATTGCCTTCATTTTCATATTAGAAGTACTTTATTGGATTCCAATTTCGTCCCTGTCTTTTTGTTCAGATTGTGTATATTTTTCTAGTTGACGATAGATGACAGTCACATCTGATCACAAAATGATTACTAAAAATTTAAATATATTGTTTTGGCGATTAAAAATTCTTTAGGACTGAATGCAGAACAAATTTCAGTATTATCTGACTAAAACTAATTACACAAAGTTTAGTCATCTAGTAACGAATAGAAGTAACCATACTTAAAAAACACTAAGAGATCTTTCCAGAACTATTTTGATAAATTGAGTATAAAATTACTTACAAATAAAATGCGATGCCATCCATAACAATAAACGAAAATAAATACAAAATTTAATACTTTTCTTCTTAATACCACGAAAGTATACCGATTTGCAATAGAGTAGATTCCTAGGTTTAAAATAAATTATTTCGCCTGCATCATTAAATGTAACATCTCAAAGTAGAGGCTGAATTGTCCTCGATTGTCAATTTAATCCTTTTATTGATTTGACATCTTGAAATCAACGTTAAATATAAATGTTTTGACAATAACTAGGTATGACGTAACGAATTAGTATCTCATACAAAAATGTACCGCGTCTAGCGTTTTGGCGTTTAAAAAAAGACACTGATTTGACTTGACAGTCATCTACCCTATTTTGCTACACGAGCGCACAGTACGGACGGTGAATATACTATTTTTAAGCCACGCCCACTGTGATGACGTCAGGACCTACTTAGAATTACAGTGCACAATTGCTTATGCCCCTCCTCTTTGTATTTGCTCCGTGATTCTACTACAGCCTGAAGTATATAGACAGAATCCCTTATGCTTAATTGACATCTATCTAAAGCTGCAACTAACTTAGGCGTGATAAAGTCTTTCCTTCCTCTTTTGTAGTAGTTTCAGAACTTACCATTTGAGAGGTGGATGGCAAGGGTTCCTCAAGGCTTTCATCAGAGCTGGTAAGTTAATCGTGATGTCCTTGCGTTTGTGTAGAATCTTGCATAGTAAGAGATGACGATAAGCCTCCGAAACACATTTGTCACATCTTTTTTTCTCTTCATTAAATTTTCTTTGTCTTGCCCTTTCTTCTTGTTTGGCTAACTTTTTGTCTACTCCCGCTAAACACCCTGGACGCCCTGGTTCTCTTTGTTTTTGTAAAAATATTTTCTCTTCTTCAATTTTCATCCGTTCCAAAGCATCAGCGTGTGCTATATCAAATAAATTAACTAAATTGTTTGTAAAGTCCTCTTCACGGCGCTTGCAAAAATCTTGTTTTTTTTTAGAATTTTTTTGCAACACCCTCCAAGCATGGTTAAGATCACACATGCACAGACACCACAATGGTTAAAATGATTGTCTCGATGTATCTTCACAATGAATATTGAGAATACCATGTCCATATCACAAAAATATGTGTAAGCCACCAATGGCTATCCCAAGCCTCAGTCATTACAGACGCCAATAATTTTTGTATCCGTCGTTGCAATGTATCCCGTGCGATAGAAATCTTTCGTAAAGTAAGAGTTACCTTTAAACTGCACTTGCACTGTATTTACAAAAACACACTATAATAAACTAGAAATCACTATATATCTCGTTAGTCGCACTAGAAGTTTACTCCGATTTTAATTTGCTGTGTTGTAAAACGATACTGTCTCGAGCGGCCAACACGCTCCGCTTTTATAGTGCTATTGTAGTACTAGATCCCTAGTATTCAATAGTCTATTCCAGACAAACAAGAATATTCCAGAATTAGTCACGCTTTACTTGCAGCGCCATCTACCGCTGTGAGGATAGAACTATTAACCACAATCTTAATAGATGTACTTTACTCGATACTAGATGGCGCTGACCTCCACATTCCATACAATTTTGGAACAATCGAACTATTTAATGCTATGGCGCAACAATATTATAATGGTAGAATTTACAAACTTGAAATGTTTATTTATACTCAATGTATATGTCCGTGTGGTGACGGATTAAGAAGACGGAACGTCACCACCCCTATTCATCCCGTGGGTGTCGTAAGAGCCGACTAAGGGAGCAAAACTACGCAGGACAACAGCACTGCAAAGAGAAGGAAAACTTGAAACTAACCCTACATCAACCCGTCTGGCTAGCGATATAGTAGGCCAAAACCTCCTTTCTAAGGAGAGGTCTAAGTCCAGCAGTGTTTATATACTAATGCTTTTAATTCCATTACAGGAAGTGAAGATGTGTTTAAAAATCTACATTCTCATTTTACGTGGATGCTAAAAGCTGGTGCCCATACATACTCAGAAACTTTATATACCAGTCAAGATCTTCTTAAGAAACTACAACCACAGGCCCTAAAGAATTCAATATTTGATCCTAGCACATGCTCTGTGTCTAGCAATGAGGAATGCATGTCTCTAAGGAGTTTGGATCAGTTACTATCTAAATCAGTATTTAGAATACTCTTTTTCTGTACCTTAACTGGAGTAAATGTAAGTAAATTATTTTGTTTATAAGAATTTAATTATTTTGTGTGGCATTTACAGCGTGCCCATCTCTCCGTGGAGTGAGGTGAGTTTATGTTCTCTTGAAACCCCCGGTAATTAGTGATCGATAGCGAAAACATCAAAACAATAGCAAATCTGATTAAACTCAGACATCAATATGCTCCCTTGATTGGTCCTTTATCCTTAAGTATAAATTCAATCAGCTTAAAGTTTACTTCATCACCTCTTTTATCAGAAAATTAATATTTGAAACGTAGCTAGTATGAAACATACGAGTTCCCTATGAATTTTAGAACTGAAACAGATACTTTGGTTCGACACTGGATATCTGGTGAACGTTAAAGCCGAATAACTTAGGCCTCCCAATATTAGGCCGAAATTGTCACATATAAGTAGCTGCCAAAAAGAAATTAGTATAGGATTTAATTATACATAAACAGTTTTCTCATTCAACTCTCAACGAGGGTTACTTTGAAAGTTCAATAAGAAAGCCGTTCCAACTACAAATTTCATCTAGTTAACGAAAGATTTAAGACTAAAAAAAAATTGAAGGAATTGATGAATCTGGAAGAAACCTAACGATGATGGGAACGACGAATTTAGAAATATTCTACGACTCATACTTAAGTAACCGTTAATTATTAACGCCCTGGCTTAAAAAAATAGAAATAAGGTGCTAGGAAGAAATATATACCTACGAGAAAAAACGCAGCTCTACATGATATTATAACTTTCTACATTTATTCATAAACTCACCGCTTTTATCCTTTTGGAGAAGGCAGAAAACATTCGGCCTTGCTCCTTCTTACATACCAGGAACTTCCTGACTGAACTTACCATACGCCATTGAACTTACAAATGCCTCGTTTCGGCCTGCCCATTCCACAAAACATCAGCGACAAAGTCACGCAATGACACACTAGTGTTTAGTTTGTGACATTTTACATCTTTCTCCTTCGTCCACTTTGTAAGGAATAATGTGAATGGTGTGCTCTGCAGTAGTACGGAAAACCTTTACTAAATCTTGCGTTCTGTTGAAGAGTTGTTATTTTTACCATAATTGCTTTATAAGTACAATTATTTTGTTGTAATTGAAAACATGACGATTATATTTTATACCGCTTAAAATGTACTTAAATTTAATATCCAGTATCTGAGATTTCCATCTCTGGTTCTCAACGTGAGAATAAGTTCAGTATAATAATGCTTGTTTTTACTTTTCAGATAGTAATAAAATCAAGTACAATACAAGCTGAAAATATTGTAGAAGGTTTAAAAAGATTATTGCCCGTAAATAAGACTAACTACCCTCTCATAAGACAAGCTAATGATAAAGAGACAATATTGCCGGCAACTTGTTTAGTAGAAGAAACTCAAAGCAGTTATTTTAGCTGTAAATGGAAGGGCATATTACCAGTAAAGTGTAAGTTTTCCTGATATTTTTTAACTTTGCTTTCCAGAAAACTAAAAAATGAGCTTAATTAATTACAAAGTACCTAAAATGAACTAGGGCATTCTCGTAAATTAGCTGAGATAAAAAAGTAGGTTAGGATATACATTCAGTGAAAAATCTTTATTGGAATTGTTTTTGTTTTGGGAGGACATATCGTTTTATACCAAGTAAAGTTAAGAGTCATAAAATTGATCATTATATAATTATTATCAGATAATATTATCACATACTAAATAATAGCTACAATATAGAAGGTGTCCCAATAAACAAGGTTCATGTTATTCGCGATTTAGGAGTTCTACTGGATAGTGCACTCAAATTCGATGCTCATATATTACACACCGTTGCAAGGGCGTTTAAGGTACTGGGCTTCGTCTTAAGAAATTGTAAAGGTTTCAAAAAATCTTTTACTAAAATACAGCTATTTAATTCACTCGTACGTCCCATCTTGGAGTATGGCTCAGTAATATGGAATCCACATTACGAAGTATACACGAAACGATTACAAAGTGTGCAGAGGGGCTTCCTCTACCATCTATGCTACGGAGACCATTTAGCAAAAGAAACTTTAAGTTATACATCACGGTTAACGCGTTATAATTTAAAAACCTTAGCGAGAATAATAAAATAACCGCAGAATGAAACTTGATTCCATATTTCTACATAAAATACTAAGTGGTTCCACGGACTGTAGTGAGTTACTAAGCGCCTTAAGCATAAAAATACCTTTGCGTCTTCCAAGAAAAAGCAATTATAATTTATTTGAAATTCCATTTTCGAGAACCTATCTGGGTCATTACGCTGCTGTGCCGAGAATTTGGAGGCTATACAACACTATCAAAAGCTCATGATATCGATATTGGCGAATCCTTACCCCGATTTAAAAGACACTTGCAAAAAGTTCTTTAAGGTTCTCATTTATTATTGGTTTTCCTTTTTCTTTTTTTTAAATTCTAAAATTTGTCTTTTTTGTATTTAGAAAGAAAAAAATTAAATATTTTGTCATATTTAATGTTATTTAGGCGGTTTTTCTCACTCTGTTACTTTTGAATTAGTTTTGTATTAGGTATAAGTTTGGGTATTCTAGTGAGTGCTGTGATCTCCTATAACTGAAGGAGTACACTATTCAAAAAACTAAGTGTATAATATATGTACTTTTGTGTATATCCTTTGTTGGAAATCCAATAAATAAATTTAAATAAAAAATATATATAATTCTGATGAAGTCGAACGTAACACTTAAGTACGTTTTATTATAACTCTTTGACACATTTCATATGTACACGTATCTATAAAATAATAAGCAAGTAATGAAATTGAACTATTCTTGTATATTTTCACTAACACATAAACCTTTCTGATTGTAGGTCCCACACTGATGAATAGAATAGAAAATGCTATGAGCAACGACAAATTCAATAGCGATGTACTCCATCAGTATGTCAGATCGCTTCAATTGGAATGGTTAGGGTAAGTCTCATCCTACGTACAACGTGCGCTGACCCTGGTCCTTGCTATTTGAAGAGCGGAATTATATTTCAGCGCCAACTTTTTTCAAAGGTCCTCATCCCAATCTCAATATAAACATATGTCTTCATGATGTCAATTAATAAAATCTGTCTGCCAACAACGCCCCCTAGCGCTTTAGATACTTTTTAGTCTTATTCTTGTCAAGAAAGTGATTTTTTATCCTTAAATATATATATTTATTTTATCCACTTGCAAAGAATTCTAGTTACCTCTCGACTAAAGAACTTTTCTTCTAAATAAAACTTGCATATATAACATACAAAAATTTGTTTCAGGACAGCTAAAGCTGTAAAAGCGGCTGCAGAGTCTTCAGGTCAAAGATCAGATGCGGTAAGGAAGTTGAAGCAAGTTTTTGGAGTAGGACAACATGACGAGCCTCTACTTAGTCACTGGATGACTGTCTTTTGTGATTGAACTAAGTGTAAAATTTAGCTAATAATTGAAATAAATCTGTGATATTTTAATTTTTATTATTGCAATAATTTCTTAGTGATCAATAGCCACCTTAGGAATAAACAATGTTGTTAACCCGACTGTAGAATACAGGACAAAATTAATCAAATATTAATAAAGTAATACCGATATGATAATGAATGGTAAACCAATTTTTTTGTTTCTTCATTTTTACCCTTGTTGTTGATATTTTTCCTTAAATTTGAATAAAACTTCGTTTCATGATTTATAATTATGGAACTAATGCAGGGCAGAGTCAGCATGTGACCATGTCACGACGTTGGGCAATTCAAGTGTGTAGCGCCTGTAAGTGATTCGACAATTTCCGTTTTATACCCAATAATTCCATGAAGTCAGTCCCACATAGAACTTTTGCAACTCACTATAGTTAAACCGCCGTAAGCTTGACCCTCCTGATGGTTTGGGGGACGCGGGGCGGGGGTGCATTCAACCAATTAGCTAGTGCGTCGCTGTCCGCCGGCAGTGACTGAAGTGAAAGCATGGCTGTACGTGTTATTTTTCTTAAGACTGCTACACACGGTATTATTTTGCGACATTGATAATCTGCCGACTCTGCGTCACAAAAAGATTTAAAAACTTAAAGTTCGTCTTAGAGGTTCTACTGTTAAAGTTCTAATAAAGAATATTTATTATTTTACTTAATTTTTAAATTGATCTGAATATAATTTACATGATGAAGATAAGGTGATTTTATTAAAATTATTTTACAGTATTAAATTTTACAGTTAATCATAAAAACTTACATTACACTGACATTATAATACATGGAAATAAATTTGATTTTTATTACATCGAGTGTAGATTAAATCTCAAACAAATAAATCTGAAGATATCGAGTTAGTACATCGTGTCGTGTGCGTTACCCCAGCAAAATAATGTCGAAAATGGTCATTTAAACGTTATAGATAATTAGTTACTCCCCTTCTGTAATTGTTAGGCACATTTTTAAATTTGTTTCACTTAAACTTTTTTAGTTATTTCAAAAAAACATTTCCTGCTGGGGTAACGTTTGAAACGTTACCGCAGCCAGACAATTTATTTTTTAATTGTAATATTGAAATAAATTTTAGCTACATAATTAGTTATCCGGACTAGGTAAATGTTACAACTTATTTGGTATTTGTATTTTCTTCGGCTGCGAAGTTATTCGAGATCCTGCTGGAGTAACGTTTGTGGGTTTGCTGGATGTCTGAAACGGGTAAGCGGATTGTAACCATCTTTTGTACATAACTTCTTAAGGATGAGTTTTAATTTGTTCGACAATAAAATAATAAAAATAATGGAGCGTTTAAAAATTATTTAGGTAAGTATGAAAACACTTCAATACGTCCTAACACTTTAAATAAGACCTCTAAAGACTTACTTCAAACGTTATTCTATTGCTTGTAACTACCTTCAAATGTATACGAATTTTCGTAAAAATACTGTAAGTGACTAAAAAGTTATGATGAAATGTACCTCTCCACGTTCACGATCACAATGTGTGCGGCCTTTTTTGGCCACCGATAAACCTGTGTGTGGATATATAAACTGAATGTTATGCCAATAATTAGTTGTTTAGTTCAGTTGTCTACCTGTAGAATTTCAGCGTCGTACATATAATAATTTACGAGATAATTAAATAAAAGTCATTAGAAGGTGCAAGTCCGTGGTAATCCGACCATGTTTAGGTGGTTACAAAAAAGCGATCATCCAGTACATTGCGCTGTCTTTTAAAATGGTTAGTGTAATACACCTTACGATTTCGGTACAGTTGCGTGCAGTGTTAAATACATTCAATATTTATTGATTATTATTACCTATTATTTATTTTGTTCTTTTTTTCCTAATTGATCTTAAGCACTTGTTTATTTACTTAAAATTTCTTTAGTCTTTTTAACTACCGGAGCTACAATCAACAGAAAATCTGCACTGGTTCGCTAAAATTATAAATATACATGTATCTACAATACATGTATGAACGATTCACCTGACTGCAATAAATCGAAAATTTAAACCAATAAGAAATCGTTTCATTTCTTTGATTTTTTTTTGTAAAGAAATGACACTAAAGTAATTGTATTTTATTTTGAGGTGTATAGAGCTTAGACTTGAATGCATCAAAATATTTAAAGCAACAAGTCATCTACAATAAGTTAAAATAGACCGAATAGTAGAAAAATACAGTTGTAAATTAGAATGCATCAACATTGCATCGCCCAACAGTCGTATACCTCGTAAGAGTAGGTAATATTGTTTGGTCTATACCGAGAACCGAGAATTATCTATACCTATGTACCTACCGCTAAGCGTTGAGCCCGTGACTGTTGATTTCTGTTAAAAACGAACAACGATTCAACAACGAATGATATTTTGATATAATAACAGTAATTTAATTTATCGAGTGAAAGTGATACATTTTTATAGATAAAATTATTGGTCAGATGATATTTGTCAATCAAGAATCGCCGATACATCCTTCGCTAGAACGCGGGAGGAGAGGGGCGAAGGGATACTTCATTGTTTGCAATTTGCATCTAGTGCACTAAACTTGACCCTTAGGCAGATAATATACGTCTTGTAAAGTGCGTGTGCGCTTCCGCTTTCTATTTTTGCAAATATTTATCGTATTCTTGAGAGTTCTTCAATATGTGTGTGTATAAATACTACACAGGGACCAATTCTATGAACAACTATAAACAATTCACCTTAAAATTACGGGAAAAACAATACCTAATCTCCCGGCTGATTACTAATTATGCAATAAACAATCCTAAATAAAAATTATTTAAAAAAATGTAGTTTTTTGTAACACTTATGTACATATCCGTAGTAAACTTGCAAATAATATCCTACATATTTTAAAAGCCAGCACAATGTACTGGGTGATCGCTTTTTTGTAACCACCTAAACATGGTCGGGTTACCACGGTCTTGCACCTTCTAATGACTTTTATTTAATTATCTCGTAAATTATTATATGTACGACGCTGAAATTCTACAGGTAGACAACTGCACTAAACAACTAATTATTGGCATAACATTCAGTTTATATATCCACACACAGGTTTATCGGTGGCCAAAAAAGGCCGCACATATTGTGATCGTGAACGTGGAGAGCTACATTTCCATTGATATAATACTTACATAGATGAGCAATTACCGCCTAAAATCGTTGCTACTGCACATCTGTCCACAGGCATATGCGTAGCAAACGTCAATTCAGTGTTCAATGTGGCGTCAACCGAGTTGAACATAGCGACACATGACAGTAACAATCGCCAAAATGGGTAAATGCGTAGTGAAAGAATGCGATTCAAGGTCACAAAACCATAATAAATCATGCGGAATTACTTATCACGTGTAAGTTTATGGTTTTTGTATTGATAATATCGTAAATAAGGCTATAATTGAAATAAAACATTGATAATTGTAATTTAGAATCAGTGTTACCATTAAAAAATCATTTTTGTTTTCCCACATTAGTGGGAGAATTTATAATTTATGAAATAATATGCTTTATACTGTTTTTAAACATTTTGTCAATAATAATGAAATATGGGAAGAACGGTAGTTGTTAGGGCTGAATCGAGTACTTTTTTTAGGGACCCGTTGAACGTTCACCTTCTGCCAAGCTCGCAGTGCTGGAGACTTTTGTATAAAAGAATTAATTAATTCATTCATTCATTTTTCTTAATTAATTATCAAATATAAATAACAATTGTACAAATATATATATATATAAAATAAAAAAGTAAATAAATATAAATAAAAAAATTTAAAAAACAAAAAACTATATATATTTTTTTATTTTTATTTTTTTATTTGTATTTTAAAATATTAAAAGAATTTGCAATACACCCTGGGGATTATTTATTATCAGTACAAGTTGATCATTCACTTTTACTATTAAATGCCATTATTTATACATAGGTAAAAATAAGATTGTATCATGAAAGTAAAATATTCACACAAACTTATAAAAAAGAGTCTAAAAGACAATTGTATACAAAACTGATGCTTCATAGCGGAGTTTGATTTTACACTGAATATAAACCCTTTTAACCAAATATTTCTAGTTATTTTATTATTTATACCTATTCCATTCAATTCGAAAAATATTATTTAAAATATTTAAATTAATTTATTTTATTACAAAATTGTTTTAAAAAAAATTGTTTCTTGGTTGTTATGGGTAAAATTTCATACGGTAGTCAACACTGGCCCACCATCGTAAAGTTATGTCTTTGTCTTTGTCTAATCCGAGCGATGGTATTGTTCTTGTCTCGCGTGTAAATGAGACATAAATATGTTTACTTTCAAATGTTTCATGGTATCAAAGCTACGTCGTCAAAGTTCAAAAGTGGTTACACTTTTTTCGACGTGTGATAATGAGGTTTGCTTCTCTAGTGTTGTTTTAACTCAATGTACATTTCATCATAACTTTTTAGTCACTTACAGTATTCTTACGAAAATTCGTATACATTTGAAGGTAGTTACCAGCAATAGAATAACGTTTGAAGTAAGTCTTCAGAGGTCTTATTCAAAGTGTTAGGACGTTTTGAAGTGTTTTCATACTTACCTAAATAATTTTTAAACGGTCCATTATTTTTGTTATTTTATTGTCGAACAAATTAAAACTAATCCTTAAGAAGTTATGTACAAAAGATGGTTACAATCCGCTTACCCGTTTCAGAGATCCAGCAACCCCACAAACGTTACTCCAGCAGGATCTCGAATAACTTCGCAGCCGAAGAAAATACAAATACCAAATAAGTTGTAACATTTACCTAGTCCGGTTAACTAATTATGTACCTAGCTAAAATTTATTTCAATATTACAATTAAAAAAGAAAATGTCTGGTTGCGGTAACGTTTCAAACGTTACCCCAGCAGGAAATGTTTTTTTGAAATAACTAAAAAAGTTTAAGTGAAACAAATTTAAAAATGTGCCTAACAATTACAGAAGGGGAGCAACTAATTATCTATAACGTTTAAATGACCATTTTCGACATTATTTTGCTGGGGTAACGCACACCATCGTGTCATGTATAGCCGAGCGCATCACCCGCCCCGCGTCCCGCAAACCATCAGGAGGGCCAAGCTTACGGCGGTTTAACTATAGTTCCATGTTAGTTTTTTAAAAAGAAATAAAAAAATAATTTGAAATCGCTAATTATACCCAGTAGTTCCATGAAGTCAGTTGCAACCTGGCTTGTTGTATTTTAAGACACTCTTTCTTTGTTTTCTTGTGATATTTTTAAAAGAATATTTTAATCTAATATTCATGTCCCTAGCAGTAAGAATCCCGACTTTTTCATACTAACTTTAATTGCTTGCTGCCCAGATTCTGAGTAATAGCATGATAAAATCCCTTATTTTCCAGTGTACCCATGGTGGTACAGTGAAAGATAATTTTTAACGGATGTTAAAAGGGGTACAGTCCTTTTTTACTACTAATATACTCAAATTAGAAAACAGCTACGCAGGCAAATTGTTAGAAAAAAAAAAACAGCAGCTACAAGTAACGATAAGTATTGTACTAATATACTGCTTGTTTTCTACAACATATACGTGTAGGGAGCATAACTCTGAAATGAGATTGAAAAGAAGGGTACTTATATTATAAAAATAATAGATATCTTTTAGATTGTAGTCCTTATATTTAAAGAATTACACGTTTGAGCGACGGCTCGGTCGCGCACGTTCGTGTCCCTTGGACCTGACATAAGGCTTCGTGTGTGAACGAGGAGCTCCAGGAGCCGGGCCGAAGTGACGCACTGCTTCACGAGCGTTGCGCTGACCTTGCAGGAGCACAGTCTTAGCGCCGGTGGGGGCGCGCAGAGCCAGTTGGTCAAATGTTAAGATCTCACCTGAAATCAGATAATTTATGTTAATAGTGATCATTTATACAAAATATTTTTATAGTAGAATTGTGTGGGGTATCAATGTCTTCAAAAACCCTTTCACAGCCATTATTTATTAAAAAAAAACAGCCACTTAAATTAATAGAAACAGGGGTAGGTATTCTGTACTAAAATGTAGATATGCAACGAAAAAAAAATTTTGCATTTCTGAGGTATTGTTTATGGAATGGGGGTAAACAAGCAGATGGGTCATCCGATGGTTAGTGACTTTAGCTACCTGAGCACCCGATACTCAAGAGACGCGATACAGGTCATGGTTCACACCAGTCGAGATGGTGCATATGTGTCAAGAATTAGACCCTATTAACATATTGAAAGCCAAACTAAAAATCATATTTAGGTAAGTCAGTGGGCCACAGAGGACACCTTGTGCCTTATGGACAACAGCCTGTACAGTCTTTTAACTAAGGCAAGCGAATTGTGCGGTAGCATAGTACAGTCAGGACATTTGGCACAAAAAAATACAAAGGAGTTGGAATTCTGTAGGTCGTGACTGTCTTATTAGACTTAACTACCTTATTAGAAGAATAAAGGAAAAACATAATTTTAAAGTAAAAAGTCAATGATGAACTATGTATATACATTTGGCTGCAGGGATGGCATAGTGGTTCAAGCGGTTGCCACGCCACTTCTTACTACAAGTGTTGTGGTGTCAAACCCCACATGGAAAGACACTTTGTGTGATCCACAAATTGTTATTCCGAGTCTTGGTCTGGTTCTTTGTGTCTTTTTCATGTTTGTTTGTAAAGTCCCCTGTGACACAGGAAATATTCCTAATGCAGGAGAGTTCTTTAAAAAAAAAAGATTTGGCCTTAATTGATAAATGATGCCTCTAACACGCAACTTAAATTATCTTGCATCTAAAATGTTAACAAAAAATACTGAATATTACTCAAATAACAACATGTGTATTTAGCAAATGGCTAACAAACTTTGTTTCCACACAAAGCATTGCGAATAACAGGTGGTTTCACTAGAGTTTAACTTTTTTTCCAATTAGATAATAAATATTATTTTACTAATACTAGCTGACCCGGCACACATTGTTTAGCCATATCCATTATTTCTAGGAAATATTGAAAATAATAATTTAGGGGTATGAAAAAAAAATGTTGGCCGATTCTCAGACCTACCCGATGTGCACACAGAATTTCATAAAAATCGGTTCAGCCGTTTCAGAGGAGTATGGTAACTAACATTGTGACACGAGAATTTTATATATATGATAAACCTTTTTTTTTCTTACTAAATACATATAATAATAATAATATTTCGGACATCTGACACACAACACCATCTATCACCACCAAGGCAGTCAGTATGGGTATGGTTTACATATTTTTAAACGACTACAAAATAAAAAAATACTTAGTCTTTGGTAAACATAAATAAGAAAGTTATAGAATGTATTATCAAAAGCATTTAATTTTATAGCTTAGATCAGTAAACATGTAGAACTTAATAATTTATAAAAGATACACATAAGATATATAAATGCAACGACTACATTAACATGTTACAGGCACTAATAACTGCACAGAGATATCAGTGGAATACCTATCCTCATCCCCAAAAAAAAACTTGAAAACTTGTGTACCTATATCACTAGTGGGCCTGGGATAGGCCACGCTTTCATACTATTCTGTCTAACCCTAAAAAAACAACTTACCTCCAGCAGCCAAGATACGAGCACGGGCCTTCTCAGTGACGTGGAGAGCAGCAACTGTCATCTTGGGTACTGTGTAGAGCCTCACGTCGTTTGTAATGGAGCCGACAACAACGGCGATCATACCCTCGCGTGTAGGTTTCTTCATGTGCCGGGCCAAGCGTGACAGGGATAGTGGTGGCCTGTTAATGCGGCTCATGAATAGCCTGCGTAGGATAATCTGGTTGAACTTGGCATTTGTACGCCTGGCCAAGTACCTGTACAACTGCAAAACAATAACATGTTTAGGTTAGGTTAGGTCGATGGTTTGAAATTATAAGTTACCGAGTAGAGATCCAAGGTAACATAAGATGGTAATATAGGACAGTATAAGGATTTTTTATTACAATTTTACTTACTTTAACTAACAATCTCAGGTACACATCCTGAGACTTCACTTCAGTACGCCTAACTTTCCTGTCGTGTTTATGGTTGATGTCGATACCCTGAAATACGCAAAGGAACACATATTTGATATCACTGATAAACCAAACAAGCACAATAAACTATCACAACACTTGAATTTATTGACGATTTTCATAGATTAATTACAATATTTCTCCAACGAAACTCACCATCTTGACAACCGGAAGAAAAAGAGACTATAGACAAATAATATCTTTGACAGCAAGATGGGATGTTGCCAAGTCAGAAATACTCCCTTAACTATTTTTTGTCTTGGTAGTAAAGAAATAATAGACAATAATTATAATAGTGCTACGAATAATAATTTCTTATTAAATGAAAGTAAAATAAGAGTGTTAGATGTTTTTTTTATATAAAACTCTATTTTACTTATTTTGAGTTTGTGTCACAGCAATCACAGCAATGTAAAGCGCTTTCTACGTGTCAATTTGAGCTCAGCTCTCTTATAGCTGGGAACTCAACACACTCAGAAAAAAGCTGTCAAGAATTGGTTTCTTGAAGTTTTTTTTTGCAAGAGAATCTACTAGTCTACACTTCTTTACATCCGAGAATTGTTATTTTTTTATATTTTTTTATTCATTACATTTTTTTTTAAATATTTCAAAAAGTATATGTCTATGGTTTTTATTACTACTTGTAATCCATTTTAATATAAAAATAAAATATCGACACCCTTCGAAAAATTTCGTCAATCCCGGGCATCGTTTACAGGGATTCTCAAACATCGAAAGCGGTTGTATTGGTGCCTATAGATATAAAACAACCGATTTAAAACGTTTTAACAAAAATTTACCGTTTTAAACCCCCAAATAAATCCCCAAAAAAATAAAAGAACTGTGTGAACTTCATTGTGGTTAATTTTTTGTCACCTGACGTCGTGTTTCGTTTTAATTAGTTTATCGAAAATCAATAGAAAGTACCTACCTACATTACTACACGAAAACTTAAGTATGTAGGTATACCTACCTATACTTATTTATTATATTACACACACTAGATTAGAAGACATCATTATCACAATGTCGACCGTTTTACTTGATCAACGCCAACTTTACTTGGTGCCAACGGTGTCAACGAGAGTTCGAGTTTAGTTTAGGCCTTACATCTATAGTGGCGCCACATAATACATTGGAGTAAAATGTAATGCAATTCTGGGTAGTTCAAGTTTATAATAGTTTGTGCCTTAGAAATTTCACCGTTGTTTTGCAAGTGTGTGTGAGTCTTATATCTATTTGTTTGTATTTTGTGTATGTGTTATGATGTGGCGACATCCGTTCTCGAAGTAATCGAGTTCATTCATTCACCTGCAAGCCCAGTCCAAGAACAGACCCCTGCGGTACACCGCACGACATGAGCCGACACTTCAGATTACCATCTCGGTCCTCGTACACGACGGTACGCTTCTCTAAATAATCTGCTACCAGCCGCCTCAGGTACTCTGGCACCCCATGATAGTGAAGGGCAGAATATCCCTGATGCAGCTGAATGCCAGAATATTGATTGCGTTGGCGATGTCCAGTGACACCGCCAACAGCACGCCGCCACAGCTCACCGCGTCTTCGGTCACGGCCCTCAGGCGCAGCACAGCGCCGACCGTCGAACGCCCCACTCGAAGATTTATACTTGCCCTGACCGACTGACTGATTCATCAGCGCAGAGCCTAAGTTTGTAGTCTCTGGGGCTACTAACTTGTTACACAAGCTGCCTACAGTAAATCAAATAATAAAAAGGAAATAATTTTAAGAAATATGAACATTAAACACTACATACTACATACTTAGAATAGGACTACACACTTAGTATAGGACTAAGACATGGCCGAGAAAACAATTTGACGCCGGTAAAAAAACAATTAATCCTCTTTTACTCCAAGACTTCTAAAACCATTGACAAATTTAAAAACAAAACCAAACAGATTCCAAGCTAACATCTCCCAGCGAAGGATAAATTTGAATTATTATGCCATGGGGAATTAAAACAAATGAAACAACTGTCGCAAACTCTGTCATCGCGACAGATAACAAGTTTCGACCACCGTTTTTTCGAAAGGAATGGAATTTAATTCGAAACATCGAAAATTATCAAAAAATAAAAATTCTGTTCGTATTCCTTCATCATCAAAACCCAGATTGACCAAAAAGAAGATTGTTACGCGGAAACGAAAATGCGTGTGCCTTCCTGAAAATTATTCAGTAGTAGAGTTTCCTTCGATATGGAATGAACTTCGACATAACTTGCAACTTTGCGATGGGACGATCGTCTGTAGAGACATGAAGCCTATCCGAGTGCATCGAGCAATACTGTCAGCCGTTAGTCCATATTTCAAAGCTATATTTATCAACTCTTTGAAGAAAGGAGAGCCAGAAGAAACTGAAATTTTCGTAGATGTGCCCAGTTACTATATGAATTCGATTCTAGATTACGCATACACAGGGACATGCATAGTAACTGCTGAAAACGTAGAATATCTGTTACCGTATGCAGATCAATTTGATGTTGTTGGTGTTATTCAATTATGCTGTCAGTTCCTTTTGCACGAATTGAGGCCGCATAACTGTCTTGGAATATTTAAGTTTGCGCGCTATTATTTCTGTAATGAATTGGAAAAAAAAGGAAAGTTGTACATAAGACAGAATTTTAGCAGAATACTTAAAGAATGTAATGAATTTAAATCACTTTCTTATGATGAGTTAGAAGATATTCTGAGGGATGATGAACTAAATGTACGTAATGAGGAAATAGTATTCCAAGCAGTTAAGACATGGGTGGAACATGATATAGAAAATAGAAGAAAATATATTCCATCATTACTTTTATGTGTAAGGTTTGGACATATTAGTTATAAATATTTTAAATCAAAAATATTACAGTGGCAGCCTGTTGCTGAAGACGAGGTAAGTAAACTGTACAATTTTGACTGACAATTAAATATGTGATAAATTTATAACTTTTGTTCTTTACATAGAAATGCCAAGAAGCTTTATATCCGGCCGTGGTATTCCTCACATTATTGGATTCAAGGCCCGGTACAGAAGCAGATCTCAATGATCCGTTAGCAAGGCCACGAATACCTTTTGAGATACTTTTTGCAGTTGGTGGCTGGAGTGCCGGCAGCCCTACTAGTTTCGTTGAAACGTATGACACAAGGTAACACTAGTTTTAACGACACAGGTATATGTATATTGAAGACAACAAATTTTTCTTATTTAATTTAACACGAGTATGAATAACTTCATGTCTTAAGGCTTAAATTTTTGGCCACCCTTTCTTCCGATCAACGTAAAGGAAGATCTTATATCTATAACACTTTTATATACTTATATACTAACTTAAAACATTAAAATTACAGGGCTGATCGATGGTTCCTATCTATTCACATGGACCTAACGCCTCGTGCGTACCACGGTCTTTGTACGTTGAATAACTTGATCTACATGATTGGGGGTTTTGATGGCAGCGATCATTTCAACACAGTGCGTTGTTATGATCCAGTGGCGAATACTTGGCACGAAAGAGCCTGTATGTATCAAGCTAGATGTTATGTTAGCGTGGTGGCTCATGGTTAGTTTTTTACACATACTATACTAATTCTTGCTAATATTTAGAAATAGCAGACGTAATAAATAAATAATAATTATTATTATTGCATTGAGCTTTTCCTAATTTTTATTCAAAACAGATGGTCTAATTTACGCATTGGGAGGGTACAATGGTCGCACACGCATGTCGTCAGTAGAACGATACTACCCTGACAAAAACCAATGGGAAATGACCACGCCTATGAATAAGCAGCGGTCCGATGCCAGCGCTGCATCTCTTGGCGGAAAGGTAAAACTGTCCATAGATTAATTATCTATTCTTGAAAAGTGTTGAATTACCACGATACCTCAGATGTTCTCAAACGCACGAGACACCAGAAGGTCAATTCTCGTAATGATAATTCAGTAACAATTCAGTTCCAATCAACTGTCGATCTCACAACTTCAACAGTTTCAGCAATTGACAAAACGCAGTATTATTTGTTACGGCATTTGAATAATGTGATGCATTCTGGGCCAGCCAACCATTGATGTGTCTTATAACGGATGGAAATGTCACTTGCAATAATACTGCAGGCAAGAAAACCAAAATTGGCACTTTGGATAATTTGGCACAAATGTTCCTGAGGTCGTGCCTGCAAAGAGACTCGTTGAAGTTATTAACATACCTTTGTTTAAAATCATGTTTCAAAACGCTAACCCGCGGCGATTTGCCAGAATTCCCTGGGATAGGATAAGACAAAAGAAACTTGTGTGTTTAAGGTTTCAGTTTGGCGGCAGTTAGTCGAAATTTTTAGATCAGCTAAATATTTATTTTTTAGATATACATAGTGGGAGGCTTTAATGGTCAGGAGGTACTTAGTTCTGCTGAAGTATTTGATCCTGACACAAGGCAGTGGAGCTTTATTAGATCAATGCTGAGCCCGCGTTCCGGAGTGTCGCTTATCGCTTACAGGGAGTGCCTTTATGCACTCGGAGGATTCAATGGATACAGCCGACTAAATACTGGTAAGTTTTTCTTTCGGTCATTTTAACATATACCTACACCTACCTATATTGAATCTTTGACTTTCAAAATTTCAAAATCTTTGACGTTCAAAGTTATTAAGGCATTCAGTTAAAAACAATAGGCACGAAATCGAGCCAGACTAACATGTAAGCTTAGATTTAATAGTGCCAATTGTAGGCTACTAAAGTTCGATTACAAACTTCGGGTTACGGTTATACGGGTTGTATTCATGTGTAGGTTTCTCGGGATGTCCGACTGCTTTCGAGGGGGAGGGGAGTGGATAAAGAAAACGCGCCCTAGCCCGTCGGTTGCAGGCGCCAGATTCTGAAATATAGTAAATAAATCGAATATCCGTAATTAATAAATTCGTTATCTATGTCTTTGTTGTTATCATAAAATGATCCGGGTTCTCCCAGAGTAGTGAGGCCGGCAGTCGGGGTCTCTAGAGTCCCCGAGGATCAGGAGATCCAAAGGGATTTTCCACCCCGTCAACAAAAAAAAAGTCTGTTGTTTTGTTATGTATGTTGTTATGTCTTTACCGCCCGCGACTGACAAAGCACTTTAAGACCTCCACAGCCCAAAGTGAGTCTACCTAAGATCGGTAAGCGTGTTGGGTTAGTGGTTAGTGATTCTTACTACTAAGCCAGGGGTCGTGGGGACTGGAAGAGAATGCCTTGGGCATTAAGTCCGCCGATGTACAAAAGTGCATAAAGTTAAATAATTTAAAAAAAAACCCACCCATGACAAATAATTGTGTGATAAGCACTATCATTTGTTCTGTGTCTGGGTTTAATCTATCTTTAATATTTATTTATTTTATTTATTTATTTATTATGTTGTATTGAAAAATAGATAAGTATGTGTATCAGTTGTCTGGTTACCAGAGTACAGGTTCTGCCTAGTATGGAATCAGACGGCCGTGTGTGTGATATATATATGAGATTATCATTGTAATTAAGACATTTTATACCATGATACCCTGTAGTTTCATATAGCCGTTTTCTAATAAATCGTTTAGATCGTATTACACTTGCCGTACTTTGTCGAATATATCATTAGGTACTTCAAACACAAACTTTTAAACATTAATCCAAATATGACCTTTCTCTCTAAAGGTGAAAGGTTTAATCCACAACGTGGTGGAGATTGGCAGGAGGTCACGGAGATGTTTAGCGCAAGAAGCAATTTTGCAACAGTGCTGCTGGATGATATGATTTTCGTCATTGGAGGATTTAACGGTGAGAACATAACTTATACAATAAATATATACCTAATTTAACAATGTTTATTTCATCTCCACAAATTACATCATGTTAAACAATATACAGTTAACAAGAAAATCGTCACAAAAGTCTGTGTTGTGGGAGTGACATTGTGTAGATTGTCAACACATCAGAAGTAACAAGTTTTATTGTTTAACTAGCTGGTACCAGCAACGTTCGTTCGCGTGGAATTAAAAACCGCTGCCTTACCCAGTAAACACATGACCTCCATATGACAGTTCAAAATTATTTTACATAGATATGATATGACATAAAAATGACGTTATTGATGACTTTTATATGATGTCATCAATAAAGTCATTATATGATTTAAAGTATGATATCAATATGACATCATAATTTGACACAAACTAAAATTTGACTTTTATATATTGTGGCTTAAATATTACGTAACCTTACGTCCTATCCCTATCATAATTATGTGAGAAGTTAGTTACTTACTTTTGTCGACCCTTTTAACTCGGTTATCGTAACAAACTTTTAGATTTATTCTTTTTTATTAAAATGGAATAGAGATTTATAGCCTAAACCTAAGAATCAAATCCAAAAAATACCTTTAATAACGTTTCGTTTCTCATGCAGGTTTATTACGGAGCTCTTATTACTTCATGTAAACTCTGGTTTACTCTAATAAACGATCCCTTCCGTGTTCCGTATTTGTAAAATAAAAATAAAAAATAAAATTTGTACTTTCGTATTTGTAAAATAAAATATCAAATATTTTATTTTACAAATACGAAAGTGACTTAGTTTGTTTTATACAGGTTCAACTACAATTCCCCACGTGGAGTGCTACGATGGCGACACATTAGAGTGGTATGACGCCGCCCCGATGAACCTCAACCGATCTGCCCTCAGCGCGTGTGTTCTTGCGGGCCTACCCAACGCTCGCTCCTTTTCATATCTAGCCAAGGCTGTTCCAGCGGCTGGCGCTGATCAAGCACACCATTCTTGACGACCGTACTCAAAATAATACTCAAAAATCGTACTCTCCATCAAAATAAAACCGCCACAAGATGCGCTAAACCCATACCTATCCTTCGCTCCGTTAAAAACATAAGTCACCAGTGTTGTAAGATTTTTCGGATATATTTTCATGTACCTAAAATGACAATTTTTTTGTCTGTTCAAGGTACTGTTGTGAATGATACACATATTCTGTGATATTTTGAATGTACATAGACCTTTGTGAATCTATTTTATATATCGTAAATCATGGTGGAAAAGCCTTATTTTTATTGTACAGATCATGACCATCATATTTTGTATTGTATTATTTTATGAACATTACGAAAATGTAAAGGGTCTGCTTAATAAAATGAAAGGATAGGAAAGTGGATCTGTGATGAGAATATTTTAGATATTATTTTAAAGCGAGGGACTTGTAAATTTTCAAGTTTTTTTTATAGTGTAGTTTGTGACAAATTTTATTTTCGTATATTTGTGTACAGTTCGCGTCCGTGGGAAATCAGAGTGGTCGCGTTTTGGATGTGTGTACGATATTGTTGCGGACTAAACCGCCGCAATATTGTTGTATCTGTGATATTTTTCACTTAGAACTGCTAAAAAATTCAAAAAAAGGTAAAATGATTATTTTTTTAATTTACTGAAAAATTTACTGTACCTGATTGAAAGATAGAGAAATTGACAAATAAAGAAAAAACTCTGAAATGTGTTTTTTATTTCACACGGATTCTTCTCATTTTTTCCCCTAATTCACGTTCATATGCAAAATAATAAACCTAAAATGAAATGCCTACATTATGCCTACGATATACTTGCAGGATTATAAATTCAATATAATGTTAATTATAATTGAAGTGATTTGGGTTTACAAATTATAATCAAAACTTCACATCTTAGTATGTTATGATGATATAGGCAATTTATTTTGTAACATTTGATTACTTTCACTTTCACGACTATTGTAGAATTACCTACTACTCGATACCTACTGGGTACCATACAATACACATGTATCTACAATCGTGTTTCAGCAGAGTATCGGTTAACCGTACATCGATATAATAAGCCTGAATCAACGTGCGGGAGACAGCGAGAGTGAAGTGCAATCGTGCGTATATTTACTACTGAAGGGGGAATTGGGGAGAAAACGGGAGACCACCCCCTCCCGCCGCGCGGTGTTCCCGACGCGATCGAACCACAACGAAGGCGGTAGTGAACGCGGTTGCTTCGGGGCGCGGCGCTCTTTACAACTATACAAAAATAATTACTAATAATGGAACTTAAAGGGAAGGTCGTCTTGATCACCGGAGCCGCTGCGGGCATTGGGCTGGCGTACAGCGAGGAACTATTGAAGCAAGGAGCAAAGGTAACTTAGTTCATATGCCGAAACAAACATGACCACTTCCGCGCATGGCGCATTAACATTGTAATTTTAAGTTCAAGGTAAAATAAGCTGTTGAATGATCTACATACTGGAAATACGCCAATACTGTGGTGTTTTTACTACTCACTGTGCGATAATTTTCAGTAGGTAATGGTTGTGCATTCGCAAGGTATCCCTCATTTGTATTGATTTTTGCCGGCGTCCGGTCATGATTGTTTTTCTTTATAGTTTCTTTGTGCTATAGAGTCAGTATAATTTAATGTAATGTGTTCAGTCATTTTCATTGCGGATAATTTGATTTCAAATTCTCGGTAATTAGTAAATATTATTTATCAGATTAAACACTAATATATAGTATATAGGTATATAAGTATCCTATAAGTATTAAAATTGTATCGATATTTGATCGTTATTGCTTCTTCGGACAAGTTCCAAACAAGTTATATGGCGAAGCAAGCTACTTATGGAAAAATTGATACCTTAGTGGTATTTTTTTAACTAGTTTTCATGATGTAAGTTGTACAGTTGGTAAAACTTAATCTAAGTACCTATAGCAGAGAAAATGCAGGTCGCCGAATAAGAGTTAATAAGCAAAAGCTTATATTGAAACTAAAAGTAGCCTTTGACAAAGCAATCAAAATCTTTTTAAGAATGTTCTTTGACACAATGAAAGTTAATTAAATCATATCTACATAGCGATAATCCACTTGCCATCACTTTCGTTAAGACCACTTCCATAAATTTAACCATAAAGGAATAGCAGAGAAAATGCAGTTCGCCAAATAAGAGTTTTAAATAATATTTGCTCGAAGAAATTTGATTCAATAGAGAAAAATGGTTGGTAGTGAAGTCGGCGATATTCAACACACACAAATCCCTTTTTACCACGCTTTTATGTATGCGTATGTAACGCATGTATGTATGTAACGGAATCTTCGAACGTGATTTTTTACCTACTTCAAAACGTTGAATTAAAAGAAAACTTTGATAACAACTCAATAATTTTAATCCCATTATCCTAATCAGGACCTTCACTATTAACGCCTTTTTTCGCACCTAAAAATACGGTAGTGTCTTTTGCCACGTACCTAACTACTAATGCGTGTGCAGAAACATGTGTAATACACCACACGTTATTTTACGATAAAATGATTCTTCTTTTTGAACTTATTGAAAATTATTTCCTTCTATTTAGTTCGGCTAGTAAAAAAAGTGTGTTTTTCTATTTTATTGTTATATCAATTCAATCTATAATCGCCGTTGTCAATCTTATAAATTAAAAAAACAATAAAATCGTTCCACAATTTAAACGTCACTGAAAACAGACCAACAAAATTTCGAAATTTAAATTAGTTTATTTTTTTATGAAGGAGACAGACGGGTCATCGTATGAAAAGTGACTAACGCCGCCGATGAACGCCCGCAACTCAGGAATCACCAGCGCGATGCCGGTCTTTGAGTCAGATTCTATATAATATATTTATATTATAGGCCGTACAGGCCATATTATGAATATTATATTTATATTAAATCACCTACTTTTCACTAAACTGCGGTCAACAAAAACAAATACTTGCGTTCTTTTACAGGTTTCAATTTGCGACATCGACTCGGAAATCGGCGAGCAAGTCATAGACGAGTTGGGTGCTAAGTATGGCAGAAAGAATGTCTTGTTTTGCCGCTGTGACGTCACTGACTATCCTCAATACGAAGGTAAGGATAACTGCGTTAGTTCAAATATACCCTATTAAACGACTTCAAAAAAACGAGAAGGCTCTCAATTTACTTATTTATTATTACCTCAGAACTTGTAATTAATGAACCGATTTCGTCTTATCCCATTTAAATTTAAAGAAAAATACCTTTCTTATGAATGGAAAATTAAGAAAATTAACTACTCTACAGTGTTTTACAATTTATCATGAAGTTGATACTTTTGCAAAAGTGGATTAAGTATTATATTCTTGCACAGAAACAAATGCAACCCCTTATCGTTTAGCCCGTAATGTAAAAAAATATTTAAGATCTTTATCTTCCAATGACGTGAAAGAAAAAAGAATGAAGAATCCGTCCTGTGGGAGATTTTGCATTCTTTATCAAATAATAAACGAAATATTTTGATTCTTTTCATTAGTTTAAGAGCTCGATTTAAATAGTGTAGTAATTTTCAAGTTTTTTTATTTTTTGGAATTATTCCTTTATTTGTGCTGAAAGACATTACTTTTTGATAAATTTCGTGATTCTAGGTCAACGGGAACTACCATATTGGTTTTCGACCCAAAACCTATAGGGTACTTCCGGTTGACCTAGAATTGTCAATATTGGTGAAAAGCAAGATCTTACAGCACAAGTAAAGAGAAAATTCTGAAAAATAAAAAAAGTTGAAAATTAAAGTAAATTTTTGTACTTACAAGTTTTCGCGAAAGTCGAAATTTGTCCATATCTTTTTAACGTGATGACTCAGGACCGTGATTTTTATACACCTAATAGTGACCATAGACATCAGTATCTGGTATAAATTTCAACTTGCTAGGTCTACTCGTTCCTGAGAAAATCGGTGGTAACACACGGTCAGATGGACAAGAAAGTGTTTCTTTTTACCTTTTGAGGTACGGAACCCTAAAAAGAATAAATTAATATTCACACCACCAATTATAATCTGTAATTTCTGGACTGTACCTACATGATAGATGTAAACATTTATAGGTACGAGTACATTTACACGAAGATCAGGTACATATCTATCCTTCCTTTTCTCTAAAGTTAGTGACACTAAACAACAATAAAGTGAATGGAAACCGAAACTGTATTTTTTTTACAGAGGCTTTCGAGATGACAATGGAAGTATTCAATCGGCTGGATATTGTAATAAACAATGCCGGCGTAATGAACGATCGGTTTTGGGAACTGGAAGTCGACGTCAATCTAGTAAGTTATCTTCTATTCATAGATTGTTGTCTTATAGCTTCCGAATGGACCCATTTATAAAGTGGCGAGCGGAAATCGAGTTGTCTGCTCTATGTTTTACCTGTTAATTATGTACGAACGAGAATAAATAGAATTAGATCTATTACAATATTTGGATTTTGAAAGATCAAGGGAAATTAGTTCACGATGATATATACGAGTAAATGTAATGCACTGTTGGTGCATTGACATATGTAGTAAAATAGAACCCTTTAATCGATGAGTGCCTATTTCGTAGAATAATTATAATATAAATACCTATAATAATTGTTATTGGGCATTCTACTCCACCTTCCCTTCCTTCGGCTTTGAGGTAAACTAACGACAAACGATATGAGCAATATTAGTGGGCATCTACTCGACTGAAAGCCACGGAGATGAACAAAGTGAGCCGAAGCAACTAAAGGTGGAGTAGAATTCCCAATAATGGTGCTAATTCTGTTGTTGACAAAACTAAACTAAAATTTCTCTAAAATTCTCTTATTTTAGTGAGGCGATTTCCAAAATGCTGTTCTGTTGTCAAGTCAAACTAAATTTGGTGTTCATTAAGACAGCATTAAATTTGAATCTGACATCACCAAAAGTTAAAAAGGATTGTTACCGTTGTTTAAAATTGAGAATGAATGATAAAGAATGGATTAAAAAAATCTTGAGAAATTATATTATTAGGATTCTAAAATTCCTGTAAATGAACATTAATGCATATAATATATCAAGTAGTAAAAGTTGTGAGTAAATCATTTACAGGAATTTTAAATCATCAAATCAAATTTTAATTTCATTTCTAGTTTTTTTTAATTCACTCTATCATTCATTCTTAATTTTAAACAACGGTAACAATCCTTTTTAACTTTTGGTGATGTCAGATTCAAATTTAATGCTGTCTTAATGAACACCAAATTTAGTTTGACTTGACAACAGAACAGCATTTTGGAAATCGCCTCACTAAAATAAGAGAATTTTAGAGAAATTTTAGTTTAGTTTTGTCAACAACAGAATTAGCACCATTATTGGGAATTCTACTCCACCTTTAGTTGCTTCGGCTCACTTTGTTCATCTCCGTGGCTTTCAGTCGAGTAGATGCCCACTAATATTGCTCATATCGTTTGTCTTTTTAACTGTATATATAATTATAAAATAAATAATAATAAAAACCGGCTCGGTTACCACGGCCCGAGTAGGTTATTATAAACAAAACAATATTGCAAAGTTAAGCAAGCCATGTCAGTTTATGGATAGGTGACCATTTCTTAACACATTGACACCCTTCCGTGCCTCGAAGAGCTCGTTAAGCCGTCGATACAGTTGCCATACTACCTACTGGTAGTCGGAGCTCGCCTACTTGGGTTAGGGAGGTTTGTTAGCAGTCGCTCCGCGTATAAAATCGAATTTCAGCGGTGTCGTAGTAGATTTAAAGCCGACCCCAACCTAGTTTAGGAAAAAGGCTCGGAGGAAGAATAACAAAAACCGTGAAATTGGAAACGAATTGGATCCTTCGTATAGATTGGTGCGACTTTTCATAGTTACTACTGGCAGAAGTTTAGTACAAACAGAAAATAACTCGAGCAGAGTAAGCGCAGGTTAACAACAAGCTCATTTTTTCTTCAGAATGGTGTGATCCGCGGTACGTTACTTGCATATCGTTTTATGAGTAAAGACCGCGGAGGGCAGGGTGGCATAATTGTGAACACAGCTTCGACAGCCTTCACTAGGCCTCAGGTTTCCACGCCTATCTACACAGCAACCAACTACGCAATCGTGGGACTTACGAGAGCATACGGCGTAAGTTGTTTTTGTTTGTTTTACTCAAAAACTTTATTCACATCAATGCGATGGAGAATCCGTCGTTCTATTTAAGAAAATTCCTCATTTTAAATATAATATTAATGTGATCAAGTAGTGGCAATCAGTCTCAAACCCTTTACCTCAAACGCGAAATTTTCGTATACACTTCCCGTTTTCAAAGCTTCATTTCATAACTTCTTCACCGATCAGCATAAAATTTTGCATACATGTGAAGAGATCACTAAGGGGAGTTGGATACGTTTTATCCCAAAAAGAAAACTGTTTCTCGAGCATACTCAAAATGTGCCTTAATTGGTGTTAACCTAACTATTTGATAATAATCTACTTTTAGGACCAGTACCACGTTAATCTAACAGGAGTGCGAAGTATGGTGATTTGCCCTGGATTGACAGATACCGGTCTTGTCAAGGAGATACGAAAGCAGCTCATGTCGTCCGAGTACGAAGCAGCTTGGCAAAGGGATAATGCTACTAGTAAAATGCAAAGGTAAATTTTTATTACGCAAAATAATTGATAGGTCATTACTATTCAAATACATGTTATGTTCATAGACCGAACACGCTTATCAAGCGAAAAATAGTTCACAATGCATCGAGGTCACTAAAAAATCAACATCACGAAATATTATTTGTGTTGTGGTTCTTATGAAAACGGTATAGCGCATGTGGCAATCACAGAACGACGAAAAAGCGAAATTCGTGTCGTGGCTATCATGTTATACGGTGATTTTTTTTCCAAAAAAAATCCAAGATACTATTTTTAACTAAATGTAAATTTTTGAGCGTAACATACCTACGTCCACTAGGCGCTTTTTTATGGTATAAGGCGGAAAACGAGCAGACGGGTCACCTGATGGTAAGCAACTACCGCCGCCCATGGTCACCTGCAACTCTAAAGTCACAGGTGCGTTGTTGCCCTTGGGCTGATAATCTGCCCAAAAAAGTATAAAAATAGTATAACTTTATTTCCAGCCCAGAACACGTCGGTCGAGCTCTAGTAGAAATTCTCACCAAAGGACAAACTGGTTCGGTGTGGATCGTCGACAATGGCACACCGGCAAGAGAGTGGCGCGGTTAATATTTATTATTCGTTACACGTGCACATATGGCTTTTTTTTATTGAGTCGTGGTCATTAGCAATTAATTCGGCAAAAGATATTTGTTGTCTGCCCCGGCTTTCAAAACATATTTTGCGCTTTAGAAATGCACGCGTATTGCCTTTCCTTTGATTAAAAGCCCCATTTTATTAAAATTGAATACCTTGGCAAGTAATTTTTGTAGCGCGTTCAAATCGATGAGTACAATATTATTTGGTTTTGTCAATAATACCTTAATGTGAATGTGCCATAATCTTAAACCATTAAAATGTATGGGGCAGATATTGTGAAGCTCAAGGAATAAGAATAGAAATGAAATACACTTTGTATCCAGATATAAAAAAATACTTTCTTGTATACGCGAATATAAAGCGTTTAGAGTCGTCGTGTGATCGTGGTTGTGTAAATATTCCTTTCTTGTAGTACAATGCCTAATTGCGTAAGGCATCTATATTTTGTAATTAAAGTATTTAAAATCAGGAAAAAAACATTGTACAATAATAATGATGTACATCTTTACATAATCGTGTAACTTTAATCATTGTAGTAATTAGGTATTAATGTGTATTTATATTGTATTTACGAGTACGTATTTTATAAACATACTTCGTATTTTATCAGTTTTGAAGTGAGTTACGGATGTCAAACATTTTGTTCATGGTATGATAACCCGAAAATTAATAAAATATTGTATGATTGTTTTTAAATGGTTTACAATGTTCTTGTATGTTATTAAGTGACACAATGCTATTCGCCGAGTATGTTGTTTACGAGCTTAAATTATTTGCAATAAAATTGGTTTTATTATTAATGGTAGTTTAAATAAAATGACCATTTGGAAGATTTGTAGTAAAGTTATATTTTTATATTGATACAATCACCAGGTACAGCTTTTGAGTTACAGATTTTTTACAAATATACTTTGTCAGTTTATTTCAGATTTTGGAAAAAAAGGACTCCACAAACACATGTACGAAAAACAATTCCAAATTAACTAAAATTCAAGTCCTTTCCTGTATAGATAGCCACTACAATTTTGTTTAAATTAATAATAAACATAGACTTTACTAGTTTGATATTGTTATTAATCACCTTGGCAGCAACGGCTAACCTTTAGGCAGGGCAGGTCAGCTCTTGCCCTAATAACTCACTGATGCATTACAATGAGTAGCAGCAGTCCCTCTATCACATTTATTTAGTACTAACTACAAATAAACGACAGTTAATTAACACTTTACATTTATAATATGACGCAGCCTCTAACCCACAATGATTTATATAATTACACATCAAACATCTGGCCAGCAGGTGAGAAACTAACATCTTCTAATATATTCGTCTAACATTCAATAGGACTGCTGCAGACTGTCGCTCGTCATTGCAAGTTAATAAATAATAATGGAGATGCAATGATATTTTCAAGTGATAGCAGACTGTTTAGTATTTTAAATATATGGTTTAAAACTAAATAGGCACAGTATGAACAGGTGAGGAGACAAGCTTCTTGAAAATATTTATAATTCATTGCATAAATAAAATATTTCTATGCAATTCTCATTACATAGCCTCCCTGAAATTTACAAGTATTTCTGCCTCACCTTGACACATTGGCATCTCGAATCACATGTTAAGCCTAACATAACTATTGGTCGACTTGTGACATTATACAATTCAATTTAGTCGATGCCAAAGGTCCGGCCAATGCGTATTATCGCTCACCACACTCCTATACTTACATTATACTAACTGTGAGCCTTCTCAGTGAACAGACATTTTGTTCTGTCGCACGCTTACGGGAAATTCCATCTTACTCCTTCCATTATATAGGATACAACACTATCACACCAAAATAATGTCCATCAACTCCGATCCGTACCACAGTATAACTTCCCGAAAAGCCTTTATCAAACAATACAAAACACTTCATCACCAAACTAACACTTTTCCGTCACTGTTATGAGTTCCTGCGATAATAAATTTTTGTTTCGGTGTAGCGGTCACGCCTCGTCTGGTCCTACTTGGCTGGAAACAGAAAACAAAACGTTAAATTCACTGGTAAACTCGTAAGTACAGAGTGATACGTTCAGTTCAGAGTTGCCGAGGGAGGTATAGTCTAAATGATATAAAAAATATAGATAATATTTGAAGTAAAATTATTTGGAATATATATACAGTAATCCCCCCTATAACACGGTGCTCTTGTAACGCATTTTCACATTACGCGATTTCAATACCTCGTATAGTACGGGTATTCCCCCATATAAAGCGGGGATTGCCCACGTTATAGTTCTGTAGTGTGAAATTTATAATGATTTGTAGAGTTCATAATTAGTTCATAATTCGATTTAAACCCTTAGTAACGAGAAAAGTAAAACGTGAATAATTTGTACATACCGCGTTATACGAGAATACTCCTACAACGCGTTTTCCTATCCATATATTCCTATAACACGGAACAAATCTACCGTGTTATAGGGGGTATTAAATATTATATTCGAATATAATTAGTATTTACTAGCTGGTGCTCGCGACTTCGTGGTTTCGATTAACGGACGGAGTAAAATTTTATAGGGTTTTTCTGAAAAACAATTGCCTCAGTTACTTCTTATATAGACAGCTACCTGGCAGTAAAATATTATCAAAATCGGTCCAGTCATTTTGAAGATTACTCGGAACAAACAGACAGACAGACAACAAATATTTAAATTGGTTTTAAGGCAAAGGTATCGTTGCGAATAACTGTGTGAGCATGAAAAAAAACATTACGGACAGACACTTCAATTTCATTTATTTGTACAGATATAAAGTTATGTTTAAAATGTTAATTTCTAATTAGCTTATATTTATTTTAATATAATATATGCATATTTTAAGATTTTTAAAGATAGTGTAGTATATATTTGTCAATTTTTAAGTGAAAGTGGTAGACGTCAAAACTAACACTAGGCATTTTACACTATATTGGTACATAAGTATGGTACTCAACTTAGAATCGGGTACAAGTAGTATTCAGAAATAAAGATAAAAACGCTGGTAATATCTATCTAACGCTAGTTATATGTTCCAATCAGTTCGAAAGTGTAAAGCACAATTTTTGCTAGGTTATGATAGAGGTGTGCGTACCTGCAGTGGGCTGCGGCGCGGGCAGGGGCGCGGGCGCGGCGGGGGGGGCGGGCTGCTGCTGCTGCGTGCGCGCCGGGCGCGGCGCCCCGCGGCCGCGCGGGCCCCCGCGCATCGAGCGCCACCTGCCGTCGTCCGAGAAGCTGTCGGACAGAACACTATTTAAATACGCTATTAACGTGGATTCATCCAAACGTTAAGAGATTGCAAAAATATGTCCAATAGTATAATTTTTAAGCGATCGTTTTCCGTTGACCTTTCTTATTATCTTAGTGTCGTAGAACGTATTAGGCGACTCGATCGCATCTTTTCCACGCCTTCAGGAAAATTGAGCGACCTTCGTTACCTACCATCGGATGACCTGTATGCTCGTTTAGCCCCTATTCCATAAATAAAGGCTTTTGATCACGTGATACATATTCTTTTAGAGGAACTTTATCGTTATGGAATAAGAGGTATCATTCATGACCTAAAATCATACCTGTCTAATAGACATCGAGTCACTGAAATTTCGAAAATGTCTTAAAACAAAGTCTGTGAACCAGTATATACTTCCGATTTAAGAACTGTAACATATGGCGTCTCACAAGGAGAGTGCTGGGCCCTTTACTATTCCTCATTTACATAAATAACCTACTATTGAGTACTGCTTACGATATGACTAATTAACTAATGATAGCACTGTCCTCTTTAAAAATAAATCTTTGAAATCTTTTGAAACAGACATTAAGAACTCTAATGCATTAATTATACCAAGGCTACAAATGACTAAGTTCAAAATTAATTTAGAGAAATCCAAAATATTAGATTATAGACAAAGAACGAAACAAAAAATAATAAGATAGACATTAATAAGGGTAATACATTTGCAGAGAACTAGGTTAGTACATTTCTAGGGTTCATAATAGATAGGCAACTGAATTGGAAACCACATCTAGAGCATGTTTCAAGGCAACTCCACTGACTGCCATTTAACATTTAAAGAGAATTTTTGAGAATGCTTGGAAGACATACAGTTGTATAATTTATTTAAAACACTTCTAATTTTTTATTTTTTTATTGTTGTGCTATGACATCTTATTATTTTATTGCATTTGTATGACTGTATACTTAAATTTATTTTGACTATATGACATTTTGAATTAATTTATTGCTGTTTATTAAATATGTAGTATTATTCTGGATGTAAACGTCTTATGGTTGAATATGGTGAAAGAATGATAATTGTATTATGAATAAAAATCCCGTCACTAATTTAAGACGGATCGGTCGATTAAATTTTCTAACAGTCAAAAAAGGAGTACAGACGGCCAAGTGCGAGTTTATTTCACATCAACTCACTCTCGACAGCGAGCGAACGATAAGAGCTAGTCTTCAGATCCGTACAGAAAAATAAAACGAATAGGACGAAAAGTACTCACAATTGGCTGGACTGGTGCTGCGGGTTGTGGTGAGGGTTGTGGTGGCGCCAGCCGCCGCGGCCGCGCCACGCCCCGCGCCGCGCCGACGCCACGCCGAACGTCTCCGAGTTCAACTTGCGCTCCGTCCGCCAATCCGTACGCTGGCTGCGACCCTTCGACCTGACCACGGAACGACACCTTTACATATCCATTAAGACAAATTCTATTTTATTCTTCTATACTTTATGAAAACTAAACTTTCATTATTTTTTTCATTCGTGACTATTCAACTCATTTCTATTGTTCAAGCAAGTATCTGGTATTCTTTTTACTCATGAACCATCTTTATATCGCACCCTCGGTGCAACAAAGTCACAAGTAGGCAAAATTGCCAAAATGACTTACGTATGCCAAATTGTCTATAAACCATTTCTTCGTTTGGGAAATCAAAGATAGCCGCGAAAGTATTTGAATATATCGATAGATGGCATTAGTGCCTTTGTGGTTCTTGCTACTTTTTCGACGAATATTGGGAGAACAGAGTATGATTAGTAAGTAGTGACTCCGCGCCCGCATGAGTCAGTCGTGACTTGGAGCTACACCAGCTTAAAGTAAAAAAACAAAGTGCCATTATAACGCTCAAATAATTAAATTATATTTGTACCTGGTGCGACATAGTTACAAATTACGACTTTTTTTTTTGTTTCCTTTTTTTTCAATTTTCTAATGAAATCAAAGAAATCTTTTTACATGATACTGTAGTTAAAAGAACAAATAATATAATTTTAATGAGATATCCCGGCTGCTGTAGGTAGTAATCTAGAAAAAAGGAAAATTGATCGAAAAAAAACTTAAAAGTCTGTGCCTGTAAAATTACAAATTGACCTGTTGTGACTGTATTGCACCGAGGGTGCGATATGTAGATTGCAAAATATAAATTATAATCTTAATCCTCTAAACTGTGTAATGGTAATATCGTTTATTATGAAACAAACAAACATGACACAAAAATCATGCATTAAACTAGTGATTAAAATATTTGTTAAAGATCTGCACAGTAAAAAAGTGAGGCACGCTGGGTAACTTGTAAAAATTAACCAGATGAAATTTCTTTCTTCATTCTTTTCTTTTAATTTTTCAGTGTATTTAAAATGAAGTATTTGAATACAGGAATGACTTACCTCTCAACAGCCTCACAAGAAATATTATCGAAGAAACTCTTGTTCTTGTCATAGCCAGTGTAACCATTTTGGTCTTCATCAACTTCGGGTTCACCGGCACCCGTCTCATTACCAGAATCGTCCTTTTTGTCTACTTCACCCTGCGTGATAATAATTACTTCAGACTCCTGTGATTTTCAAAAACAAAAATAAATTAATAAAAGTATTATAAAAACAAAACAGGCAAGTGTCGGAACAGGTTATAGAATATGGAAAAAAATATACATTTTAATTTGAAATCAATCTTATTTTATGTTTTTCTAAATTCATGAGAAGCAATTTTTCCCTAATTAAATAACAAGGGAAATTGAGTTAGTTAGATATTGCAAAAGCAAAAGTAAATAAGATGGACTATAAATTAGAGATGGTAAAAACTACACGGCTTCTTTGTATGTATTTGTCAATAGGTCAAAAAATCCATTTATAAAACTTTCTTTCTAACATTTAACTTTCAACCGAGCTCTTGCATTTTAATTAATAATCATTAATTACTTTTTAAGTAAATTAAAACTAAATATATAAAGTAATACATAATTATTTAAGTAAACAAAACATTTTTCAACATACTCGCTGCTCCGATTAATCGACCTTTATCGGCGCCGAATAATCCATGGTCGACATATCTCTAATTATAAATACGAAAGGGATAGATTTTGTTTACCTACATTCAAATAGGTAAGAGAGAATACTTATTTTCTTTGGGTAAATTCATAGTTTAAAACACACTTATACATACATGCACGTATACGAACACGCTCGTACACGCACACGCACTCACACACACACACACACACACACACACACACACACATAGAAACACACGCGCAAGTTATTTAGATTAAAATTTTCAAATGTAGCGCGAATGATACTCGAATTAATTTAATGTAAGAGATAATATATACTATACAATAATTTAATAATTAAGGTAATATTATTTTACTCTTGTTATAGAATTGTTCTGTTCCTGCTTAATACAGATTATTTAATAATATAGCTAGGGGAACAGTACACTTCGCCCACTACATTAATAATAATATTGTACCGCATACACACAACGCCATCTAGTCCCAAACTAAGCAGAGCTTGTACTATGGGTACTAGACAACTGATATAAATACATATATACTTTTTTTTTTGTAAATACATAAATATTATACAGAGAAACACCCAGACCAAATTAAACATCAAATGTTCATGCACACAAATGTTTGACTTGAGCGGGAATCGAACCCGCGACCTTTGGAATAGCAGTCCGTTACACAAACCACTACGCCATCCGGTCGTCATTGTAGATTAATTTAGTATACTAACTAGAAAGGCAAACCATTGTACTATATCATCCTCTTTTTGATGAATAAATTAATAATAAAACATGACTGGTTCTTAATCTGTATCTTAATACAGAGTAAACTGGCAGAGCATGATTGTTTTTGGTTTGCGGCATTGGCGGTTATTGTCCATCATTGTCCAAATAATCTTTATTTAGGCAATCACGCGTTTTTTGTGACAAATCATTGTTTTTATTATATTCTGACCCTAATCCACTATTTATCTCATTTAAAAAGATTAAGGTTATTTTATGGCTTACGGCGCGCTGCGTGCCAGCGAGTTTGGTCGCCCCGATTTCGAGATACCAAAAATAGTGCAGTGTGCGGGTGACTAGCAATGAGCAACTACTTGCGACCGATCAGTAACAATTCACAATTTAGTTACCTATTTGGGGTTAGTACTGAATATAACTTTAGGCTTCGTGAAGCAGAGTACTTACGAGCAGAAATGGATATAGTATTAGAAGATTTATCATGGTTGGAATATTCGGTTTTACGGATTCGTGCTATCAAAGGGATGAGAAGGAAAAGATTTACAGGCGGACACGAACTACATCTATTAGATCTCTTGCATCTATTATTATTATTAAAATGGATAACAAAAAAGTTGCGCTGCGCAGTCGCGATCCACCTCTAGCGACTGCAAGTCGTGCGACCACTGGTCGTCAGTCGAGGCAGTACAGATAATGCACTGAGCCGATTAGTTCTATACGTTCTATCAAGTACACCTGCCCTTTTCACTCTAGCGAGCGTGCATGAGGTAGACTTATCACGAGTCTTATATGCTTCTTTCTAGTTCAAACTATGACAACAAATTATAATTGCGGGGACATTCATTATATTTTCTCGTTTATTATTACCCTAGTTATTAATTCATGGACGCAGAATATATAGCACATTTCATGACACTGAAACCTGCGGTTTTTTATTTGTATTTTTTTTTCGACAATTAGATCCCTATTTTTAAAATTAACAGAACTTTTTTCACACAACTGATAATTCTATATTTAACAATTATTTTTTTCAAGATAATAATAGTCCAATTACTTGTTTGACAAGTTTGTGTTGATATAAAAGAATAATGAGTCAAATACTTTGTACCATTTCTTATATGCATTTTGAAGATAATAAATTATTTAAAAATAATTCTTATGGAATAATAACGGTGAGTAATTATTAAACATATTCAAAAAAAATTTACCAACTTACCTCAACTTTGACATCTCCCTCAGAAATCTTAGTCTTTGCAAGTTGGCTGCGCAGCTCTTCAAATTCAGTATTTGCTTGTTCAAAATCATAATCCTTGTCGAACTTAAGCGTATTCTTATTGCGGGGAACAAATCCGCGGCCTCGACCACGGGGCCTGCCTCGCCATCCTCCACGATATCCCTGGCCTGTGTGAAACACTGACGAAAAGTTGTCTTGGCCTGTGAACAAAGATATTATAACATGAATTGGACATTTTTGTAGCATTTTTTATAAAAAATAAGTTCTCTTTAGAAGACTCCATAAGAACTTCCAGTGATTATATGACAGAGAGATAATACTTTATTTGTACATCAGGGTTTTACAGACATTATCAAGTAATTAAACAAACAACACATATAATGTACAAAGTGTGGCTTCTTGCTGAGAGCAATTTCTTCCAGGCAACCTTTGGATGGACTGGATTCATTTTGAACCGGTGATAGGTATACAGAAATAAGAGTATTAATAAGGTTTTAACCTATGAAATATTTATTATCCATCAATCCCACTAATCTATATTTATACATTAATACTATACATACATATATACATTAATATATAAATTAACTCATTTTCAACTATGGGAGACAGATAATGCTTATATAGCATAGTTTTGAAGGTGGTTACGGATTGCGCAAGTCTGACAAATTCTATTCAACATTCCATAAACAAAGCATTCTATAAACGTTCAGCTTCTACGGAAAAATATTTTGTGTAGTATTTGGTAGAATGCCTTGGTATTTTCAATTTCAGGTTTTCAGAGGAACTCAGCCATTTCAAATGTTCATGTTCCTAGACAGTTTTACGCATAAGAGAAAACATGGAATAAGTGAAATTCTGAAACGCGTACCGACAAACGCAAACAATTCAGCATGTAGATCATTTATCCATCTCGGGAATCGTGCCTCAAGGATTACCCATCATACTCTCTGTGACACACTGTTAGATGAGACCTTTCAAACCAATAATTTTCAGAATTCTGGGGAGTAATGGGATTTACAATACAGGTTTTGATTTACGCACATTATGCTTGAATGGGTTAAATTCGCAAATCTAGGCTTGAAATCGTATGTTTTGAGTCTACTTACACTAATGATTTTTAAAGAGCTTTACGGGACTACAGACAGATTTTTATTTAAATTTGCTACCTCCACACATTATTCCTGAGAAAAGGAGTCTTGAGAGACAGACAAAAGCCTATCTATATCCTATTAGGGTTCCCTTTCTCGTTCTGAGTATCAGAACCCAACACACAAAACTCACGTAAAGAATAACCTTAATGCATAAACACACTTCCCGATTATTCTGACTTAATGGTGAATCAATCAATCAATCGAACGGACGTGTTTTGCTTTTTCATAACTAGTTGTGATTTTTAATTTCTGTTTTGTTTGAGTGTGATAGTTACATTATCGGATCCTCTCGTTTCTACTAAGGATAATTAGCGTAAGAACAAGCGGCCATCTTGTAAAGTGTCGGACCTCTCATGTGTTGACTTCCGGAAGTCAACACATGAGTCGCGAGTGTATCTGGATGTACTTACTGGTCTGATCGTGGTTGCAATAATATTTTGAACACAAATAACTTTTTGAAATGAAACAGTTGTGCCTCCAGATATTGTTATGAATGCCTTAACGTTACCGTCGAATCGGCCAAACAACTAAGCGCACAACAATTGGCGTCTCTGAGTTGCCCCTTTTGTCAGAATGTAACTCGGCGCAGGATTAACGACGATAATACTCCTGTTCGGCGAATTCAACGACACAACTCACCTACTACCCCCTTGAATGCATCGTTTAGTCAAGTAACAGCTGACGCACATGTTGCTACGAGTATTCCTGTACGCTCCGACTCGACATACGAAACCAGTAACTTTAGAAAGTATTAGGAGACTAATGGATAAAAAAACTAGCACCGAACTCATCGTTTATGTCAAATTTGCGCGCCGCTCTCCTGAAGTACTTAAAGGATATGGTTGCAGTGGAAATTCGTAGTGCTATTGAGGTGGTATAGGCTGATTTCATCACATTCATAGAGCAAAAATACATCAAATTTGATATCGCCGAAAAGGATAATCTGATCAAGCAACTTGAGTTAGAGCTATTGAAATCTCAAAATTCCTTAGCTAAAATCCAAAGACGTTTGTCAACCGTATAGAAAATATTCCGCAAGTTAAATAGTCATAATGTGCTTTGTAAAAATAGCCTTCTATGGTGACCATGGTAGCTTGTACCGATGGATCCGCTCATATCTAGAGAACAGAACTCAGTTGGTTTCATTGAAAAGATATGTTTCCTCCACTAAAGTAACATAAGAGTACCTCAAGGCTCCCATCTAGGACCTCTGCTTTTCGTAGTATCAATGATTTAATTCAAAACTTGTCTTGTAACTGCCTATTGTATGCTGATGATTTAAATGTATTTATTTACAGTAATTGCTTTGTTTTGAGATCAATGAAAGGTTTTAGAAATTCCAAAAGTACTTTGTACATATACTTTGCCATGGTGAGCAGTATATTAGAATATGGTAGCTACATATGGACGCCTAACTAACTACAAGGTCCATATTGATAATATTGAACATATTCAGAGAAGATTCCTTAACATTCTAAACTAGAAAGCCCTGGTCGGTCAAATTTAAATTACGAAAGCAGACTCGGCAAATATAAGGTTCAGCCATTAGAGACCCGCCGCACTTATGACGATTTGGTTTATCTCAATAAAATTTTACATTATATTATTGATTCTCCAGAGTTACTTTCTCAAATCAGTTTCAATATTAAATTTAGTGCCCGTAGGGCTAATGATACGAATATATTTGCCCTTCAAATATATAAAAATAACATTTCTTACTATAATCCATTAAAAAGAAATGGACAATATAATAATATCTCAAAAATTAATAAATTACTAGAAGTTTTTGATTTTACGTTTATAACAGATTTAGTAAATTAGTGAATGACATCCTCCATAGTGAGTTGGGTTTGCATTAGTATTCAGATCTGCATCACATTAGCGGCTTACTTACTTTGTTATATTACTTACAGTATTATGAATCAGAGATAATTTTTGTATAACCTTCAATGTTTTTCTTTGTGCACATATGAGTTACGTTACGATCCAGATCTAAAGGATGTATTTATGTTTTAATTGATTTTAATATGTGTTGTGCATTTAATAAACAAAAAAAAATAATAATAGAATGACAAGATATGAGTCATAGCTACCATGATGTTGCTGGTGATGGTGAGGTTGTTGGTTCTGTTGTCCCTGGCCATGTCCTGAGTGGCCAGCATTTTGCTGATGTTGCTGATGCTGTAATCAATATAATATGATTAATTAGTTATTAAATTTATATTTAATTTAAATATAATGCAACATCATTTAGAAGGTAGTAGGTAGGCATGTGGCCATTCCGACCTACTAAATTTTCATTTATATTTTTGTGTGCAATGTAATTTGTGTAATCCTTTGATGAAGATACAAGTCCTCTTACTGTGGTTCCAACAAGCAAACACGCTAAATTCAATAGTCTCACCTTCCAGTTCACCACCTGTGAGCGGACTTGGCATACAAATTTTAATCATAAAGAAACAGATCTAGTCATAACAAAAAAGTTGGTTAACCATTTGCTTTCAAAAGATATACATTTGGCTTAAGTATTTTTTTTTGTCACAGCATAAATAAAAATTACTTCTTTTATAATACAACACTAAGACGGTATGTCAGACCTAATCGACTAAAGCCATGTTCTCAAAACAAAACATCATCAACATCAAAACATGTCTCGAAACATCCAATGTGGTGGTCGAAAGGGGTAGTACCTGGGTCTGGTGTTGGTTGTGTTGTTGCTGGTGCTGGTTGTGTTGCTGGTGCTGGTTGTGCTGGTTGTGCGGGTGGTGCTGCGCGGGCGCGCCGCCGCTGGGGTAGCGCGTGCGGTTGCGCGAGTTGGTGCGGTTGCGCGCCGCGGGGTGAGCGCCCGCCGCGCCCTTCGCCGCCGCGCCGGGGTTGCTGCCGCGCCGGCTGTCGCGCTGCTGGCTCGACCCGCTGGCCACCGAGCCCACCTGACACACCGACCGTACGTTCTACACCCACCGTACCACGAGCTTATTTACATTACACTTCATCCATTTTTTTATAACTTCCATTTATATCATAACCACAATAGATCTAACTAGAATTTTGTAAATCTGAAATCCGATTTAATTTAATTAGAATTCATGAACTTAATCTTATCATCGAAAATTCGAAATAAATATGGTATGTTATGCACACTATATTATTAGTAGTAGTAGTAGTAGTAAGTAATAGTAAGTAGTAGTAAATGTATATATACCTGAGTACCCTGGTCAGCAGTAGGACTCTTTCGGTGCGCGCCGACGGCAGGAGTACCTGACCGCGAAGCGCTTTGTTGAGATCCTCCTCCAATAAGATCGAGCATCGAACCTACAATTAATTAAATATCAACTATATGTACACTTATTAAATTGTGATGCAATCATCTAATGCCAATAAAATATAATCCTATCATGGATTTATACATTTTTAAACTATTAAAATAAAGATTTTTCAAGAATCAGGAATCAAAACATATTACAAATTAAAAAAAAAAATCATATTTTCTGACTGAAATTGTAAACCTTCAAGTACTAACCTATGCGGACATGTTTTTGAAAACATAATTACATATATAATTGCATCTAATTAGACATTGGCATTAAATGTTATTTTTTTAATAAGACATGTTGCAGAAAAATTTATAAATGGTATAATTTTTATACAAGCAACAGACCAAGGAATGATGAAATGCATTTTGCGATTTTTTTTGGCTTTAAGGATACTAATATCTTCTGTTAACATTATTTCGTATTTTTTTTATTAAATTACTAAAACCCATTTTTTTATTACATTTAAATAATTATAACAGATATGAAATGACAGCACGGATTGTTAGTGGTTTAAGTGGTCACCTTGCCGATTCCTACTGCGCAGAGTGTTGTGGGTTTGAGTCCACATGGGAGAAAATTTTGTATGATCCACAAATTGTTGTTATGAGTCTAGGTGTTCTATGTGTCTGATCCATGCATGTGTTTGTAAAGTCATTTCCTACGACACAGGACATATTCATAGTGTGGGTGATATCCCTTTTTAAACAATAAATAAATAATAAAAGTGCATTAAGGTAATTTTGTAAATATGGCCATAGATTTGCTATTCATTTCAAGAATTCAAACCCTCATGACATGGGTTTGAATTCTTGAAATGAATTTTAGGATTGATTTCTATGATTTAAGTCAGTAAAATTTATAAAATCAAATAGTCACTAAACCCAAACTAAGAGTATGAATATGCATATGATGTATGGGTGAATATGTTACAGTCAGAACTCTTAACCGGTAAAAGGTATCTTTAACTAGCATTGGGCAATGGTACTCTTGACTGCTGCATCAGATACAATCTACTGTTATTGAATCATTTGGGTAAGGTTAGATTTTCACAGCTGATTGTGCCAGTTAAAAATACTTATGACCGGTTAAGAGTTCTAACTGTAACATATATATTATATTAATATATATGTGATTAGAACTATTTATGACCCAGACTTGTAGAATATGTACTGATTAATAATTGCAGTGTTTGTTAAATTAATGCTGTCTTCAAATCATACATACAAAAGCATGGTAAATACTCTACTTTGCATTAACTATACTATATTGAAGCAGAGTTGAGTTCGTGCAAGCTTAGATATGTAACAAGGTGATAAATGGTATTAATTTTCAAAAGTGATTTGTGTGGCAAGCATTTTTATTATAAGGATAATTTCTTATTATTATTATTTTTCTACAGAATTATTAATTTTTTAATATTGATAAGTCTTTTAATGCATTGTTTACTCATAAGGTAGTCTGCCTGGTGATCAGTCAGGCATCACAGATTTTGCTATAAGCATACTCTCTAGTGGACATCTGCTTGTTATATCTATTTCCAGTTCAATTACTAGATCAATGAGATTTTCTTCACTAAGAGTTGACCTCTTCAATCAAAAAATAGTATTAAGGGGTCTAAATGATTAATTTTGAAACATTAATGATCATCATTAGTCCCTTAGCTAGCACCAATAATATACATGTGAGTGAAGACAAATTGATGACTACACCTTTCAATAAATATAAAATAAAATATGTAAAATTTTCATAGTATTTTACATATTAACAGGGTTGTACAGGTGTAATGAAGTATGTTAGGGTTTAAAATCTTTATCAAACTTTGAAATGAGTTTCACTATGAATTTATTTATTTTTATAGTTTGAATAGTTTTGTGAAAGTGTGATTAATTTAATATAATTCTTAAGTAGCTGAGTTTTAAATAAATTATAAGAATATTATTACACTACCTTCTATCTTAAAAATACTAAATACTTTCCTTAAAATGATCACCAATATTGAAATAATGAAGAGTGTAAGTAACAAATCATAACCAGATACATTTTTAACTATCACAATTAATTTAATAAAGTTAATGATATTTTACACTATTTAACCAAATAAAAAGTATCTTGTTATGATGCTACTGTAAAAATCGCAAGGTAGCATGTATCAAAGCAAAAGCTATAATTAACCATGACATAAACCTTGGTCTTTCACTTGATTGGCATGATGAACCACTCCTGAGCCAATTGGAGCCGTGGTCGGAAGGGGCTGGGGTGCCAGCTCCACAGAAGTTTGCGGTGACAACTCACTGGTCTTGTTAAGCTGTGGATGGACACCTCCGGGGAAGCCAGCCATCGGATGGTACTGAGGGTATGGTGTTTGTCCAACCACCGGATGGGTGTATTGCCCAGCAAACTGGCCCGGCGCGCTGCCCGCCCCAAGCGTTGGCGGCACAGACATCTGCATGATGGCAGGATCATTGGGCAATGATGGGACATTGTTGAGCACACGGATATCCTTGATGTCAGAGCCACGGAACAAGATGTAGTCGTACACCTGGCTTTGCGGCGCTACTGGGTACTGCGTTTCACGATCTTCCGTACCAAACGATCGCACTACACATAAAAAACATCACATATGTAAAGAATATTAGAAATCATTTTGATAAAAACTACCACACTTGTTGATTTACTATTATAACTGATTTAGCCCTTAAGAGGTTTAGGGATAATATTAGTTAATTCAGTAGCCTATGAATATACTTATAAGATTTTATAAGTATAAAAGAAAAATTGTAGGTACCACTAGATGGTAAATCTCAAATTTGCAATCGATATCTAACCGAAATGTATTTAGTGTAGAAACGAAGGTTTTGCTACATAAATGTTTACTAAATGAAGGAAATACAGTTGTTATATCCATACATAGTCGTTATCAACGTCATCAATGTGAAACCGCGGTCAACGACGGGACCAATAATTTCACTTTGAGGGTAGCTAAAAAACAATGTGCTAATTTTAACAAAATCTTCACGAATTATATGGAAAATGCGTAACAACAACATAAAAGACGCTTTCCCAAACAATAAACAAAGATGGGCATAAACAGGAGGGAAACGAAAAATTGCTTTCTGGAGAAGTTGATCGATGTTCTTATTGGAAAAAATAATTATTGCGAGAAAATTTACAGAGAAACCATCAGGTAACTAGGGATCAACATTGATAATTTTCCATTTAGAAAATAACAGTATCCATTTGTCAACTTACCGCTAGCCAGAGCGATGGTACATTCCTGAGGATCGACAGTGAAAAGTCGGCCCTCGTACCGAATGTCAGCTTTAGATATTAGGCTTATCTTGGAGCCCAATTCAGGCATTCCGGAACTCATAATGTCACTTTTGCAATACTCCGCTGATGTTAAAGATTTTTAACGATGTCGTCGACCATTGAAATACAGCCACCGAACAAAATGATTGACGGGAAGTTGGCAACAAGCGGTGCGTTTACAAACAGCTGTAATAAGTGGGGGAAATTTGAAAACTCATTATTTGGCTTAAAAAAATGAAATATACCATTGTTTAATTAATTTATTATAGGTAACACATGAAGATACAATTACAACTAAATCACTCATAATAATTGAAATGAAAATATACCAAGCAAAAAAGACACGCTATCACTAGATAAGTTAGTGTTTTATTAAATTAGACTTAAGATTTTGAACATATTTCACTTTATTCTATTATTTTATAAGTTAAAATGTTATTGTATGATCATGATGTATTCGTGCAGATTTACATAAACCAATAAAATTACGAACTGATAAAGATTAATTTTCTTCAAAATCTAGTAGGTATAAACACACAATGTTAAATACTTTTAAAGAGGTTTTATATTAATGAAACAATTAAGTCTGTAAAAACGGACCCGTTTAACCATCGATTAATTTACTTACAAATAAACAATTAAAATCTAAGGTGCGAAGTGTGAAAACATCATCAACAGCCTTTAACAGTTCACTGCACATAGGCCTCTCCTTAGAAAGGAGGTTTTTGTGAACGGTGGATATGGCTAATGGGATCACTTTCAAACCAAAAAAAGGCACTTAAAGACTTCAAAGCTATTTATTTTGAACTTAACATTTTGAATTTATTTACGGATATAATTTATAAAAAAATACACATGTTACTGCTTCAAGCTATTTTTACAGAAAGTGGTAACGAACATCAATATGTTTAATTCTCCTATTTAAAACTCCGTTCTTCATTAAAGCAATAGCAGACTGATTATCGACCATCAAAGTTGTTTGAGGTACAACGTGTAACAATTCCTTCAAGAGATTTTGTATATATAATAACTCTTTATAGCAATCAGCAGCAGCAATATACTCGGCCTCAGTACAAGAGAGCGCAACGATAGGTTGTTTTCTAGATGTCCATGTTTCTTTTTTTTTTATTTATTCCAAATTTAAAATAATTTAAACCTATATGTATTATAAACCAAACAGATCAGATTTGACATCAAAAGAGTATATATACTCTGAGATCACCAATCACCAGTTTTGCCCTACTATACCACGGTATAGGGTTTGTTTCAAGTTTTCCTTATCTTTGCAGTGCTGTTGTCCTGCGTTGCCTTAGTCGTCTATTACGACACCCACTTGATGAATAGGGGTGGTGACATACCGTATTCTTAATCCGTCACCAAACGGACAGTGTGAAATATTAGTACAAGTGACATACCGTATTACATGTTATATATACTATTACAATGCGTGGTGTGATGGTGTAACGTGCCGTGATGACGTGTAACGATCTGACTCTCCATATTAGAGATTTGACATCACAAATTTATTTATTTTTTCTATTCTGGATCTCCCATCACACCCCGCATGTTTTTAAATCTGATAGATAAATTAACCAACCAGCATAAAATTATATTATTTATATTGTTGGTAAATCACTCATTAATTAATGACACGATTTTGTTAGTATAATTATACAGTAACAATATTATGCATTTGTTTTTATATTGAGTGGTTCTAGTAATAAATAGAAGTGGCATCACTTTTTCACTTTACTCAAGGAGCAAATTAATAACGTAAAAATATCAGGACTATGAACGTAGTCTTGGAGCATCCTTTAACAAGTTCATCCTATTCTAGTTGGTAAAAGTTCTTTATGCAAAACCTATTACTTTCTGATTTCCTAGACATTGAGTAGTTTTAACTGGCTTTTCTTTGATTTAATAGTCCACACTAAATAAATCTTGGCTTAATTATCATTTGTCACATTAAAAATAGAAGATGGCAACATTGACCACGAGAAATGTCCGTTGGTGAAACATTTTGATCTGACGCAAACATTGCGGATTCGTAATTATGTTTATGGTGTAGGTAAATAATATTATACTATTAGTGTTGTGATTTGCAAGTGTATGTCATTGTGTGCTCCAGTAGAAAGTTATATGTTAAATATCCCTAACAATGTTGGAAACTCCGATATCCTCGACATCTAGGATGACCAGGACTAGTATTGGCGGGAGCAGCAATAGTTCTATCAAAAGACGGAGCCTCATACCACAGAAACGAATATCTACAGTTAGAAATGAGGTTTGTTAAAGTGCAATAAATATCAGTTAATCGCATAACATTGATAATTTATTTATTACTATCATACTATTTTTACCAGTACCTAAAGTTTCAATGGGTAAACCAGCGTCTGTCTTCTCTCTCAAGATGATATTTACCCTCACTAATAAGTTTGAAACCTTCATACATTAAAGTAGTAATAATGTGTTAACACGTTAATAATTTAAAATGTGAGCTACACAAATCAAAAATTATATTAAGTTGTGTTTAATTTACTAGCTTTTATAGTCTTGCTTAATCTTGATTTATATCATAGTTAACTAATTTAATTATATTAGACACTCAGCAATAACATATGGTCTTATTAGAAACAAAATACACTTTTCCGATATGAAGTTCAAATACATTTAAAATCAAAATCTCAACAAATAAAAATAGAGTTCTTGTTTAAAAGTTATTCATACTTTATTTTGTGACATTATGCAAATATCTCTATTATATAATTCCTATACCCAATTTTAATACAGTGGTGCTAATCTTAGTTTATATCACATGAAGACTGATGACTACTATAGTCCATTCACATTAAGGAAATAGTAACTTATCGTTGTCTCCAAGTCTTGTCCCCTGACCAATCAAAAGATTCCAAAAAATTATAAAGTCAAGTTCACATTGACCAGACTTTTTCATGAAATGGTTTTGTTGTTAAGCATTACATTAAATAAAAAAAAAAATACCGCATCTGTTCATAATAATAAAAGGTAATAACTTAAAACTGTGTGACTTCAATGTTAACGTGGAGAGTGCATTAATAAAATAGCAAGTGTGTGTCCAAAAGTACGGTTAATAAAATTATTAATTAACAAAAGTATAACTTGTACTGTAATTGTATCTATAGATTTCTGTGCCATGAAGGATGATAATTTAACTTGGTCAGCATGTTTTTCGTTTTTACATAATTTTTAACTTAATACTGTAAAAAAAAACATTTTCTGTACTTCTTCAACATATAAAACATTCATCATCATCATCATCATCAACAGCCTTTTATAGTCTACTGCTGGACATAGGCCTCTCCTTAGAAAGGAGGTTTTGTTTGCCTTCTTTTTGTATCAAGTTTTCCTTCTTTTATAAAACATTATGTATTCTAAATAGTATTGCTTTGGTGCACCATATTGGTTTAAAACAGGGTGCAAAGTTTTTTTCATGTTAATATTTAGATAATTGCATGCAGAGATGTAATCATCTGCTTGCTTAGCTGCTTAGCATGATAAATGAATTTTCAGTTTTGCATTCCTGCCAAACCTCCTTTCTAAAAAGATACCTATGTCAAGCAGTAGACTGCACGGATGGAGTAGTGGTTCGATCCCCACATGGGACAATACTTTGTGTAATTCACCAATTGTTGTTCTGAGTCTGGGTGTTCTTTCATGTATGTTTGTAAAGTCCCCGCGACACAGGATCTGTCTTTAGAAAAGTACTAGAAGACTACTAAAGGCTGTTGATAATAGGGATGGAATAAAATCACAATTAACAGTGAAACATAATATAATTTACAAAACCACTGCAACTTATTATTATTATTACACTAGCGCCAGACTCGTGAAAGGTCTAAATAAAAAAAAAGTCAAAATCTTTGATTAAAATTTTTGATTCTGGTGGCATTTATCTTAGTCTATGACCAAATCATAATTACAGTTGAAATTGCTGTGACTAAATCCAATCAATTTATCATGGTTATAAGAGAAAAGTAGCAATAATTTCCATGTCTAGTTGTTGATGATGATACATATATGATGAATAGAAAAGGACATAGCGTATCTAAGGTACCTTTGAGGGATATAAAATCTTTTGTGTGTGCGAATGTTAGTACCAAATAAATAATTCTATTTAATAACTTCAAAATGTTTACTGCATTTTTTAGGAGTGCAATGATGACGATGCTGAACGCTCTTCATTGGTGGCATCTGAGCGCGCTATTGTCACGTCCACGCCGCAGCAGTCACCACGGCGCGGACGCGACACCATGTCATCATCGCCTCAGAAGGAGCATTTCCAAGGATGTCTTAAGCTTTATGCGGAAAATGTATGGTTCCATTAAATTAATTATAATTTTGTTTATTTTAGTAGCTTGGTAATAGTATTATGGCTAAGGTCACAATATTGCATTTGCAAAAGAAACACGAAAAAAAAATTTGCCAGTGCACGTAATTCAAATATTCTACTTCAATAAAAAGGAATGAAATTTTTAAAAAATATTTTTTCAGAAAATTACTAAAGACAATGCTTGGAATCTGCAATTAATAGATTTCATGACGAACATGCTGCGGCGACATGACTCCCGCATGGACAACTTGCAGACAGCCTCGACTGTGGTAGATGCTTCGGCCCGGATCTACTCCTTCAGAGTTGATGCAGTGCACTATGATGTGTTGAAGATGGCTGGAGGATTGAGTAAAGCTGCACAGGTAAGTATTTTTTTAATTAGATTCGTTAAGAATATGGCTTATCTGATGGTAAGGAATTATCAAGATATTAAATATAATATACTACTAAATTTATACAATAATCTAAAAGGCGACTCCGCCGTCAATTGTATACGCTCTTATTGACTTTCCTAACACTCAGCCCTCAGTCAGTACCTGAATCAATACCAGTACCTACCAGTAATAGCCAGTACAAGCCTCTAGACAGTATCCAACGGTGAGCGACTCGAATCCGAGCCAAAAATCTCCTATCGGCTCGACCCCTTGGCGTTACGTAGACACGTAGCTTCACTCTGCTTTCTCTATGGTATATATGAGGGAGTGTGCTCCGAGGAATTATTCGGACTAATACCGACCGCAATTTTCCGCCATCGTTCCTCAAGGCAAAATTTTATCCCCATCATTTGGATAATTGACACTCCACTACTGTACGCTTTTTAAGACACTTTTTGCCTGGTATTTGTCCGATACGATTGCTCCTGAGTTGCAGGCGTTCATGGGCGGTGTTAGTCACTTTCCATCAGGACCCATCTGCTCGTTTGCCCCCTCTTCCATAAAAAAAAATAACAAAGAGAGACATTTTGTGGGTCTATCTAAAATACTTATCTAATATTTTTTATTGTATATACTTCTAGACAAAACGAGGTAAAAAAGATGATGAAAACGGTGTTCAAGAAGACGGTGCGGTAGATAGTGACGCTGCCCCAGTAAAAAAAAAGAAGAAAAAATCTAAAGGGGCTATTGCTGCTAATCCAGAAGTTTTTAATGGAGATTTTGATATCAATGACTGTTTAGGTTAGTTTTCTAAACTTTTAAGCTATTATCGTGTATATATCGTATAAAGAATTCGTGAGCCGTTTCGGTTCTGTCAATAATTTTACCAGAAGAACAGAGTTACTCTACTAAAGTCTGCTTAACTATTTGACAATCGCTGATTTGGTTTCCTTGCGATTTTAAGGACAACAAATTGTGCTGTTAGTAAATTTTATTCTATCTGTTTTAATATATTTAAAATGTCAGTGTGGTGACGGACTAAGAATACGGAGTGTCACCACCCCCGTGGGTTCCGTAAGAGCCGACTAAGTGAGCAAACTACGCAGGACAATAGCACCGCAAATAGAAGGAAAACTTGAAACAAACCCTATACCAACCCGTCAGCCAGCGTGGTATGGTAGGCCAAATCATCCTTTCTAAGGAGAGGCCTATGTCTGGCAGTGGACTATTATAGGCTGTTGATGATGATGATTTTTAATAAAAGTTGCTAAGCTTGTGTTAGTGCTTTTAGTTTTTGATCTATGAGTTCTAATAACCAGAACATTAGGTAGAGCACCTAAAACCTAAATATGACAGTTATACATATATTTAAATAAATAAATGTGTTTTTTTTAACAGATCCATTCTTTGAGCGTCTAGCGGCTACACAGGGCGATGTAACATCATCAAATAGAGCATTTAATGCGACATTACCTATTCAAGACAAATCCTTAGCCTTAATATTGAGGTAACATTATTACAATCATGTGTTTAATAAACATTTCATTCCTTAAATATACTTCATGTTACCTATTATTCTTTTAGAACTGACGACCGATACCTAGAGGAAATAAAGGAGAATATTCCAGAAGAAATTAACCTCTCAGATCGAATCACCATATCATCCAAATTATTACCCGCATTTACTGACAATGATCATATATGTGAACCATTCACTGGTTTTTCTATATCTAACTGGGATCCTGATACTGAAGACAAGTAAGTTATGAACAGTAAAAGCAGGTACGAAACAATATCACAGCACACAAATTGACCAGAAAATGATGCGGGAAGTGTAGCAAACTTTCCAAATCATTTTCTGGTCAATTTTATGCTTACAGTAAGTTTGTACTGAGACCTCTACTAACTCTTACACTTAAGAATAAACTCGAAATGTGCGGCTAAATGCTATAAAGTATAGCACTTTTTATTTGTATGGTAGATCGACGAACGGAGGTCTGTGTAGTGACAGATTAAGAATACGGAGTATCACCACTTCTATTTATCTCGTGGGTGTCGTAAGAACCGACTAAGTGAGCAAACTACGCAGGACAATAGAAGGAAAACTTGAAACAAACCCTATACCAACCAGTCTGGCCAGCGTGGTATAGTAGGCCAAAACCTCCTAAGGAGAGGCCTATGTCCAGCACTGGACTATTCAAGGCTCTTGATGATGATGATGAGCAGCCTGATCAACTGATGCCTATACATACAACTCAAGAAAAAAAGTTGTAACCTTTTGAGTGACCTCCCTCTCCTCTCCTCCCTCATTTGCAAAAACTGTTTAATTACGAAAGTAAATAATATAAGAACTGTAAACCGGATTCCTGAAGAACCTTTACCATCTGATTTTCTCCAAAAGAAACTGTAATTAAAATAAAACTTTCTTGGGTTACTAAAGTAATATATTTTCGAAAAGTTCAATTGCACTGACATGTAGTGATATGTTATGCATAGAGTAAGATATTAAACATAATCGTGACATAGAGTAATTTTTCTTCTAGCGTTACCAGAGTCAATAATTGGGTAGAAGATAATCAACTAAATTTATCGCAACAAGCCCTTGCGTTTGACATGAATGCTGAGGTCGAGCCTATACCGCTAGATGAACCTAATAATGATTTATTTGGTAAGATATTTTTGTTACATTAAATTGTTGGCTAAAAAAGATGTGCTCATGGACTATTGCATCACACATCACATCCACAGTCCACTATTGGACATAGGCCTCTTCTTAAAAAGGAGGTTTTTAACTCATGCGCTATACTATTGTAAAACTAATATCAAAATGGCCCGTTGGTTAGTGATAATGACTAAGCTAGAGGTCGTGGGTTCGATACCCACGCAGGCAAATAATTGCTTAATGAGCACGATCATTTGTTCCGTGTCTGGGTGTAATTTATCTGGTATAAAAGTATGTCTATCAGTAGTCTGGTTACGTACTGACTGCCTAGTTTGTAATAAGACGGTCGCGTGTAAGACGTGTGAGGTTATTATTAATATATTATATGTATAAACGGTTAGTTAAAATTTCAATGCGATTACGAATTATTAGTATCGAGATCCGTAAATACGTATACCGAGCTAAACTCGAGAATGCCGATACAGGTTACAAACAACGGTTTACCTTGATGAATTTTTTATGTATTTATGTGTTTTTTATGTGTATCGTACAGAGGACGAGCCGCTGGGAGGCATCGAGAGCGAGGAGGAGGCGGACGTGGCGGTGGCGGCGTGCGTGGCGCGCGCGGGGGCGGGCGGCGCGCTGGCGCGGCTCAGCGACATGCGGCCCGCCGCCGCCGCCGACACGCGCCTCGAGTACTCCTACTGCGGCGCCATCGTCGCCGCCTGGGCCGGGCCCTCGCACTGGCGCCTCAAGAACAACAGAGGTAACCGCACACCGCACCCACACACCCATCCACCGTCCACACCCAGCTCGAGGGAACGGCTATTTCATTTATCGATCTAAAAACAGGAGATAAAGTACGGAACTGTTTTGTCTTTTCCCGTCTATTTGGTGTGGTGCAAATTTTATCACTTAATTTTTACCTCATATCAGTGATGTGTCAGATCATTAAAAATGTCTACCTGTCGAGGAATAAGGATACGAATTAAATCCGCTCTAATATAGATCTCAATTATGACTATGTATAAATAGGACCTCATGTTTCAGCTAACACCGGGTATTTAATGTTTTATAAAATTTTGAAAGATTGGTAAAGACAAATAATATTTTTTTACTATTAATAATAACCAACTACAAGATAATTAATTACGTTAATGATAAAATTCCGTAAAATCAACAGTAAGATATTTGTTGAGATCCTCCAAAAAATAACGAATACCGATATTTTTCCTTCACAGCATATCCGCGTATATTTCTTCAGATAGGAACTTAGCACATCACTACCTTATAAATAGAATATTATTATGCTAGTAACAAAATATGTAGCAATAATTTTATTTAAAACATTAGACAGCAATTAAAACTAAACTTATCAAATATGTTTATTACAGCATCTAAAATGACCGAACGCACTCAATCGACGGCCGGCCGTCTTACAGTCGAAGGCAAGAAACCGCCTCGCATGAAACGTCAGCTAGACTTCCTCGGTATTGGCTTGTCGTTCGACTGTCGGTCAGACCCAGTCGGAGAGTATGAGCCTACCCAGCCAGCAAAGATCATGATCAGTAGGAAAACATTGGCTACTGGACATACATGGAACGAAGCTAATTTTAAAACCCCCATTGATAGGTAAGCTTTACATTGGTATCTTTATTATTTTACAAAATAAATTCTAGGGGAAACAGAAAATCGGATTTTTATCAGACATGTTATTGTCCTGATTATAAAAGTCTTGGCTTTGATAATCAGTAACATCCAACCAAAATGTCCTTCGTCAGTTACAAATGCAATATTACTCGAAACAACAGAATTAAAGAGATAGTACCCAGTATAAATTATTCAGATTAGTACAATGAAAACAAAATTCTTCAGCTTATTTTCAAACCTAGCTCCATTAAATGTTTTTATTTTTATGTTCTTTATTTAAGTTCAATTATACATCCATAAAAATGTACGAATTGTTTTTTGAATAACAATAACTTTAGTGACACTACTTCAGTGTTAATATTTATTATTTTAATTTGATATAGTAGACTTATTTAACAGTTTGTAAATTATTAATACTGTACTTTTTTTAATATTGTTTCAAAATGCACTATTACAGAGGTTTAGACGAGTCACACTTCCGTAAGCTATTCCTACGAACCAAAGTCATGATGCTACGTAAACGTGATCTCGAACAGAGCAAGCAACCGGAACCGGAGCCCGTCACAGTGGAAGAAGCGAGAGACTACGATTATAATAATGAAAATGATGCCTCATATTGTCCTAATAACATACCAGTAAGACTTTAATCATTCTTTGTGTGCGAGTATTTATAAACTCAAGGAGAAATAATTAAACGCGTCGATCAGCGCATGCAAAATATAGGATAGTTTTAGTTAGATGTTCTTTAGACTTTTTATTAAAATTACTAATTAGGTCTTGCGTTATTCTAGATTGTCACAATAGGGAATATGCACGTGACACCAAAATGGACAAAATATTTTTATTTGTAATTTTTATTGCTAAAAAAAGATACCCATACAATTATTTTTGAAATTTATTATAATTTAATAGTGAAATTTAATCATCAAAAATTGGCTTTTTTAAGATTCCCTCGCAAATTTCTAAAACGCAACGCTATTGGTTGAATAAAACGTGACGTCAACCTACACTGTCAAGAGTGTCAACAAGTTGTGTGTATTTGTAATATTTGGTTTCTGGTGATTATTTGTTTCATTTTAAGTTAATAACTAATACGTTTTCAGTGTTAAACTTTTAAATTCCCGTGTGGAAAGACTCAACACAATGACTGAATATACTTTGTCAGGTGCAGTTTTGATATTATTTGGTTACAAAGGAACGGCACAATATTTATAATAAGTTTTTATTGGCTTTTCCATGGTAATAAGTTAATTTTTATCACTCACTTTTTTAACTTTCACAAACTTTGTGAACTTCACTCCGTTGTTGTCACAAAAAACAACGTTGCCACAAAAAAGCGCGCCAAAATGGACGTGTTCAAATTGCCCCAAAATGATAGTGATTTTAATATTATTTTTTTTTGCTTAACGGTTTATATTTCGGATGTGTTATATTTATTTTTGGTAATGTAATAACTAGTAGAATCGTTTATAAAATAAAAAAAAATTCATGCATATTCCCTATTATAATAGTTATTCTTCAAGAAAATGTCTATTCCAAATTTTATGTTGATTAGTTTAGTAGTTAAGGCATGTGGTAGCGTCACGGACAATCAAACTCGACGATTGAACGTAGATCCAAACTTGTATGGATGTTAACAACTCATTAAAAATAACTTTTTGTTGTACGGTACACATAATATTTTTTTATTTTACTCCGTTCATTAGCACTCCTTGCACTCCGTCTCTTGGGCTTGCTAACCGTGAACGACTAATTCTTAAAAAAAAAACTATTAAATGTCAATTATTTTCTTTCAGGACGGCGACGATTGGGGCAACGAAGACGCTATGGCCGCCGGTGAACTTCATGAGCAAGTAAAAGCTGCTGAACCAGAAGAAATTGGCGACATGTTAGAACCTCCGACAAAGGTAACACTTGAATTCTCCTCAACTGTTAACAAATTTACACACGTAAGATTCCTAAGTACAGTAACAATACACTGGACTAACGTAGACAGTCCCAAAAGATATCTTCTTCTTTTAAAACAACTAATGTAACTAACAAAATTATCCATTTCATAATAAGTTAATTGAAACATAACTATTCCTTTTTAGGTTGCCAAAATCTTCATTCCATACGCAATGAGAGCGAAAAAAGTGGACATGAAGCAACTCAAACACTGCACTTGGAAAATGCTTACAGAGAAGACTCCAGAAGGAGAGAAAGATACTGTCTCATCAACTACGTTTTTCTCAATCTACTCAAGATTGCCAAGCAAATTGTCTTCCAACATGCGCGAATGTCTCAGTATACCTATCGCTTTGCTCTCAGTGCTCCATTTGGCTAATGAGAAAGGTCTCATATTAGAAAAACGTGATAACCTCAAAGACATAGGCATTCTGGGTCTCATAAAATAATCATAGGTATAGCTTTGCTGTGTATAATTTTGTAAGCTTTTCGTAAGTATATTCTTATAAAATAAACTAAAAAAGGTTATATTATCTACAATATTCTAACATTTCAAATATGACTTTCACTTTTTGTACAATAATCACTGAGTCTATGTTGCAAGAATACCAAAACTTTGATCATACCGCATATTTACCAGTTAGTCTACACCACCTCAAGTATTTCCAGAACAGAAAGAATTATATAAACAAATAGTATGTATGTACGTGTTTTGTATGTATTTAGGTAAACAAGCATTTTTGATGTAGATTCTCGGATTCCACAATGAGTTGTAATATAGCTAACTTTATTTGTAACGCCATATATTTGTCGTCAGTGCTCGACATTGTAAATATTGTTCTTTTTTTTAAGATTTTGTAATTGTTTTCTTTGCCTTATAAAAGGACTATGATTAATTGCCATAGGAACATTGTACATTTTTTTTAATAATCCTTTTTTTTCTACGTCGCATTGTAAATGTAGAATAAAGTTTTAGACAGATTATTTTTTTATTTCATTTTTGAAACAAGCCAATGAAACAATCCGATTGAGCTTTTGTGATAGAGGTCATACTATATTTAACATGCTTTTTCTACTAGTAAGAGCATGTTTTTTTCTTTTTTTAATGTCCTGTTCCCTGGATGGAACTGAGGACATCCATAGCAAATCTTCATCTTGTTCGGTCCCGAGCCTCGAACTTAACTTCAGCGTTTAGCTGAAGCCAAAGTAGCCAGGTATTGCCAATACTTCCAGCCTCATCTGCCACTGTTCCTCGCCGGGGCGCTTGCACTTTCCCTGAGGGTTGCACTCCAGTGCCTGCTCGGAAATATGATCGGGGTCGCTTCGGAGAGTGCGGTCAATCTAGCTCCATTTCCTTAATATGCATTTCGATCAAAGTTTCAGGACAGCGTTCCAGCAGTTGTTGGTTGGATAATAATATGTTCCAGCGGCGGCCATGGCAACCTGGAGTCACTGCGAGATCTTTTTTTTAATGGTATGGGGAGGCAACAAGTAGATCTCCTGATGATAAGTGACGACCGTTGTCCATGGACACCTTTTTCTTTTTTTTATTAAAAAAGACAACTCCCGACTAGGAATATATCCTGTGTCTCGGGGAACTTTACAAACATACATGAAACGGACACAAAGAACACCCAGACTCAGAACGAAAATTTGTGGATCACACAGTGTCGTCGCATATGGGGATCGAACCCACAACAGTCAGCGTAGTAGGAAGCGGCGTGGCGACTGCTTGAACCACTACGCCATCCGTGCAGCATTACATGTGTGATATACTGATATCATTGGCCGATTAACCCTAAGGCAAAGTAGGCACGTGTCTAGGGGCGCGAGGTTACAAAAGGACGCAGATTGTTTTTTAAAAGAAAAAATATATGCCTAACATCAAAAGAACCGTGTTAGTAAGTATGTACATACACAATAACTTCAACAATATAAGTCCTTTATTCTATAGAGTTGTTTAAGGTTGACATCTGAGATTTATAATACGTAATTGGCACTACTTTGTTTTCATTTTCTGATACCTTCGAAGATTGAGGCTAGTGTGTGAACACAAAAATGTAATTGCTATAACTGCAGCTGTAGTGAAGATTACTCTATAAGTTGTGGTAATAAACAAGGTTTGTCCAGTCGATTCGACTATAAAGTGCAACGATGTAGGCAGAAGTTCTGATCGGCCAGATTAACCCGTGCATTTAGCACCATCAGAGAGCGGTGGCGGATCTCCCATGGTATTTAGATTCGGAAATGAGTAGCTAAAGGCCGCTTGCCGAGCCACAATGACTCGTTGGCCATCCCAGCTGGAGGCTCCACGCACTAACTTTGGCGCGCCGTGGAGGCACTCCAGCTCGTCATCGTCTAGTCGATCGACCCTTTCCTTCCGATTGAGCCAGGTATTTTCTATACATAACTGCATAGGGAGATAGTGGCGGTGACGTCCTCGTGTGGGAGACGTCTTTTAAATGAGAGTTTATCCCCAAAGATGTTGCCCGCGCTTTTAAAGGGCAGGCCCTAGGAGGAGCGGAGCCGTCATCTACTCAAGACCGGTCTCGGTCTTGTTGGTCGGTGTCGGTGTGAAATGTCGTGCGATGTTCCGTAGGGGTCGGTGTTAGAGCCGACCCTGTGGAATATCGGCTACGACCGGGTGCTGCTCGGTGCCTTCTTGGATTCGTCACATGCTACGCGGACGTCATATGATGACGTGTGGTAAGGCGCACCGTGAGGATCAGGCGGCTGGAACTCGAGGTTACTTGTTCTTTCATGAGTCTCGGAGGGGGCCACCTGATGGACCCAGTCTCATAGTAGGAGGCACTTGTATCGACATCGAGCACTCAATGTAGTATCTATGGCTCGTACTGGGTCGAGATCGTGGGACTCGAGAAATCGAGGAGCAGAAATTCTAACTCTGCCGGTTCCTCGTGGAGGAGTCCTCGAGGGAACGACTTTGGCAACCAAGCGCCTGGCACGCCAATGGCGGTAAGACTCGTTATGGAGGAGTTGGCTCGAGAGGAAACACGGAACCCTCTCATACCGGCTGACGCAGGAGATCACCTTTGTCTGATCTGCAAGGAACCAATTCCTGGGTGCCACCATTGCGCCACCAGGCGCAGTGTATGGTATTCCGACACAGCGATGCAAACCCCAGTGGGGTGACAGCCCATGGGGGCTTCCACGCGTAAAAAAATTAAGTTCTAGTTATGAAACAGATCTTTAAGACTAGTTCTATACAACTAATTTTTGGAGTAATAATCACTTTCACACGTTTAGTAACGTCAACTAGCGTATGGGCGCTAGACAGGTGCTTTAAGGTCGCCGATGAGATGCTTGCCTAGGGCGTTCTTTATACTTAATCTGCCTCTGACTGATTGATATACTTAGCGGGTTTAGTTTTAGTTGATCCGTCCGACCAAGCGTAGGTATATATGAGTACATAGTGTGTGTAATATAATATAATAAATAAGTATAGGTAGGTTTTCCTACATACTTAGGTACATAAGTTTTCGTGTGATAGGTACTTTTTATTGATTTTCTATAATCTAATTAAAACGAAACATGACGTCAGGCGACCGAAAATTTGCCACAATAAAGTGTAAAACACAGTTCTTTTATTGTTATAGGCGAACCTTTTTATTTGGGTTTTAAAACGTAACATTCTTCTTAAAACGTTTTAAATCGATTGTTTTACATCATTGTAAAACTTTGTAAAAATTTTCTACAGGCTTAGAGAGCCTTTACTACAAAAACAATTTATCAAGTGTAGGGGTATTTTTAATTACTACACTGTTTCTTAGACAATAACCATTCTGCTAACAACCATCATCATCTCGGCTGAAGGCTGCTCTACAATGGCGTCTCCCAAGGCATGCCACAACAACCGCTTTCCGCGACCATTACCAGGTTGATCGGCGGACCACCTTGCAAGAGGCCTACCTACGCTCCGTTTTCCGGTACGTGGTCGCCACTCAAGATTTTTTGCCCCATCGGCGACCTTTTCTTCGTGTGCGTCACGATTGCTCCGCCACGTAATCGAAACAGAAAAAAAATGTTGCAAAAAATTTGTCAAAATCGAAGAGAACAAACCAAAAATTTGTCAAAGTACCTACATATTAAGAAAGAAGTTTTAAGTGAATGAAAACGTGGAGGATTGCGCGGATTTTGGCGTGAACGTTCATTTATTCGACATCTTAGAATGACAACGTTTTACTCTCAGAACAGTTTTCAATGCGTGCAATCTTAAAAATCATGTTATCTCATACAATGTTCGAGGAGGGTAACCATAATTTCGATTTAATTTGAAAATACCTTTTGTTCTACTAGACGAAAATCTATCTATTAGGACAAGGAAAATATGGCGAAGAAAGTGTTAGGTATGGGAGTGAAAGGGTACAAGAGAAGAGGAAGACCAAAGAAAAGGGGGATGGATTGTATGAATAAGGATATGGCTAGGAAAGGTAGGAAGTAAACAGTGAGATGACTAATGATAGAGTAGAATGAAAGAATTACACTGCGAACACCCCAAATAAAATTGGAATAAGGGTAGGCATATGATTATGAATTGGTTAAAACAAAACAAAGCAATGCGCTTTGCTCTTCTGTGACGATCTTTTATTTTATCGCTAAAAATAATTTGGTAACAGTAAGTATTTCATGATGGTCATGATGGAATTTCGACTATTTACTCGAAAATCGAATTCGGTAAGTACCTGTGTATCTATATAGTATCTATGTAATACGGTATGTACTACAGGATTTAAAATAAACAAGAAATTATTTTTTTGTAGCTTTAATAATAAAAAAATACTACAGATCAACTATAGAATCTTGGTGATCTCTGATCACTAACAAAAAAAGAGAGGCAAACAATCAAAATTTATAAAATATTTCTTTCTAAATTAACTTAATGTGTGAATGGAAGATGTATATATGACCAAACGTTTTAAAGGGAATGTGTAATAACAACATATATGTATTTACACTTCTCACTTCTACTATATTATTCTCACATCACATCAGAGGCAAACATTAGTGGTTACTTAGTACGAGTTGGCTATAACTTTAGCTGCAATAACACAATCAAATAACATACAAAAAACTTAAAAATACAAAATGAGTATTTATAAAAACAAATGAACAATATTGTATGCCTACAATAATTTTTTTAACGATGTTCATGTAACAAAATAAAGTACAAAAACATATGACTTGACAAGTATTTTAATGTGTCATTTATAATCTAATTATATGAATACCAAAGTCGAACAAAATTAACGTCATATAAGAAATACTTTAGAAAAATTCAATCTTTACATCTTCATATATTTATTATAAGAATATATATTTTTGCTGTTTATAAATTAGCACTGTTCAAGCAACGTCTTGCAGAACACAGAAATATGCAAGATAATATATTCAATGTATTCTTATTTAAGTCACATTGCTTCGTCACATATGTAGATTTCTATAATACAATTATGACTGTTGGTATATGCTTCACTCAATATAGTAATAATACAACAACTTATATATTTTTATAACCAGCAGTCTATGTTGTTACTTCAGATACTTCTGCAACCTTTTCTGTTGATTGCCTCTCGACTTTTGTTTCTACAGTTTCTGATAATTTATCTCCTAAATCAGCTACTTCTTCAGTTTTCTCTGTGGATATTATTGCCGTCTTTTCTGTTAACTCCGTAGCTTTCTCTGTGACTTCTTCAATGGTTTTTGTACCTTTATCTGAAAGATTTTCTGTTTCTGGTAGCTTTTCTTCTAATTCTGATGTTTTTTCTACTGTTTTAGGTGTGTTATCTTTTGTTGTTAATTGTGAGTTTGTATTCGATGTTTCTTCTATTTGCAAGGCCACTCCATCAGTTTCAACTGCGGATATTATTTCCGAAGTTGCTACTGAGGGCGAAAGTTCTCCACTAATATAGCCCGTGTCTGTATAAATAGAATCTTTAGATTCATCACACTCGGGAGTCTTCATTAACTCACAAGGACTGTCAGTTGACACGTTTTCCTCAGGATTATTTTGACATAGATCCTTCTCTGCTTCTTGGCCAATTTCTTCAGATTTATTTTTGAAAGATTTGTTTTCGATGACTGTGTGGTTACTATCCATACTTACGTCTAAATCATGTTGTGAGGTATTAAGATCAGTTTGTTCACTAGTTGTATTCTCTATTAAATCTATATCAGTCGTTACTTCGTCCGATAACGTGTTCTCACTCTTTATGTTAGTAATAAAATCTTTGCCGTCAACTAGTAGTTTAACCAGAATAGGTTCTTTAGTGGTATCTAAAAATTCAATTTGGAATGTTGTATCTTCTATGGTCAGCTCGTCAAGTTTATTTTTGCAAAATTCATTCAATGAATGGTCACCAAATGTCCCAGCTAGCCTGCAACATTTTGCCAATGGCTCAATAATAGCAAGATCTTCTGGTAAATGTCTGAATTCTTCGCATTTGGCCTTATTACCGTAGTCTATAAACTGCACATGGTAGCCTATGTCACAAAATTCTAAAATCTTTGCTCTGTACCATTGCTGGTCTTCAGACCAAAATGCAGCACAAATTGACCCTACTTTAAGTTCTGAAGCTGTCTCAAACTCAGGACTAGCGTTCATTTTCATCGTTACTTTATCAAGATCTGACGTCGCGTCTTCTAATTGTACGTAGAACTCTTCAAGACTGTTGACAAAGCAGATTTTTCCGTTGCTAAGTAAATCCTGTCCAACTGGAGTCGGTCGCTCATTTGGTAATTCTTCACATAGCGCTACGAGCTCCTCTGTGACAGATTTACCCTCAAGATACAACTCCACGATAGAAATATCACCGGACGCAATAAATTGTACATTAAATATCGTCGCTCCCTCTGCAGCTAACTCGTTAAATCTGATCTCAGATTTACGTGACCACTTAATATCTCGGGGTTTTTGTAAGGCGCATTTCCTTGAAAGAGCAGGTTTCAATTTTAGTTCTTCAGGAAGACTGCGTAATTCGTTAGCAATTGAAGCATTTCCATAATCCATAAATAAAACTTCAGTTCCCTCTGATCCATCGACAATTACTTGAGCTCGATACCATGCACCATCTTCGGGATATTTCGCCGCACAAATTACACCTTCTTCTTTTTCTATTAATTCTGGGAAGTTTTCGGCATCAACCATAGCGGCTTCCATAGCTTGTAACTCAGGAGCAGCTGTTTCTAACTGAATCCAGAATTCAGACGGAGAGTTAACATGACTAGCAAAACAGGATGGTAAATCTCCACAATCATTGTCTTCAGATCTTATCGCATGACCTTCAGATACCAATTTATCAGTAATGTTTTGACCACTAACGAAGATATCTACGTAAGTCGTAACATCTTTTAATACAATCAAAGCATCAACTGGTGCCGATATATCACCAACTAGTTGAGTAAAGTAATCAGAAGCCGGTTCGGACCACTCACCAGTTCCTGTCGGTACAGCATTTACACTAGATTTGACAGCATAGCGTTCTATTTCTTTTAAATGATCTGGTAAAGCTTTTATTAGACCTGGCTGATTGTCGAGCACATCTGTGTTGCCATAGTCGATAAAACGGACTGTCGTTATATCGGAATCCGAGTCAAGAATTTCAGCTCGATACCATTGGTCATCTGCTAAATACTTGGCAATACATAGTGTACCAAGTTCACGATTTTCGATGTCCGCGTAAGTATTTGCATTGGCTTGCAGCTCTGATTGTATCTCTTCGACCTTATCGATTTTGTCTAACATTTGCAGCCAGAAATGACCAGGTGTGTCGATATGGCTGATATAGACCTGGGTACAGCCTTCAGGCAATGAAATAGGCTCAGCTGATGGAGCTTCTACTTTTTCTTCTTCCTCGGCTGATGTAACTCGAGGCGTGGCAAATTTGTCGTTAACCAATTTCATAGCCAAGTCCACACCATCTAAATGCAAACTTGCAAGCCAGCCATCTGAACCAAAGGCTAATGTTACTTGGACTTCCTTTTCGTCGGTCCATTCTTTTAATTTTGCAAGTGCATCTTCTTGCAAGGCTATGAGTCCTAGGCTGGCTACCAAAGCCAATACACAAGGTTCAAAGAACTTAGGGTCGAGCTTTTTAATAGACTCCTTGGTGACAATTTCTGTGTTACCATAATCAGGGAACTGGACTTTGACTTGAGACTCTTCTACATTAATTATTGTCGCACGGTACCAATTGCCATCATTCGACTTAGCTACACACATACCATCAATTTCGTAAGAAGGTAGATCTTCCGGGGTACCTGTAAAAACAGAACTCTGTAATTATTGGGAGCAGTAAAATTTTACGAATTATGGGTAAACATATTTTTTTATATGTAACATCTTTACCATCGTTTTCTCGCAATCTTCGAGAACGATTGCGTGACAAGGGACAAAAGTGCGTAACAGAATGTCTGGGAAGCGAAATTGACTAGACCAATGAGCGCCCGCGTTGCTACAGTTGGCCGTCAGATAGTAGATGTAGATGTTAAAAGTTACACATCTTCAGATCACATTTATATCGGCATTCTACTACTCTCACCTTCTTCATAAAACTTGTACAGTTCATCAAGTAATTGGGCAATCCGATCGCCATCACTAGACTTTTGTAAGTAGAACTCGTTGAGGTTTTCCACGTGTGATATGTAACACATGCCGAAGTTGTAGTTGAATACGGCTCTCATACAGAGTGGTACGACTTCATCATAAGCACCTTCATCCGGCTCGAAGATTGCGATTTTTTGACCTGTCTCTGCTTGGTAGAGTGTGGACACCAAGCTGAGAACAAAGTTTGTCGTTACAATCACAATATGATGAAGAGTAGCATAGATATAGTTCAGATCAAAGATATTCATATATTGTTTTAAAATATTTTTTCAATTATACAGACGAACAAAAAAGCCGTCGAGGGCGAGTTGATGTGACATAAGCTCACACTAGGCCCTGAGTAAACGTGGCAAGTTAAATAGAGACGCGTAGTTTATTAAACATATTACTCTAACGTCTCAATTTCGTAAATAGCTTTCACCTCTAATGTCCGATACTGACTAATGTTATTCACTGCCACCACCTGCATTAAAATATTGTTTACGATAATGGTGTTTATGCAATTTCAGTTAAGAAAGTAAGATACATAATATAGGCAGTTAAATATTTACAAACCAGGCACTTCTTATATAATACTTTATATAGGAAGTGCCTGGTTTGATGACGAATTTTGTTCATTGACATGCATGACATTGATTTTGAACATCAATATTTTTAATAAATTTTCAAGATTTGCAATGAAGAAACTGCCATAAAATTAACTGAATATTTACCTTATTCCTTCCACTTCGTTGATATAGATAATAACGTTTTTGCCTATGAGATTCTCCTTTAGTTCGTCAAGTGACATTAACGTTTTGGATTCAGCTGTGTAATTGTTTAGGCAACATTCTAGTGACTGATAGTAGTATACACTCAACTCAGTAGGTAGAATCATGAGCTGAAATTAAAATTTTAACATTTGTATTTTTCATTTGCATTGTTCTGAAAATTTATACATCAATCATATAATATATTTTTAAATATACACATATTATAGATAAATTACACCCAGAAACAGAAATAATAAAGTAACATTTCAATTTTTTAAACGTGGGCTTGCCACCAGCAGCCATTGGATATATGTATGTATAAAGGGGTAAAACTCATAGCTATACTACACTGCTGGGATCTCCAAATAAAAGCAATAAACGTAAATATTCAGTAGACATGATTACTAAGTATTATATGCATATGTTTAATACATCAAATTAATGACTGGGCATTTAAGAATATTGGTAGTTTATAGTTATAGTATAATATAAAAACAGTAGTTATAGCATCATTAAAAAAAAACTTTTAAAAACAACTGCTCATTGAGACTGTTCTAATAAGCCCAAACATGTTATATATGCTTTAATTTTCTGAGGAGTCTGCTATCCCGCAGACTACTTGATGCAGCAGCAACTTCCAGGTTACCATGTTTTTTTCATCCGTGTCGTGGAAATAAAATCAAAGTAACAGTATACCAAATTTCAGATCAATCGGACCAATAGGCATTGCTTTACCTTTATCCTGACAATGTATGGGTTTTAAATCGTAATCTACATAGTTTTGAAAAAATATAATACTGTGTTATAATTTTTCTTAATAATATAAAAAAAGTTAATTTCCAATTTATACGGACAGAATAATACTTAGCTTATTTTAACAAGCTAGGTAGGTTTTATTAATTACTTACATTTTCCAAAGTTGTAACAACTGAGTTACCGTAGTCAGGTAATATTGCTTTGATATTGGCTACGTCAGAAACATCTTCAAGTATCGCGCGGTAAATTTTACCATCATGCTTCAATGTGCAGTGGATACCGTCTGCGAGGGTGTCTGCGCTTAGCGGAGTGAGCTACAGAAAATTACATTTGTGTATCAATTGGTTAATAATTATGTTAATATATAAGTATGTTTATCAGCAGTCTGGTTATCACAGCACAGGCTCTGCCAACTAGGCAGAATAGGCAACTAGGCCGTGTGTGAGATGTGTGAAATTATTATAGCCTAAATCATAGGAATATTTGGCAATGATTGAAGAGAATAAATTGTGACCAATTTTAGTTTAAAATTGTACTTTTTGCTACCAGATGGTATGGTTTACACAAATGTACCATTTGAAAGGAAGATTAACGGTAAAAACCGTTACAGTAATGCCATGACAGGTACCAGGAACAGGAACCAGGTATACCCTAGAAAGGAAGTCCCTGGTGCAATGCCATGACAGCCTGCAATTACGCCCAAGGAATATTATTGCAATTTCTTTCTGCAATATATTGTTAGTATTAAATTATGACACTTGTATAATAACTTATTATTATAAATAAACTTACACGGCCTTCATTAATAAAAATTTAGAATGGAGAAATCTTACGAATATCGTCACGTTTTTTTACGATAGAATTGAAAGTATTTTCTAAAAAAAGCACACATTGCGTTATGAAATACTAAATCTTATTTCAGACATTTTAATAAATTTGAATTGCAAATAGTGCATCTACATAAAGTAAGTCAACTAACTTTACTGGCTTCGTAGTTGGCGATAGCATTCTCTACAAGAATTGCTTTGTCCAAGTCCAATTGAACATGGAACTTTTCAAATGACTCTACGTGGGTCACTCGACACAGTATCTGCTGACCAACGATGATCGTTAGGTCTATTGCTTCATCTGTAAAACGAAAATTACATATATTAGCCAAAACAGTACAATGTTTGAGAAGTATTTATGAAAATAGGTTTAAGCTTTTAGAGAAAAAACATACATCATTTTTATTGAGTTGTCTGAAGGAGGGTACAGATTTACTGTGAAATATGGTACAGAATTTTCTGGAGGCAGGGCAGAGCAATATCAGAATACAGGATGGACAAATTGTCGAGAGAAAAGTGTTACTTCAGACAAGACAGTATCCTATTACCCAAAGACCAACCAATGCATTTACCTCATTAATATTGTGAGGTAAAAAATAAATTAACGAAAGAAAGTAATGGATACGTATTTTAAAAAATCCAAATATGCTAGTTTTTTTGTTAATATTAATGTCTAGTTCTGTTAATGTTGATGTCTGTAGTGTAAACTACAGAAAAACTCTTTTAAAAAATAAACATTGTCTACACAGCATAGGATTTTTCTTTTTACAAAAACATTAAAAATATTTTCACCTTTTAATGTTACAGATGTTTGATGTTCAGATAACTTAGCGAGCTGCTTCTCAACCAAGGTGTCAGCAACACTGACCCCATTGTTCCATAACGAGACCTTGTATTGATCTTCAACATTTTCTTGGAACACGCATTGATACCGAGGGGCATTAAAACACAAGTCTATTTCGGGATCTGCCTTCCATTCACCATCTACAGGTTTTACTCCCGTCAATGAACAATGTATAGCCATCTTAGGCAGTTCCATAAGCTGTTTATCGATCTGCCAGATATCTTTGGCGTCTACCAGCTGCTTATTTCCAAAGTCAACATATCGTACAATGAATTTTGAAAAAGGTTGAACGGATACAATGGTCGCGCGGTATAACACCCCATCAACAGGGTAACGCGCAAGTACTGAACCACCTACAGGAACTTCACCACTATAAGACTTCACACCTTTGTAGAGTTCTGGTATTTTGTGCATCATTTCCAGGAATTTTGGCTGAAGAGACATAACTTGTGTAAAGAAACTTTCTGGAGATATTATCCAGGTAACAGATACCTCGTGTTGTGTACCAATTTCGATCACAGGTTCGGAGAACGGGGTATCCAGGGGAAGTGGATCGGATAATTCCTTATATTGAACTTGGGTGAACTTGCTTCTCGGTTTGTAGGGAGGAGCGCGGCCTGAGCGCTCTCCTCTGCTGTCTTGAGACTTAAAGCTTTTCTCCGAGCGTTTGTCATCGTAGGATCTTTCAGCGCGATCTCTTGGAGTGAAGTTGCTACGAGGTGGTCTATCGCTCCTGTCGTTACGGAAATCGCGTTTTTGATTCCAATTATCTTTCTTGTCTCCTCGGTTATCGCGTCTGTCCCCACGATTTTCGCGATTTTCTCGAGTATCGCGGCTTTCTCGAGTATCGCGGCTTTCTCGAGTATCACGGTTTTCTCGATTGTCACGGTTATCACGATTGTCACGGTTATCACGATTGTCACGGTTATCACGGCGGTCGAAACGATCTCGGCCGGTTTTGTTACCCCAGTCGTCAGATCTTTTTTCTTCCTTGTCATCTTGATCATTGTTATATCTATCTCTGTAAAAACGGGGTAATATGTTTAAAAAATATAAGTGCCATTTAGAAGACAAAACATTAAAATTAGTTTATTCATATATGATGATAAATGTGTATTTTAATGTGCTTTGTAACATTGTATAATTACACTTTACACCACACCAAGCTATCATATTAATTCAATGAAACAATGGTAAGTGTAATAGTGCTGGAGTGAGAATATACATTATCAGAGACAAACATAGTGCAATAAAATGCTTTCACAAGCTGCTAATATGCAACATATTAAAAACAATGTGCAGGGTAAACTAAGCATAACAAGCAAATAGAGCGAAACAAAAAGGACGGCGAGTCAACTTTTAATGCTCTATTTTAATATTGTATGAAGAAATATTTACTTTTCTTCAATATTTGGTAGCAGAATTATTTGAGCCAGAGTACATTTCTACCATTTAGTTAATGAGAGATGGCTAGAAACATACGTATTGGATCTAGCCTATTTTCTTCTTCTCATTAATAGAACTTATTCATCAATCGTCAGCAACAATTTAAATATGTAGGAACGTTAGGAATGTGCAACGACGATCAATGAATTCATAAAGCATTATAGTTGACTAGACACAAAGCAAAAAACGTTTGAAACAGGCGTGTGATGTTCGCAATATATACATCACAGTACCGTTTAAGCCGATCCTGTATAGACCCGCCTTTAGAATTCTGTGCGTCGATAGACGCAGCCTCTGCCGCTTGCCTTAACCTTTTGCCGACCCCACTGACATCTTTCTTCCAATTAGGCTTTTGTCCTGACTTATCGTGTTGTTGTTCCCTAGGTTTTTTTCTGTCGAACCAGTTAAGCCATTGTAAAAGAAATACCAAAGTCTTTGTATCGTATCGGTGAAAGTGGCACTTATGAATAATAAATACGCAAATTTTTATGTCTGGGTATTATGTGCATCATATGTTGCTGCGAAATGTTACTATTACTTGAATAAATATAATTGGTCTTTTTTTTACATTCAACGTTCATCAACGTATATCAGTAGATATAAGAGTAAAAATTTAATAATTAATAAAAAACTATTTAAAGTGTGGCCAGGCAGTGACTTCTGATATATAAAAAAGGACTAAAAAAAACTTAATACAAATCAAAAGAATCTGAACTTTATATTTATATAATGATGTTTTAATTGCATTTAATATAACTAAATTAAAAACTAAATTGTGTAACAAGTGTTCAACGATGCAATGTAGAGCGGGTGTGAATAACTTAGTATAAATTATATAATTGATAATTGCAATATAATACTTAAATATAGTAATAAATTGAATCATTAGTGGTTTTGTAAATCACTCTAGGTAACCCTAAAGCAAACTGAGCCGGTCAATCCAATTAGGGTCAAATAAGGCGGAGTCTTTTATATCCACCGGGCCCTATTTCAAACCGCTGTGTACGAAATGTCTGAATTGTAATGTGAATTTCGACCAGATGTGTAAAATTACTAACCTATAGCAGAAAGTTACACGTACCTGTCTCTGGGTCCCTCTCTATTATCTCTGTGAGGGTTTTGCCTAGGTTGGAAAGTTGGCTGTTGGGCTTCCTCCCACTCATCATCACCGCTTTGAGCAGGAGGTGGTGCTGGGGGATTGTTCTCACGAGGTCTTGGAGGTCCTGCACGTCTGTCGAAATGATTTACAATATCAGTGTAACCTAGTTTATCCCAGATAATTGATACTTGTAGATATTGGTCCACAATTTTTTACTTATGTCTACTATAGCTATTGCTAGCCTACTATAATACTAATATAAAATTATCGTTATTTTTTTCTTTCATATCACTGAACTATTTTTCAAAGAAATAGATAGCTTTCCGTGTGGTGACGGATTAAGAATACAGAGTGTCACCATCCCTATTCATCCCGAGGGTGTCGAAAGAGCCGACTAAGGGAGTAAAAGAAGGAATACTTGAAACAAACCCTTTACCAACCCATCTGGCCAGCGTGGTATAGTAGGCCAAAACCTCCTTTCTGAGGAGAGGCCTACGTCCAGCAGTGAACTAGTAAAGGCTGTTGATGACGATGAGATAGCATGACTTTCCTAAAATATTTTTTTTTGGAAAACCTTACCATCTTTAAGTTAACATTTAGGTAATATAGAAACATTTCCACAGTGATAGTTATCACAGTTATCAAACAAGATAAACAATACTATACCTACATACAAAATCAATTATGTTGACATGATTAGTAAGAGATCTATATGCATAATAAAAAACATTTATCATGTACGTGCATTTTTGGAGTGCACAATTCGCTTAATCATAAATTTTATACAATTCAGTAAGTAAACCAGATAAAAAAATGAAGCAAGCAAAAAATATGCGCTGACTTCGTAATAAAATATTTCTTTTCAGTTCCTACTATTACATTTGCCTTGAATAACACATTGCTCAATTTTTTCGTATATTTTATACGTGAACTAACGAAAACGAGGTTGAAACCAGTGAATATTGGAATCTAGTCCTTTTGTTCACATTTTAACGAGGTTGCACAATATTGTCGATTTCTTTATTTCACTATCTCCCTCCCACACAATACATTCTGTACTGAATTACTTTGATTTATGAATTTTATGTAAATAATTTGCTTGAATTACGTGAATGGCTGAAATTTAACTACATATATGTCGCTTATTTCAATATATTCTTAAGAATCATTGAAGTCGTAAGACACATAAAATAACTTAATACGTCTCAGATATTACTACTGGTGAAGTTAACAACATCAATAAGTATTTTAGTGCCGTTTTCTATTCGAGCTCGCAATAACCGAAGTTTACAATTCAGAACAACGCCGGTTACGGATGATTTACAAAGAGCATTAACACGCAAGTATCTTATACACATACCTGTCGGGAATTTAAAACTGCATTTATGAAGCGATTGAAATAGTAGTCACAGTGCTACAACACAATCATATTAAAGGTATTATCTCTACAATAATTTAACTAATTGATATATTTAACTACACATCAGTGTTTGTTCAAGAATCGTGACGTCTAAATTGTAACTGTAAAATTAAAACAAAGAATTCTCATGTCGACCGCCAAGTACTAATAACTGCTAACTGACGAAATCAAGACTTTATTAAGTGAAAACTTAATAAAGTCTTGATTTTTTTTTGAGTCTTACTTTTAACTCTATTGAGATATTAGATATAAAATTATGAACTATTTCTCATTTTTATTAATATTCATAACTTATTCTAGAATTTAAAAAATACATTTTAGCAAAAAAAATTTTGGCTGTAAAATTGCATTAATGCAATTACAGTGAATAGTAATGAGAAAAATGACATGTTAACTTTTGTTTAGTCGTTTAGTTTAATGCTGCTGCAATTAAAAAAGACCTACGAGATTTTACTAAACCATACGATTAATTGCTTTAAATTCAAAACTAAGATGGCAAATTTGTCGAAAAAATTATAATTACAGATTAGGACTTCATGGTCGTTATAGTTATGAGACAAGCGGGATTTAAAAGGTAAAAGAATTGTCAGCGTATCTTGTCTGCACATCTTCAGTACTTTAATTCTAGTATACGATCTGATGTACCAGGTCAACAGAATAAAAGTAAATAGGATTAGCGTTGTGTACAGCCTACATGACCAGTACAAAATCATGTAATTTTTAACCAACTCATTTATTAATCGAATTAACGCGCTCTGTTTATCTCACTGTAAACTTTCACGGGAGTGCTATGCCAGACGTTAACTAGCTTAAGGTTGAAAATCTTACAGTACCTTAGCACGCATAAACAATTTGAATAATAAATACCGTTATTATAGCCCGAGGCGGATGGAAAATAACTTTAAGTATCCATTGTTATATCTTTATTGTAACTGGGGCCAAACTAAGGTTTAGTAATTTAAGTAATTATTTAGTATTAAGTGTAATGTAGATATGCAGTGCTTACAACAAACTAATGACCTCTCATATTAAACATTTACTTGTAATAATGGAATAAAAATGGCTGTAATTTAAATAAAAAGAATATAATAAAACATACCTGTCGCCCCTTTCGGATCTGCCGCCAAACTTGTCGCTATGTCTACCCGGTCCAGATCTATCAAAGGAGTTTTCCTTGTTGTCTCTAAACACAAAACGTTTTCACATATTAAAATGATTATATAAATACTACACTCACTATTAAACATGATAAATACATAAAAACTAATAAATCAGCACTAAATAACACGTTTACCTATACATATCTGTAGCTAGACAGGTTCCGACTAAACTCGCGAGTTCAAGGAACGAAGATGAAGGTCACTACGTCCATGAGTCAGTTCTCTATTATTACTTTTTTGTTAGAAAATAAAAACTCCTGTTATGTACAACGTCAGAATGGTATCGCATGAAATTTTTATGCGCTGAAGTTGCCACATATGAAAGTTATGTGAATTAATTTTAGGCCTTTGAACACTGAGCCGTCAATGTTTATATGATTGTAATTTTACATGGTTTTAATCATAATGTAAAATCAGATTAAAGTAGGTTGAGAGTATTTTAATTTAAAGTATTTCTTTAATAATATGGATGAAATGAAAAATATAATAAAACTTAATAACACTAAATAAAAAAAACTTTAATAATTATTATTGCATTACTAGCTTATATTTAAAAAACATTAGGTCATAAAATTGAAAAATTAATAATTTTGAATGTGATTCATCCGACCTAAGATGCAACTATATCGATGACATAAATTACTTTTATTTCATCGAGATAGTTGCAGTCATAGGTCGTATACCAACACGTCCATTTGAAATAACAATATGGAGATTCCTCTTAATGATTGTTGTTTATGGCAAACACAATACATAAAATATTCTATTAATTATGTACGTATAGACAATGTTAATTAAAGATTTTAGTGACGGTAGGTGATGGTAAACCATTGGGTGCCATTTTATCGAATTACAGTGAAATTTTACATAATGATATGAATATAATGAATCGAAGTTGGAGGTGAATTAATTAAACCGTTCCGCTCATGAACATGATCAGAGTCATTCGACCGAAAAGTCGAGTACACAAGAGTGTAACACGATTGCGTTTTAAACACTTCGTAAACTACCGGTTATAATAAACTTGAACAGGCAATATGATAAGGAGTGTTAGCCTAAAATCACATTAATTATAATAAACCCTTAAAATTGATCCCACTCTCGGGGATGAAATATATAAAACAATTTTTTTTGTTTTTTTAAAAAGACAACGCCCGCATTAGGAATAAATCCTGTGTCGCGGGGGACTTTACAAACATACATGAAACGGACACAAAGAACACCCAGACTCAGAACAACAATTTGTGGATCACACAAAGTGTCGTCCCATGTGGGGTTTAAACCCACAACACTAGGCGTAGTAGGAAGCGGCGTGGCGACCGCTTAAACCACTACGCCATCCGTGCAGTCGAAATTTAAAAACTTTATAGTGCCAAGAAACATTTTGCTCAAGATAAATACAAAAAGTGGTAGGAAAATCATCAGCTACTCAATGACCGACAATATGGATTTTGCCGGGATCGCTCAGCTGATGATCTTCTCGTCTATCTAATAAACCGGTGAGTACAGGCGATCGAGACAAAGGGAGAGGCTTGTGCGGTTAGCTTGGACATAAGCGAAGGCCTTCGATCGGGTCTGGCATAAGGCGTTTCTCTCGAAGCTCCCTTGCAGACAGAAGCATTAAGGTCGTTATCGACGGTGCATTCTCCGACTTCTTCTGTAAATGCTTGGACACCAGCATTTACAGAAGTCAGCAAGGCTGTGTTATCACTCACACTGTTTTTTGCATGCAGTGCTAGTAGCATCCATCGCTATGCGGATGATAGTACGGGAGATTCCCCTTTATACCGGCCGCCCCAATTTCTCTCGTAAGAACGTAATCAATAGTAGAAACAAATTTGTGTCTGAAATTGAAATTTCCTAAGCGGAGGTTTCAGATTGGGGTCGACTAAATCTAGTCCATTTTAACCCAAATAGAGAGCGCATTCACCGCAAAAAACATATACCGTTTGTCGTATCACCTCAGCCGGTATCGGAATCCTAGGCATCGAAGTATAGAGCGAAGTCCAGTTTCGGGATCACTTTAGTCCGAAGAAGCTCGGTGTGCTCCTTCAAGGCAGTATTTCACTCCGGCCCACAGCCTTCAGCCCTATAAGGTGCGCCTAACGCCTTTAGGACGGCCATGCTGTCTGACAGTATTCGGATGATATAGTCCTTAATGCCCCCCCTTGACATGGCCGTTGTGGCGGCGTAAGTTATTGTCACACATTCGCATTGGAATATGGAACTGTGTAGGCCTCACGCTAGTGATATATTCGTATTTAGGTCTTGCGAGAAAACTCCGGCTCCAGTTCCTGACCAAGCGACTATTACACATAGAAGTCACATTACGAGCATGAAATGCAATCTTAAGTCGTGAGAAAATGTGTGTACCTAATCCAATCATCATAAGTACGTATTTTGCAGATGGCAGGCAGATGTTCTCGAGCCTTATCTCTTATCGTCTTGTAGAAGTTCTTGTGACATATATCATTGTATTTTAAAAAATATATTTTATTATAATATTATTTTTTATTTCAAAAAGAAAACTTCCGAATTAGGAATATATATTTAGGACTTTACAATCACACATGAAACGGACACAAAGATCATCCAGACTCAGAACAACAATTTGTGGATCACGTGTCGTCCCATGTAGGGATCGTACCCACAACACTCAGCGTAGTAGTAAGCGGCGTGGCAACCGCTTAAACCACAGCGCCATCCGTGCATCAAATATAACAAATCGTTATATTGGACATCTACCAGTCTTTTATAAAACTACAAGAACTGCTTTCACCTCAAGAGCAAATAAATTAGTTCTATAAAATTACTTTTTTGGTCCACGTTTAGTATTAAGGAGGAATACGTATGATTATTTACAAGAAATAATTTTGCTGGATGCTCTTATATATCCTTGAAGTATCTTTTTTATTAACATGGTTAAGGTAGCAAACGGTAAGGCCCCTCTGGAGGTGTGGACGTTCTGATAAATTGATATATGTCCAAATTGTGCAGAGGTAATAAACGATTTTGATTTTTATAATTGAAGTAGGTGGTATTTTGAACTTAAAAAAAAGTAGCGACGACCAGATTAACAACTATCGATCTTTCTTTACATATAATTATGATAGATCTCTTTACTAACTAAGGTGCGCCCCTTAAGTAATTCGATACTTTACGCATGTATGCCTTATTATGGTTAAATAAGAGTGGTTAGTCCATTTATAGCGTGAGGGGTATTCGGCGATTTTCTGACCCCACTCCCCCCTGGTGAGATGTCGTGAGTTTAGATTCAACCCCCTCCCCTTTCTCCTTATCTTACGTGAGATTTTGAAAAATGTGTTATTAGTGTAAAGGCGGTATAAAGGCCGGCGGTTGCGCGGAAACAAACGACGGGCTAATGTGCAACTCCGCGGCACTCGCAATACCATGATAAATATTATTGTATAAGACTTGGACATATTTCCGTGGGGAACATGTTTTACTTAATTTAAACTTTACTCTGTTTCTTGCGGATAAAAAATTACGTAATATTTGCCGAACCCCCCCCCACTCTCCCCAAAGTAAGATTAGATGAGATTCGGTTCGACCATAGACTTATAGAATGCCACGGTATTCTTAGATATACCTACTCTTGACTCTTCTCTTACACAGCGACCGCATATTCATACTTAAAAGCGCGCAAACGCAGTTAAAAAAATTGCAAATTTGACAATGGGGAAATGCCGACGATATTCAATGTATCCACCTATTATTTATATAATATTTCAGAGTGCTGCAAAAGCGTGTTTTCTGAACAATTTATAACTTTTGAAAATAATCGTTATTGTACGTGTTCATGTCATTATCATAATATATCATATCATATTTATAAAAACTAGACAACGATAAATCAAAATTTACTTACCAATAAAAAAAAAATTAAGAGAGATAGACTATTTCGTCTACTTTAAGCGAACGAAACGTGGCGAAAGCTGATGATTAATAAGATTTAACTACTAAACGCTTTTAAATCTTTTAATGTGTTTATGAAAATAATGGTTGGAAAATAATTGGTTAACATTACATAATTAATATTGCTATTTAAACATTATCTATCCTATAAAATACTTGATTATTGGTATTTTCAGTTTACAATAATATTAATAAATACACACAATAATATGTATTATTATAAAATCCAGCTCCGGCGGCGTGTATGTCGGTTATTGCGGTAAAAAGTAGTCTATCTTCTTGTTCAAGAATCAAACTATCTCCATATGAATTTTATCTAAATCGGTTTAGCGGTTATAATTCCTCATACAAATTCAATCCCCTCAGGGATGATTTCTGGGACTCAAACTGTCTCTATACTAAATTTTACCTAAATCTGTTCAGCAGTTTAAGCCAGCCATACAGACACACTTTGTCATTTATAATTATGGACTAGATCTTTTAGCTTACCTTCCTCGAAAACTGCCACTTCTGTGTGAGAAGTCTTCATTACCCCCCTCTCTTGGTGGTCTTCTGTCGTCCTTGAAGCTCTTCTCTCTGCGGAAACCCTTCTTTTTGCTATCGTCTGGAACACTCTCAGGTGAGCTGAAGCTATCCGGTGCTTCTTTTCGGACTGGGGTAGTAGGCTTTATCTAAATAAAATTATCAAAAAGCTGTTTTTATATCATACATAATAGTTTTTATATGTAATGTCTTACTGATTTTAATAAAAATTTAATTTCAGTTTGCAGTATTATGGTGTAAGGAATATTTACACAATACACTACGACATGTTTTAAAGAGATAGTACCCCATGGTTATTCTTATTTTATATCTTCAAGCATCTCAGGTGTTGCCTAGAAATAGAGACTCATAGAATAGAGATCAATAAATTGATTTGGTTTTGACCATAGACAAAATTCCACAAACATCACTAGAATAAGAAAGTCGACTGCACAGATGGCATAGTCGTTTGAATGGTCACCTTACTGCCTCCCATTGTACCGAGTGTTGTGGGTTCAATCCCTACATGGAAAAACACTTTCTGTGATGCACAAATTGTTGTTCTGAGTCTGGGTGTTTTATGTATGTCCCTATCAAAACAAGATATATTCCTAGTGCGTAGGTTGTTTTCTTAGAAGAAGAAAATAAAGAAAGAAGTATATCAAAAATCTCTTTATGATGAAAATTCAAACACTTAAATGGCTTGAAATAATAACCAACTAAAATTAATGCATTAAAATGTTATTATGTAATGTCACTGTAATAGATAATAATGACAAGCTGAAATTCCAAAATTGCTCATAAGTGCAGATACAACAATTGTTATAATTACTATGAGCTAAAAAACATTGGTAACATTTAAATACACTTTCACTGTGGACTTTAAGATTGTGACAATGTGGATGTACTAATCCTAACAATATTGTTTAACAAAAACATAACATTCCCTTTAACAATTTGACAGGCCCGTTTGTCTGGTCACAGGTTGTGGATTCAATTCCCAGCCAAGCAAATATTGTGTGATGAGCACGATCATTTGTACTGAATAGGATATCTATATACCTATGTATTTCTTCTGTGCGTGTGGATATGACTGAATTCCTCCTATTGAGTCCGCTAGTTTATCTACACATAGTACAGACTCTGCCTAGTTTGGAATCAGACATTCATATGAAATGTGTGAACTTATTGCTATTATTATTGTCATGGCTTCAATAGCCCACAATAACATTATTTTGTGAGGATAGAAAAAAAAACATTTATGCTTAAATAATATTTTCATGGTAAAGGTATAAATACTCACCTCATGAGAGCTTCTTGGCTGTGACAATTGAGTCATCCTCCTTGCAACATCCAAAGGTGGAGTAACAGTTTCATCAATCAGAGATACAACCATGGTACTGGATAGGATGCCTACTATGTGAGCAGTCAGTGTCTTCTCCAGCGCAAGCATTTCAAGTTGGTTAGATGTTTTGGTTTCAACTGGTCTATTTTCAAAACCCTAGACCAAAAAGACATGACATGTAGAAATTAAAAAATTATATACTAAATTTATTAAAACATAAATTTACTTACCTTTAAGGCACATTTCAATGCTTGAGCTGGGAGTCTGACTAATTCTGGTGTAATGGTTCTTAGGTCTGAAACTTCCACTTCTTGTTCATTGCCATAATCAACATAGGCCACCACAACTTTCTTTCCTCTGGTGTCTCTCACTCTGGCTCTATACCAGTTATTATCATCTGGAAAACGGGCACAGCACGCAGCACCTACTGGAAGCTCACCAGGTGAAGAGCTATTCTCACAGTGCTGCCTTACTGCATCCATAACTGCATTTAATTCATCTATTTTATCAGACAGCTGCACAAAGAATTTAATGCAGCTATCCACATATGATACCAGAACTGACTGCTTTGAGCCCAATGGAAGCATCTCTATCCATTTAAATTGCAACTTGTCCTTCATATTGGCCATCAGTAACTCAAAGACATTCTTATTGTCTAAATACAATTCTCCATACTGAATTAATGGAGGTCCTTCAGGAGATACAACATTAAGTGTCATAACTTTGCCATTGACTAGTTGCCTAAATGCCTCATTCAAATGTGGACCCTTTTCTAATTTTTTCACACCAGACAAGCAAAACCTCATTGCGAATACATTTGGTTTTACAAACTCTTCTGGTATATCAAAAATATCATAATAGGATACCATTTCTGTGTCTCCGAAATCAACAAAGAATAATTTACATTGAGAGCCTGAAAGATTCATAACGATTGCCCTACAAATAATGCGGTCTCCAGACATACGGCCGAGGCACACAGTGCCAATCATTGGCGGTTCAGTTAAACTGCTGTGAGGTCTCTTATTGATGTCATCCATCATATCTTGTAATTTTTTTGCATCACTTACTAGTTGCACAGCAAATAGTTCTGGGCCTTCTTCAGCAAATGAGACAAAGACCTTGTGTTGTGAGTTAACTTCCAGCAGCCTGCTTTTGTAAGTAGACAATTTCTTTGGAGATCCTGGTTTGCTAGCAGCTACTGGTAGGGGAGGTGGCATAGAAACAACTGATTTATTTGCATTTGCCTGTTGAGGCTGGCGCACTGGAGCTCTAAGGTTGCTTGCATTTCGCGATGCTTTATTCACTAGCAAACGTTGTCCAATTAAAGAGGGTGCTCCTGGTATACCTCCATTGAAAGGTAAGGTTACATTCTGATGCTGCAGTCTCATAGCTGATGCAGGGTTTGAGGGAAAGTTTTGATTTATTAAAAAAGGAACATGTTCAGTATAGGATGCTTCAGTTATAAAATTTGGCTGCCAATGTGGTAATGGCTGGTTTTCAGCAGACAACTGATGAAGCAGACCCTCTTGCTTTGCAGTGGGTATAGCAACCGCAAAGCGGATGGAGATGAGGTGAGTGGAAAGGTCAGTTCCCTTAAACTGGATTGATATTATAGGCAGTGAGCGAGTTTGTACCTCAATAGTTGCAGGATATTCGGCATAACATAAGAGACTCTGTAGCTTTAATAAAAGTGGTTCTTCCCATCTTCCACTAGGATTCATAACTCCAGACAAATAGTAATCTGTAGCTTGGCCACGTAACTGAAGAAACAGAGGATCATATTTGTCCAAAAATCTTATGGCGCTCAAAGAAATTATATCCTTGTTTCCATAGTCAATAAAGTGCACACCAACAAGGCCGGTGCTCAAACTTAACGTGCTTATAACTTTTGCTCTGTAGTAAGTACCATCTTTGTATTTCGCGGCACATATCACGCCTTCATGGATAGCGGCCGGTGACACTGCTCCAATGCCTTGTTCCAACTTTTCGCGGGCCAATTCGAATAAACTCTCTACCACCAAAGAAGACTGATGATCGACCTGCCCACTTATTTTCAGAAAGTGACCCTCACCGTCTACATGAGTCACGAAAAGGTGAAAAGACCTAGGAACTTCTGATGGCAAAGCCATTTTCGAATAAGAGTCTTTCCAATAGAATGTTACTAAAGTAGGACTCACGTATTTTTATATAATAGAAACAGTTTATAAAACTCAAGTATATTACATCGCACTTTTGCTAAACTTATTTATTAAAAAAACACAGCCAGCTTTCTTTTCCGTTTACGTTACGTTTATTAAACATGGCGCCTGCAGCCTTGTATGTACCATTTTGAAAATAGAGATGAACTAAACTAGTGCTGTAGTGTAATATCGATGCATCAATAGTGCAAAACTTAAGCTGTCACTTGTCATACACAAGAATAACAAAGATGAAGAGTGTTTGATCAGTATCAGTAAGTCCTTTCCTCTCGCTTTTCTACAATTGGGAATTTTTGCCTTTTATTATTGAGAATTCTCCAATATATAGAAAAAAATATGATATGTCTACGATTAATTATATTTTTACCAAAACAAAACAAAATCGCTTTAAACTATCGATACTAACATTTTTTATGATTCAATATTATTTATCCTGAACATCTATGTTTTCGATGGATAAAAAGTATTTCCATAAGACCTCAACACAAAAGATATAAGAAGATTTATAATCATCTACAAAGAGTCTTAAATGACACGGTCATTCGAATTTTCCTTAACTAGTCAAAAAGTAGAAACTGAAAAAGCTCTAGAAAAAGTTACCGGATTCAGAAAATTTACCAAATAAGAAAATTTTACGAATATGTCATAAAAACTCAATATTTTGCAATACATAAGATTGGCTTCAACAGTAACCCTCATGGTAAGTTCCACTGCAATCAACGATATAATTTAACCCAAATATAATATATATATATATATATAATTTAAAATGCTATCGATTGTATCAGTTAAAAATTACAACGAGACAATACAATTACATAACATTAGGTTTTGTAGAAAATGTCTCATTAAGAGAAAATAATCATTTAGAGTTTGAACAACTTTCTTTTATGTGGATTTTCCCAAGATAGTTTTATCACTCTATTTGATTTAATCAAAGTATTGTATTATCGAAGTCAATATTATTATATAATGCACCCAATATCAAGAGTACAAGGATATCATCAAAAGATTCCCGAGATTTCTCTGACGCATAACAATAGCACTATGTTGCTTAGCTTGCCAACTTAGGGGCATTCCCTAGTAAATTTAATTTATGACCATACGTGGGATGGGATTTTTAAGGGCAATAAATTTTTTGGGTCTTTTTTTACAAGTATAAACCACTACGCCATCCGTGCAGTCATGTATGTAATGAAACTTAGAGCAATTCTTCGTTACTAGTCTAAGAAGAAAAAAACAACTACCACTAGTGTTAACCATAAACAAAGGATTTAGTTTTGTGTGCAAATAGAAAATAAGTTATTACCGCTTAGCCCTCTTCCTCTCTCATAGTGGTTCAAAATCATCAAGCCCATAATGATTCTGGATTTTGATATATTTAAGATCTTTTATATACATCATGGAACGCCACAAATGAGAGAGTATTGTTTAGTTTAAACTAATTTTGCATTTTCCTTTGATAAATTACATTATACGTATTTAGGTATACAGAGAGTTTCATTTCCTATCCCAAATACTTAAGCCACATATTCTGCCCTTAATTTCTAGGCGATTTGCAAAATATGAACAAAATATATCCAGTAGTTTAGCCACAGGACTCATTTTTGTGTTTCGTAAATTGCAACATCATGTGTACATGCAGTCATAATACATTGACCTCAGGCGGCGATCAGCTGTATACGCGGCGCGGTAATCACACGTTGCCGCTTTTACTACACCCGAATCGAACGAAATATGTTGATTATTACGTCATCACGATGCAACACGCGTTTTTAATTAGTTCATCCAGTAAGGACAGTCAGTCGGCCCTTGGCCACCGGCGAGCTTATGCTATTCCGTATCCTTGTAGATGCGCTCACGACAAATAACCGTAATAATAATATTGTTGTTGTTTATGAGATACGTATTTGTTTAGAGAAGTTTTCTTGTGGTAATAATTGTTTAGTCTTATTGCTTTCGTCATAATACACGGCAATGGTGTGAACAATTAATGTTATCGTGTGCGCAAGACTTCGTAATGTAAGGAGTCCTGCTAATTTTATTTTGAAAAGTCACTATCAGGTTCTGTGTGTAGTGTAGTGTGAAACTGAGTGCATTATCAGTCTTTTAATTTTATTGGGTTATCGATATCAACATCCATAATGCCGTGAGTGACCTTCACAGCGGCGGAATATCCTGCTATGATGTTAATTTATGGAAAACTCTATCAAAACGCATCTTTTGCTTTACGGACACGTATGGAGTCAATCGTGTATGTCCTACAGACTGCCGAATTTTTGTAAGGGCGGTACAAAGATTACGAGACAACCAAGGTAACTACTTTTTCAAGGAGTGACGCGTACTGCTGGGTCGGAAGCTAGTCGAGCATTCACGAAATAAACACGTGAATAAAATCGCATTCTTTATAAATAGATTTTTAAAAGCAAGTGAAGTGATTGGTAGGTAGGTAATAAGAATGTAAAGTTCGCTCGTCGCGGCGGCGGCTGCGGCGGCGGCGTCGTTTTGATGTCGCCGACATTGCGACGCTGCCGTGTAGGTACAGTTCACCGACTCATGTTATCAATGGTGTTCTAATTCGGAAATTATTTTATTGTATTTAGTTTGTTCTAAATTTGCATTTCTGTATTTTCGTACTAATTTTTTATTTTTTTATTTTAACCGACCTATATTGAACCGTGTTATCTGTTATTTCATTTTTTGTGATATCTATACCGCCACAGTGTATAGTATTTGGTATTCTTTTTTTATATTTAGTGACTTTCGCGCGTCACGATAATTTAATTATTAATTAATAAGATAATTGAAATTATTTTTAATAATCTGAATTTAACAGTTGCCGCAGTCGCAGATTTTCAACTGGCAAATGGTCTTTGTAAGTTTTCCTGTAGCTTTACGGGTAAATATTTTTGGGAGTTGGTAGCACTACTTTTGTGCAATTTAGTAATCCTAAGCACGGTACAATTATAATACAGTACTCCAACTTCATACAAACGGACGAAACGCGAGCTATACCTACGCGCCTCGATCTCGGGGTGCGCTCGGGGCGCAGACAGTCACGGCTGTACCGCAGTGTCGAACGGACGGTGTGTTGTTTTTTTAACAATAACCGCGCGATTTTTTCTCTAAAAACAGTTAATATGACGAGTAGGAAATATTGTGCTGTTTTTGGTTGTATGAATTCGTCAATAACGCATCCAGACATAAGTTTTTTTAAATTACCTGGAAACTCTGAAAGGTAAGACTATAAAATAATTTTACTTACTAGTAGGTAGGTACATAATGTGTGTCTTTTTAATGGATAAGTATTTCCTTTTATCTTACGAAAAAAAAGGTGTTTGGATTAATAAATAAAGCGAATAGAGTAACGGAAAGTTATTGAGACGAGTGAAATAGGTAGTTATATGCGGTTCTGAATGAATCATGATACGGTAGGTACCTACCTACTTACGCTTGTGTTAAAACTTCGGTGCATGTGTGTTTTGTTACTTTGCATAATTCAAAGTAAAGACGTGGTATTTTATTTTTAATAATATTTGTTTATTATCTGTGTGTATGAATAATACTAGAAAAAATTTTTTACCCTCTGTGTGTCATTAGATAGTTTTCGAAATTTTCACAAAGTGTTTCTGCTGCTACTATAACAACATAAACCACTAAAAACTGGTTTCATTTTCTCGGTATTAACAACAACAGCTAGACTCATATATAATATTTAGATGTTTGAGGGTTGTGATTTTAAAACATTCGTAGTCAGCTGTTCAGCTTTTTAATAATTAATTAATTGGTGACCAAAGAATTTTTGTTTTGAGCTACAACTCAAAACAAAAATTCTTTGGTCACCAATTAGGTACCTAATTTATAGAGACGTTAATAAGCTGAGATAAAAAGTCACTTACTCGTCAGCTGTTTCTTGCATTCTAGTTGAGTAGGTAGGTGTTGGAGTTTCTAAGGATTGGAGTTTTGTAACGCGTAAGCAGAAAGCACATTTTTTTATTCTATAGAAGGATTTTTAAGCTATTGCATAGCTTTTATCGCGGGCTCTGAGCGCGGCGCGGCGCGGTGACCGAATCAAGAAATTCTCAAAACCTAACGAAAAATACCTGACACCACGCAGATATTTTTCTTTAAAAAAAAATGTTATGCAATAGCTTTACCGCGGCAGTCTCCGAGAGTGTCACATGTATATTTTTTTCAGACGTCTTTAATGGTTGCAACTGATCCGGCGAGATGATTTGGAAAACAAACCTAACTTTAGTTCCTACCAAGTTTGTGAAAAACATTTTAATTTGGAGGATGTATTACATTCATCAAATAGAAAACTTTTAAAAAAGAATGCCCTACCATTGTTGATGCTGCCAAGTTTAGCTAGAACTGATCCAGGAGTATCTCTAAAAGAAGATAAACAAACCCAAACTGCTCCGTTGGTAGGAAATGAAAATAGTACACAGACTGAAAATGTAACAAATGAAATCTTTGCTCAAACCTCAACGAGTCTCTCTAGCAACACTCCAAGAAAAAGAAAATTGAAACTTGAACTCCTCCAATGCAGAAAGAAAATAAAATAATTAAATCTACCAATCAAAAAACAACACGCATTTTTATTGAACACTTCCTATTCAATATACAAAGTATTTCATTTATTTGTATAAAAAGGATATTTACAATCACAAATCTAAATACAAACAGAAAGTAGGCAAATATAATTAAAATGCTGGAGATGGGCAGCCCTAACGCATGTTTACGTACCGCGCGGCTGTAGGCATTTATTTCTATCATGCGGCCGAGTTACACTACTGTATTTTAATAGTACCGTGTCCTAAGTAAGTTTAAACCCCATCTATGTTTTCGACTGAAAGACTTGTATCTATGGTCATGAATGAAAATAATTAAAAAAAAAAGCAATTTAGTAATATGTCAGTCATTGTCAGTTGACTCAGTTGTCAGACTTGCCAGTGAATCAGTGAAACCAATTGTTCATGTTTTCAGGTTTGTCGTGTGTGCGGAAGGATTTCTGTAAATATGATTGAAACATGCTCAAAAAGATGCATGTTATTTGGAACCGTCTGTTTAGGAGTGTAAGTAGATCATAGTGACTTATTATTACAATAAATATAGGTATTACCTTACCATTATACATTTTAAATACGACTGTACTGGGTCTAGTGATCCTGAGCCAGAAGGTCTCTGGTTTAATATAATTTGTGTGTATTTAGTAATATATATAAATTTAATCGGCAGTCTGGTTATCTTAGTACAGGCTTAGCCTAGTTTGGGATCACACAGCCTTGTCTAAGGTGTATCCAAGTTATATATACACTTCAAAATGTTGGTATAAGCATACCATTTCCTTAATTCATTTTCTTTATCATAACGACAATATTAAACTGTAGTATAAAATTATTAGCAATTAAAGTACCGAACAATATTGAATTTTACATCTAAACATATAAAAATGTTGTTATTTTGTGTATACTTCAAAACCTCGAAAAGTTCTGGACCGATTGAGCTCAAATTTCGACACAATATATTACACCCTAAAATGATGGCTTTTATCTAAGTTTTGCAACCACAATGTGCCACAGTAAAGCGTGGAAGGGTATGGCTAGTTACTTATACAAATATATTTTTTAATAGTTGGAATAAATACTAAACAATATTTAAATATAATTTGTTTTAACAATATTTTACAGATTGACGATAATGGTCTTGATATTAGAGTCACATTTAGCTGATTCTTTGTCTGGCAGTCACAAAATGAAAAATAAAACTTTCCCGACAGAGAATAACTCAACTTGTTGGCAGCATCAACCTTTCACCATAATTAGTGAATGCCATCCTTGTTCAGGTACTTAAGTGACAAATATATATTATAATTAAAAATCAACTAAGATAAATAATTTTATGATTTACTACTGGAAGCCACATATCACACATCAAGAATCTTCCTATTTTCTAAAACATATATCCAGTGTCTAGGACAAAGGCAAGATTCTCTTTTAATGTTAGTTTAATCATTTTATTTTATTCTGTTACAGACTTTGAAATAAGAAGTAAGAGTATAGGAGTTTGCATACATACTAGCTTTAAAGAGATATTAAAATGTGAAAATGGTGAAACTGTCACTAGAAGGTATTAATCAATTTATTTATATTTTTTCTATACACACATTCTACATTACATGTATGTTATATGTAAAGGTGTGGGTGTGCCCTGTAATAGATGTAAAATTATTGCTGTTGGATTTTGTTTCAGTTGTGATCGAGTTGCCTACTTAGAAGAGAGAGCATATTGGAAGTTTACAATATGGTCCTTTGTAATTGGTGCTGCATCATCAATGGCTGTCATGTTACGATTGAGAGTTCTAAATTACAGAGCAAAAAGACGTGCAAGACAGGTTCTTAGCAATGGTTCCATTAATTAAGCTCATGCTGCATGCATGATGAAATGAGTCAGACTATGAACTTGATGGCGAAACTGCACTACTTTCCATGTTATTTGTTATGCAGCTACTCTGTATTCGCCTAAATATTTGTCATAACAGCTAACAAGAAAAATTCTGACCACACTGCACCGACGTGCCAAAGATACCCGATGTATCTGTTTGCTAAAATGTTGACTGCATTAGCTGACAGCTACACTCACTAAACCACTAATACATGTGTACAAAAGCAACGATAATATAATTTATAGTAACCCAGTAAGAGCATTATAAAATATTGTTTATTTATTTCTTACATGTATTTGAATATATCCATACAAAACATAAAAAATGGACAGAGACACGTCACGACACGTTACTAAACAGACAGATGTAAGACTCAGAATATTTGATGTTTATCGATGGTGTTTTTTAGATTTTTAGTGAATTATGTGTGGATAATAATTTAATAAGTTGTTCAAGGTTCTCAAATATTCATATATATTTATTAAAATATTTGTGTCATTATTTATCATATATTTCAATTACCATTACCAAACACACATTTGATAGTAGAATCTTGATAAGCCTAATATTATGTGAAACCTTTATTTTAAGTGAACAAGATGTGTAACTTATTGGGAATGTAGCCAAAGTCATTTTTTAAATAAAAGGACAAAATGTTACAAAAAGAGTGTTTTTAATAATTCACTGATAACTTTAACATTAACACTGTTGCCCAATAACCTGTAACACTGTTTTCTTGTTATGTTTGTTGGAAAACTGTAATCCTTAGGAAACGCCATTAGCATTAATACTTCTCTTGGCGTAAAATATCTCAGTTTTAATTCTTTAAATGCTTCAATAAAAAGATCACTTCCAATTTCATATGAATTTGCTTTATCATAACACACTTTAACTGTATCAGGACTTTTATCAGTGTAAACAGATCCCATACCTTCAACATAATGTGTATATGCCTTTGTAAAACAATTAGATCTTTTTGAGTCTCTATAACAAATATCTAAAACTTTCCCACATTTTAGTTTTTTATCTGGTACTAAAAATTCTTCAGAAACATTATCTTCTAAAATAGATTCCAAACTGTATGCAGTTCCATAATCAGTTGGAAGATTAGTTATCTGAAAATAATATTCACTTTTGAAAACAAAATAAAATTAAATATAGCTTATAAAGATTTGCCTTATTGAATATGCACAGCTATATGAAAGTACTTAAGTGTTCAAAATAAAAAAATACAATCAGAATCTTGTTTAGAAAGCAGCCCATGATAGAGCATGTTGTTTTTCATTTTACTGCTACTTGTAGTCAACCATATCGGCTCATAATCTGGACGACTGATTGCATGATAACAAAGAGAAAAAAAACTAATTCCATTCCGCCTCAGTCCACTAAATCCATTGAAAAGATCCATCATGGATTTTTGTGCACTTTCATACACTCAATAGATTTTTATGAGAAATGGATGGAATTTAAGACATGCAAGTTTCGAAAAAACCTTTTAACTTCCTTTTTACTTGATAAGCTGATATACAGAAATATGTCAAAGAAGTATGTACTAATATTAATTTTATAGTTGCAAGAAAAAGATCTCATAATCATATAAATAAAATACAAGGAGCTTATTATGATTGCCCAAATGCAGTAGACATGAAAGTGCACAAATATCCATTATGGATCATTTCAATCGATTTTAGTGGACAGAGGGAAAAAAAACTTGTAGTCAAGATAGACTACAGCTTCAAGATAGTCACCTAATGGTAATTGACTACTGCACCAATAGAAACATGGAAGTCACAAGTGCATTACAGTGCTGGGCTTTGAGCCTTCCCCCCATGAGGTTTTCTGTGAGATTGTGATATCACTGGTTCAGCTGACCCATTTGTGCTAAAACATAGCTCTATAAAACTTACAATTTCATCTTTCCTTTTAAATGGCCAAGTGAGAGAATTTCTTCTTGCAGTACAATAATACCTTAGTCTAGAATTAGGTATTCCAAGTGTAGATGGACAGATTAAAAATTCTTGATAGTCAAAATTACATTCCTTTAACTTGTCTATGTACAAATTTCTTACAGTTGAAACTTCAAAACCTTTTACATTCTCCATAAGAATGTATTCAATGTTTGTTAATTCATGTAAAATTTCAATTAGATATAAAAATGAGTTAGTCCTGGGGTCATTTTCATCCAGATATTTTCCATTTCTTGTAAACGGCTGACATGGGGGCGACATTAATATAGTATCGACATTTAATTTCTTTATCTGATTCACTGTTACCGACTGGATGTTTCTACACTGTAAATTCGTTTTTGGGAAATTATGTAAATAGACAGCATTTGCCACTGTATTTATGTCCACTGCCAAAGCTATTTCTCCATTCAAACCAGATTCTGTAACAAAATTAATTACTTTAATTTTATTTGAATAAGATAAATAAGTAAACCTTGAATAAGTTTTCCCTTATAATATTGAAAACATATCCTAACCTTAAAAAAAGAGTACTCGTATATTCAAGAAAATACGAGAGAAATACTAAAGCTCCTATATAGATTTTTTTTTAAATGAAGTACACACAAGTATAACAATAAATACTCAAAAACGTTTCATAAACTGGTGAACTAAAATGTCAAACATACCGTTCCATGCACAGTGCATACCCCCAATGCCACTGTATAATTCCAATATTCGATGTGACATGCTAAATGTACATATATGAACTAATACTTATTAAAAACTCTTTCAACGAAAATATTTATTGCACAATTGTGTAGCAAAATATTAGTTGTTTATGTACAAATATATTTATTTCTATATACTGTAACATGTCAAACATGTGTTACAGGATTGGTCAGTGTTGCCAACAGTTAAATGAATTCTCCACCAGATTCAACATCTAAAACCACCAGAAAACCAGTAACGCAAAACGACCCTACTCTAATGGCCACAAAATTTTCAAACTAAACATTTTTTTGTAATTACGAAAGAAAACCATACATAAATTAATTAGTGTCTTTAATATTATTAAAATTTAATACTGATACTAATCGCTTTTGTCAGCACCATCATCGTCGGTTCTATGAATAGGATTCTTAAGTAGCGATTTGTTTTACAACGTTTATTGGAATATCATATTTGTTGCAGCGCTCTCCTTACAACTTAAAACCACAACGTATTCTTAACATGATGTGGTAAAAAAAAAACACTAGTAGATGGAAATCCATAACACGTTCCGCATTGCTAGACAACAACGGACCGAGTTTTATTGGTTTGAATGTTATCAATCTTCATTTCTCTTCTGCTACTCTACCGGATCATTAAACATTAAGTCAGTGGCGGATTAACTCAAAGGCAAAGTAAGCGCGCACGCAGAATTTTTTACAAAAAAATATATATGCCTAACATGTGAAGAACTGTGTCAGTAATTATGCACATATATACACAGTAAAAAAAACTTAATTCTAAAGAGATGCTTAAGGTTGATCTAGGAATTATATTAGCTTAGACGGAGCCCGCACCAGGAGCGGGCTGGCGCTAGGAGGGGTCCGGATGTCTTAACAACAGCTGTTCCCGGATCCCTCCTGTTACAGGCGCAGAGTGGCACACCGTGTGGTTTTAGTCGGTCCGAGTTCGACACACCACCCCGCCGCAAACCCCGGAGGGGTGACGGTCCGAGGGGATTTCCAAACGTTAAAAAAAAAAAAAAAAAGGAATTATATTAGCTCCTAGTTCGTCCGAGCAATATTAGTACCCTTGCCATCTATCCTAGCGACAAGACCAAGACTAGTGAAGATACTAAGTCTCTAGTACAAAAAATATTTTCACCCGAGGAACTAAAACTTTATGTTATAGGCCTTAGAAAAGTGAGTAATGGGGGTGTTATTATTAGTGACGCATCTAAATTAGTTATTGAGAAATTGAGGCAGTCAAAGAAATTAGCGTCATCAGGCCTTAAAGTCGAAGAACCTGCAAAACGCAAACCAAGAATTACTGTCGTAGGTGTACCCGTCGCCCTGACTGAAAAGGAGGTGCTTGAGTGCATCTATGAGCAGAATTTAGCAGACAAGTTTCCTGACGCTTCTCATGAGTCCTGTCTGAATACCATCAAACTTAGCCACAAATCAGGTAAAAAAAGCCTTCCTACCTGTAATTAAATTCTTGAGGTACCGGCTCATATTAGAAAAGCGCTCATAAATCAAGGCAGAATTTACATAAATTGGACTTCCTGTTCCGTTAGAGACTTCACGCTAGTGACCAGGTGCTTTAACTGCCAGCAGTTTGGACATGCAGCTAAATATTGCCGTGAAACTAGCCCAACCTGTAATCACTGTGGAGAGTCCGGGCACTCCTTTAAGGATTGCAACGACAAATCTACACCACCTACTTGTGCGACGTGCAAAAGGTTCAAACGGAAAAGTGATCACCAAACTGGTGATGCAACTTGCCCAGCTCGGAAATATGCTGAGGATAAATATTTAAATTCTATAGACTATGAGGGCGTCTAAGAGCGTAATTGATTATTTTAGCGTAAGCACTTAAACCTATCTCTATTTAATATGTAATGACTAATCTGTTGCTCTGTGGCCTAGATCATTTTTCTGTCTGAAGTTAAATATTGTGAAGTCGAAGAGAATATGTGCCGACTACTGACAATTTACTGGCACCAATAACTCATTATACCTAATAATCAAAATAATTGTAGTGCTTGTTAAGACATTTTATTTACTAAATATATCTAGCTTAGAACTATAAGAAACTTAAATTATGCGGAAACATAAAATTTGTTAGAAATTATTATTACGTATGTTTGTGAATTGCTTTTGCACGTGTACACTATGTAGTATTTTTATGTTCATTATTATTCTGTTATTGTTACGTATTATATACATATTATTACGTATTTATTATTCTGGATATTAATATCTAAATAAAGTTTGTTTAATACTCTAAGTCAAGCGATCGCCTGAAACACAGGTTTATTCTAGTTCAGGCAGGCAGTGATTAAAGTATTTGAAATAGATTTTGTTACATATATGTGTATAAAGATCTGTATAAATAAAATATTACCTTAGTTTTACACTAGTGTTGCTTAATGATTAACGAAACTACTGAAAATATTTTAAATAAAAATGTCCTACATTGTAACATATTATAATATTATATTGGTCAAATAAAAAAAAAAAAAAAAAAAGAAATGTTACGTATCGGCGGACGGCTGAGAGTACGCGAGTGTCGTGAGGCCGTTGCTCGTCCCTGCTGGAGGTTCCACGTGCTGGCTTTACCACCGTGGAGGTGCTCCAACTGGTCATCGTCGATTAGGCAGGGCGGCAGCATGGGACCCTTTCCTTCCGGCTGACGCAGGTTCTTTCCTAAGAGGGAATTTAGTCCTACCTGTCACCACAGTCATCGGAGGGGATCTCTCGCTACCGGCCGTTATACGCTCAGAGGACAGACGTTTGACTGCGGTCGCATTCTTCTGTAAAGTATTATACTATATTTTTATTTCGTAGTTGCCACTACTTCTTTGCTTTCATTTTCAGCTACCTATGAAGATTGAGTATAGTGCATGTACACAAAACTGTAGTTGTAGTGGGGATTACTCTATAAGTTGTGGTAATAGACCAGGGTTGTCCAGTCACAGGACTGTACGGTGCAACGGTGTGGGCCGAAGTTCTTATCGCCCAGAATAAGACGCTCTTTAAGTTTGCTAACTCTCAGCCGGTCCGCCAGGCCCGGGAACGGGCCAGATACTAGTAAATAAGTTCAAGAAATTATTAGTCACAGAAATGACAATTAAAATTTAGAGTCATCACTATCTCACATATGAGCGCCGTTGAAGTGCTTGCCTAGTGCGCTCTTGATAGTTAATCTGTCTCTGCATAGAGTCAGTCGCTAGTCTGCCCAGACCTTATATTGTCAACTTTGAATTTTCTCCTGTGCCTTCTGGGGACATCGAAAAGATCATGCTATATATCTGTTGTAACGCAATGATTTTCAATCGTAGGATGATAGTTGCCATCCTGGATTGCGTCCTCGAAGTTATAGCAGATTATTGACTTCTTTCTCGACTCCGAAAACTTTTCCTCTCTCTGGCACAAAGCCTATATCATCCGTTTGCCTTAAATTAATAATCCTTCTCTTCCTGTGCAGTTCTATCCAATCTTCATCCTTCCTTTCCAATCAAACGTTCTTGAGGTTTGCGTACACAAACAGTTCTCAGAGTTCATCTTTCATAAGCATTTTCTAAGCCCTTATATATTACTACCAACCATTAAAACAATCCACTAGACACCATGAGCAAAATTTCGTCAACAAAAGGGGTCGAAACCACCAGTTTTAGTGGAAAATCCACTAGGTTGGCAGCACTGATTACAGTAGCTTACAGATAAAAGTGACGGTTGACGGTGACGATTGACAATTTGACATAAGGACGTCGACATATTAGAAACATCGATTTTGAGTGCTCTTAAACATGGGAATCGATGTTTAAGATGATACCAAATGATCGACAAAATTTTCATTCACACTTCCTAGAATATTAAGGCACAAAAGAAGAAGAAGCTGTATTTTCATCATCAGCCAAACGCACTGCTGGACATGCACGCCACTTAGATCAGTTTAGGGCTTCTCGCATCCAGCTCCTGCCAGCCATCTTGCGCAAATCGTCACTCCACCTAGCCTGTGGGCATCCTACACTACGTTTTCTGAGACGCGGTCTCCACTCAAGAAGTCGTTTCCCCCAACGGATGAGATGTATATTACCCTCAATAAATTTTGACTTTATTAAGATTAAGGTATGAACACTGCAAAATTCTACCTGAGAACGAAATTTTATTTTAAAGCGAGTTATTTATAAAAAGTTATTTTAGTCGTTAAAAAGTAGTAATTTTATAAAAAGTAAGACGTGTAGATTACTTGTTTGATTCGCTTAGACAAAGAAGAAGAAAGTAGTGTGTTTATTTGAATATTGGTTCTGTTTTAATAAACTGAGCATGCTTAACTGTGTAACATCGCATATGATGTGTAACATCTGAGATCTTACCTTGGTAATGGGATGTATCCCTACCACACTCTCACTATTGTAACTCCTGTAAACGAGAATCTACAGCTGTGACTCACGAACACACCGAGTAATGACACTCGGGCAAAACTAATCAGAAGTAAGCAAGTAGGCAAACTCGCTAGTATGTCGGACCCGAGCAACCGACCGCGCAGCACGCGCCATACGTATGTCACCAGCGTCACATCGCGCCGCACGACCATGCCGAGGACGAATAAGCTGGGGTACATGAGTGGGTATAACACACAAATCGAGTGAATTTATTTTGAACTTCTTCTACCATAAGACTATATTTAGCCTTGTGAGGATTCCAAACTATAGCGCTCGCTTCTATATATTCGCAATACAATATCTTCACCACTGACGTGTTATCCCCCCGGAGATCGTTGATCATTAGTATAAATTCTAACGGTCACAGATTTGACCCCTGACTTATACCCGTAAGAGTAAAATATTCATTACCAGCATACTCAACGCACTAGTGGCTCGTTCTAACCTTTATATCACATGCCATTAATGCAGTCATTACCAAATCTAAGGTACGCTGGGTGTTGTGGGTTCGATCCCCACATGGGACAACACTTTTTGTGATCCACAAATTGTTGTTCTGACTCTGGGTGTCCTTTGTGTCCTTTAATGTATGTTTGTAAAGTCCCCGCGGCACAGGATTTATTATCAGTACGGGAGTTGTCTTTTTGAAAACAAAGCAATAAGTTTACTTCGTTCCGTTAACTCGCTCATTTTGATGCCACCTGTTCAACAATTTTTGTAACTAATTCTCCAACTACCTTCACCAGGTTACTTATGTTGGTAGTTGTTATGATGGTAGTTGGTAATTGTTGTCAACAAGCAGTGTCGATTGGTTCGAAATCTTCAATGTCATTGCTGCTACCTTCTGCGACAATTCGCATATAGCCGTATCAGCATTTTAAATAAATTAAGAACACAGTGACTATGTTGTATGTTAGAGGGTTTTTTTTATTTTTTTATTATTGTAAACAGTTGCTGTTTCATAATATTAGCTGTGTGCTTTTCATAGGATTGATTTGACTAGTTGCAATGCAATGCCAACATATGAGCAGTCTGTGGGAGTGTAGGCGAAAACTTAAAAAAAAAACAGTCATGGCGGATACAAGGAATGGGGAGGACGTGTCACACGTCGGCGAAGGTGACTCTGTTTCGAAAGATATTGTTTATCTTGAAGAAACATTTTACATTCTTTCAAAAAAGAATTCGGTGTTCCGTGTTCAACTTACCTCTAAAGGTTTGTGTTTAACAAAAGAAACAGATGGAAATTCAAAGGAGCAAACCATCCCTCTACGCGATATCATTGGCAGTAAATGCATGAGGAGTAAAAGAAGGCGTCCAGGAGCCGGCTCTTGTGTTTGTAGTTCTTTGGTCGGTAGTCATCAGCTTAAAGTGGTAGATGAGAACAGCGGCGATCTAGATGAGAATGACATCAGTGCCTACCTGTACATATATGCGTACATCTTAAAACGAAGTCGTCGTACCTTGAAAAGAGAAAGAACTACAATAACATTGCGTTTTAGATCTTTCGATAAATATGAGGACAATAACAGGGAAGCACAGAAATGGAGGACCACCATCAAATGTTTGATAGCCTCTCAACCAATTACGTACACTCCACCGTCAAATGATAAGAAATTACTCGTTCTGCTCAATCCTAAGTCAGGGCCAGGCAAAGGCAGGGAAATGTTTCAGTCTAAAGTAGTGCCTATATTACAAGAGGCAGAGGTACCTTACGATCTTCATGTTACAAAGTATGCACAATATGCTCGTGAATTTGTTCGTACGCGAAATGTGTACGGTTGGCGCGCAATTGTTGCTATCGGTGGTGATGGGGTGCTGTTCGAGATATTAAACGGCATGTTCGAACGGCTGGATTGGCAGCAGGCACTGGCAGAAGTACCACTTGCAATATTGCCCTGTGGTTCAGGCAATGGTCTGGCTAGAACAATCTGTCATCTTTACAAGTAAGTTTATTATTTGCCATTTTTTAATGTGCTTTAAAGTAATAATTTATAAACCTATGTTGCACATTTATAGCATAGCTAGCTAAATATGTTGTTTTTTCATTGAATGAGAATAATGTGACTTCTACTATTCATACACACATATTGGGTGTAATGAAAAACAATTCCTTTAATGAAGATGGAGTAATGTGTCACTTCTAAAATTTTTTGACCTTGTAATGGTTGATACTGAACACACATTGTATTTTTATTAAAAAGAATGTTTCGAAATTTATTACAAAATGTTTCCTATACTTATAATTGCAATTCTATTCTCTATTCCATAGTTGCAATTCTGTTTATGGTTAACCATGAGCTTAAGCTCTGCTCCTAAGGGTTGTTATGGGATGTCTTATTGCCTATTTATTCTTTATCATTCTGATTGAAAGGTCAGAGATTATTTCATTTAAACCAACAAGCAAACAAAAATGTTTATTAAAGATTATAAGAGTAAATGTGGTATTATAATCATTTTCGCATTTATATAACATTCATAATACTACCTCAATCGAAATTGATTTATTTGATGACTCATAAGAAAATATAATGAGATTTTTAAATAAATACTGGTAGGCCAGAATTGTTATGAATTTATGGAATTGAATGTTAGTTTTAATTTAAAATTATAAAATTCATTTAAGAAAAGTATTCAGCCAAATAGACTACTGGAACGCAAATTTCTGGTGGGCACATTAAGTTTAATATTGCAAAGGACATCAGGACAGTCTAACCTGCTTTAAGCTATATTTAAGAGAAAACAGATATCAGATATTTTCCTGCAGAAAGAAAGAGGCAAAAGATGTAGTTTACTGCATTGCTGTTCACAATCGAGATGCGGTAGTAATTATTTAGTATAAATATAAAATATAGTTATGAAACTACATGTTCTGTTAGTTGGAGATTGAAGGCCCATTTATGGCCATAGGTTATTCATATTATTATAATTTAAAAACACAATCTTTATTTATTTGTAATGTCAAAATGAAGGGGTTTTTTTATGCTCACAGGGTTATTTGCACAATACCTATGCCCAAAACCAGTTTAAATATTTTTCTTCCGTTGGTTCCGGGTAATCTTCAATATGGTTGGACTGATTTTGTTAATATTTTACTACGAGGTAGTTGTCTATATAAGGAGTAACTTAGGCTGTTTTACCTCCTAGAGAATCCTATAAAATTTTGCCTGAACCGGGAATTGATCTCGTGGCATCATGGACTGCATTCGCTTGGAATACTAAAAAAAACATGGGCAGCACTTTTCAAATTCCGCATGAATGAAGTTGGTTGGTATTCAAGGTTTAAAAAGAGTTGCATCATCACATTAAAGAACTGTGTCCGAAGGCAATAAATACAATATAATATTATACTAGCAACCCACCCTGGCTTTGCATAGGTATAACCATCATCTTGCATCACTCTCACTATTGTTGAACGTGGCATTTAATGTTTGTGAAGTCCCCTGCAACACAGGATTCTTAGTGTGGTAGTGTAGTAGAGTAGAGTAGAGAGAGTAGAGTAAAGTAGGTAGTGTAGTAGAAAAAAACATAAATATTCATAGAGGCTTAATGATCTTGTAATTATAACCATAGAGTTAGAGTTACAACTCTAATACCTATTGTTAATTAAATCAAATAATAATAAATATTAAGTATGTTGTGTAAGTAGGCCAAAACCGCCTTTCTAAGGGGAGGCTTATGTCCAGCAGTGGACTATTAAAGGCAGTTGATGTGATGTGATGTGTAAGTTGATGCAGGTATCGACAGACTTAGTTGTTTAAAATTGAGACTATTCAAGATCAACAGATTGTTTCAGAAGTGTTTATAATCAATATAGTTGTCATAGATTCATTCTGAAATAAAAATATGCAGTTCTGTGTAATGGACTAATATTCTTCTTTAAAGGATGAATGCGATGGCAACTCTAAATTCTTAAACACCAATCAAAAGGTAATTTTGTCTTTTCCTTTCATAGTCTGTGTTATCCAATTCACCTTAGTGATTATTCCTTTAAGATGAATTGAATAACTTGAATGGTGTTATTTTTTTTGAATATTGCCACCTATTGTAATTATTAGAAATAAAAAGACATTTCGGAGGTTCAAATTCTTTCAAAGTTTCTTAAATATTGACAGCAAAGGAAAAGAACAATTGCAGTTTTTCATTGTTGTATAATTGATTTGCTGTAGTTATGACACACACCCATGAGTTCCAATCATCTATTTTACGCGCAAACCGAACAGCTGCATAATATAGCTAATGTGTAACACATATGAATGCATCATAGATTATTAACTAAGGAGAATGAAGGAATAAAAGAAGTGGTGGGCTATTCATGATTCATTTTTCCTAATTCATATTTAACTTCTTAACTAACGTCACTATTTTATTATTTAATGTACGATATCTGTGCATGTGTCATTGGAACGTTTTAATAAATATATTGTCCACAAACGCTTCTTTTTATCTATCATGTCTAACACAGGTTGAGTAATCCGTGGATTATTTTTATTTCGAATTGACTGATTGTTAGATGTACAAAGGTATTAATCCGTAAAGCAATAATCAATAATTAGCGTCGTTACTGTTGTTATCGTGAAGTTATTTCAAACTTAATCTACACAGGACTGGACATGTTGCTTTTTCTAAGTGAGCCATTTTCGCATAATTGGACTTGAAGAAATTCCGTCATAGCGATTTTGTATTTGAATGGCGCTTATTAGTTGATCTTTCATTCCTATGTTTAGAAGGTCTTCTACTTTAGTTTACAGATAATTGCGACTACTAAGAATTATGTCTAACAGATTCCTTATTTATTCCATTATCTTGTTATACTTGACACCGATTAATTTAATTTGCTGTTGACATACCTGTAAACAAATTCACCATCATCAGCGATAAAAGCAAATTTCTTTTCGGCATTAATTGTGTTAGATTTGTTGTATCAGCATTAGTTCAATGATTCCGTTCTTCGCGTAGGTTTCTCAAATAATTTAATTTTTTATCTACATACTAAGATATGGGAAAGTATCTATCAATTCTTTTTCAAGTAAGTATTTGTTACATTAATTTAAAATTTTGTAAAAACTTTTACGACTGTCCACATACATTCAGCTAACATACATCGTACTATATAGACTGCTGCTTTGTAGAAGCTAATTGCAATTTTAAAAATATATAAGTAAATGAAAATTAAAAATGCCAGATCTGTGCCGACGCTTCATTAAAAATACAATAATATAACATGCATAATAAATTATTTCCATTAAATATTCATTAAAATCTGCAGGTTATTAATGATAATATAATAAAAATAAATATTTTTACTGCCTTACAAAAAGTATCATCATTCAAAAAGGAAACGATTTCGTTTTGAACAAAGAGTGTCCTTCAAGTAACTATTTTCAGCTGAAAGACGTTTCTTGCTAAGCCGAGTTGTTTGTGTTTCTTTTATCATATGAACTTGGCATATTATATCACTTACGTCTTTTAATTTCTAACTCTAAGGCAGCCTCGTGACCACAAACAGTCTAGCGGCAAGGGTAGGCTATAACTATATTCAAACAAACAACACTTCTACGAGTACTACTAGATATTAATCGTCATATCGTAAAGGGTACCCTTGTGCAAAAAAATATTTACTTTTCTACCCTATATGATATATTTTATCTTTTTACTATTTTATTTTAACACGCTTGGGGGACTAATTATCCATCATTGTCGCTAGTTTCCCCATGCTTCGATTGTTTATACCACTTCCTGTAATTATTTGTAAGCTGCCAATATTGGTTGGAGAGATAATTCTTAAATGATGAATTGAAAGCCATAAAAGACCCATCTTAAACTACGTCAGAATTAGCAGCGTCCCTTGATGCAAAGTGAGTTATAAAACGATAGTGATTCGTCATGAAATTGGAAAGATAAAAACAAGCACGGCAATTGATTATATTACTATAATTAACAACATAAACAAAAAATATGGTCGAGTCCTAGCTCTAGTTCTAGAGACACAAATGAGGTGATTCTGAAAATCACACCTCGTTCCTATATTTTATGTCAATATAAAACTATCTTCGCAATGGATAGACATACATATTTACTTAAGTACAATTCAGTAGTTATATTCCGCTGGTATACATTAAATTTCACGTGCCTGCCTGAAATGTTGTTAAAAATTAAAAAAAAGACTTCACCTGTCAATATATTTGTTTATTCACTTATAAGGAGGCGTAGGTAGTGAAAAACAATTCTGTAGGGATTTTATTCATCCAGGAGGATTGGCTCGAGAGGCGTCACGGGACCCTCTCGTACCGACTGACGCAGGTGATCACTGGGAAAGGATGTTTCGGGGATCACCTGTGTCTGATCCGCAAGGAGCCAACGCCTGAGTGCCACCACTGCGATGGCCAGACCGTGGACACGGCTCTCCACACGCTGGCAAAGTGCCCGGCGTGGGCTGAGCAGAGGCGAGACCTCGTGGCGGCCATCGGAGTGGGAGTTCTCTCGCTCGATAGCCTGATTGCGGCTATCGTGCGGAGCGAGAGTGCGTGGAACTCTGCCGTCTCCTTCTGCGAGCAAGTTATGCTCGCGAAGGAGACGGCGGAGCGGGACCGGGAGAGGTTTAGGACTCTCCCGGCCCGCCAGGCCCGGGAACGGGCCTAGTACCGCAGGCGACTCAGGCGCCGGAGGTCGCAGAACGACCTTCGTCCTCCATAGGCGCAGGCCTGGGGGTGACAGGTGAGGCCATCTGTCACCCTAGCAGAAGCAGGCTGGGGTGGCGGCGAGCGCGTTGCGAAGCGCGCTCGCCTCTAGGGAGCACAGGGAGCATGGGGTTCCCACACGGGGGGGGGTCGTCTACTCGTCTGTAGATGACCCGAGGTATGTCGGGGCACCAGGGACTTCCTTCCTAGGGTATACCTGGTTCCCCGGCTATTAGTACCCGAGACAGCGTGCGGTTTTAGTCGGT